AGACATGGGGCTCAGTGGTCAGGGGCGGCTGGGCCACATCTCTGCTCCAAGACGTCATGTAAAGGCAGATCCGGCCTTGACCTCAGCCCCCAAACTATTGGCGCTGGGACCTGAGCTCTTCTCCTCTCCCAGCCTCGCTTTGTCATCTTCAAAACTGGGACCACACCCCAAGGGGTCTCAGCGAGGGGGCTTGCCTGACCAGTGCTGGACGGGACATGGGGGATGCTGATGCCCTCTGGGCCTGGGAGGCCCTGGATTCCACGCGGCAGGCAGTGGGGACGTACGTGGCTTTTGGCTGTGATGGGGTCCCGTCTGCAGAAGGACATGCATGGACCAGCCCTCCCCGACAGGGTGCTGGGGTTGGGCTGGATCCCTGAAAGCGGCCTGCCCTTCTCTGAGCCTGTCTCCCCATCTGCAGAGTCGGGGTCCCAGGGCCTGCTCTTCCCTCCCACGGCTGCTGTGAGGACTAGGGAGGGCTGCCTGGGGTCCCCTCTGCTGCCCCCTTTCTGGCTGCTCCAGGTTAAGGCTGAGGCGAGCCCGCAGTGTCCTCCTGAGTCCTCCAAGAGGGAAGGGCGCAGGGAGTGAGGCCCAGCACTCCGCCAGCAGCTGCCTGCTTTGCTTTGCCTCACCTCAGCGAAATGCGTGAAATGCATCTGGACAGCAGGCCTGGCCCCCGCCCAGCATCCCCTCACCGGCTGCCTCTACACACCCAGCTCCCTGGATCCCGCCCCGGGTCGGCCTGCACCCTCGGCAGGGCCGGCGGGCCAGCTGGCCTCAGCTGCCCCCGGGGCCAAGGCAGGCTGGAGCTGCCCGGCAGGGCGCCCAGGAATGTGGGGGTCCCCGGGGCTCCTGCTCTGTCTGTCTGTGTGGCCTGCACTGTGTCTTCCTGACTCAGGCCCTGTCGGTCCTGCTGTCTGGATCTGCCTGTCTGCACCTCTGTCTGTCTGAATTTGGAGCTGTGAGTCTGTGTCTCATCCCTTTGGGTCTGTCTGGATCTGCCTTTCCGTCTGTCTTTCTGGGGTCTGGGTCTCATCCCAGCTTTGCCTGTGACACACAGCTTTGCCTGGGCAAGATTCTCCATGTCAGTACATGTCCACGTCCCCTCCATCTGTAGGTGAGGGTCCTGGTCGTCCCTGCCCAGCCAGGCCCCTTCCCAGCCCCTTGAACCACCCCCACCCCACCCCCGTTCTGGCTGTCGATCTGCAGGGGAACCACTGTGCCTCCGAGCTTGCCACGTGCCTTCCCAGCTCCCCCGCCCCGGCGAGGGGCTCAGCCCCTCACCCCCGACCCACCAACTGCCCAGATCTTGATTCTCCAGATAAAAGTCCCATCTGTCAGTGATTCTCACACGTTCCTGGAAGAGGAAAAATCGGCCCAATTCCAGCAGGTCTTTGGCAGGTTTACCAAAAACTTTAGAAACGTGCATACCGCAAAGCTCTTCGTTGCTCAGTCCTGTAACTGCAAGGAGTAGGAGGTAAGGCCTGGCCGGGTGAGCTGGGCAGCCCCACGCGATGGCGCACGCTGCAACCGTGGGCAGGAGCGAGGCAAGGTCTGTGCGTGGCTCTGGGGGGATCCGTGGGGATCGGCCACGTATCCAGGGAATGGATTATACACGGAGAGACAGACTGCTGAGTGGGACAAGGGAAGGTGCAGAAAGTATATACAGAATGCCACTTTCGCTTCAAATGGGGAAGGAGATGTATATTTGCTTATATATTTAGAAAGAGGCAGTGGAAGGATAAACCCAGAACTAAGTTAACATTGTTACCTCTAGGCAGAGCCGGGAGGGGCAGGTGTGGAAACAAGACCTTGGAGCACAGCTGGTTGGGTAACCATGGGCCCTCTAGGACTGGTTCAACTCTGATCAACAGAGTCCTTAAGATGATTTTCAGGAACTGAGACCCCTTGTCCAGTTCAGGCCGGTTGAGACCACCACCAGCCCATCAGCTGGGCCTGTGCAGATGCCCAATAAGTGAACTTTTTGATGTCAAAGGTCTGAAAACTTGACCCCCGGATCGTGGTAAGGCCACCACTGTGTGAACACACATCCTGTGAAGAGGCATGGAGTCTGACTGCGCCGGCACAGACCATCAGTCACCTCCCCTCTCCTTGCCTCCGATCGCCTGTCCCCGCCCTTCAGACCCCCCGCCCTCCACCCCACAGATGGAGCCCCCGGCCCTGGATCGGGGAGACGGATCCGAGGGCACATGCCCGGCTCCTTGCAGATCCATCTAGCAATAAAGCTGATTTATTTTCCCAAAAGCTGAGCCACAATCATTGGCTTTTTTAATGCACATTGGGCAAGAAAACCCCAATTTTGCGCAGTAACAGTTTTATGCTTTTGACTTTGGAATCAAATGTTTTCTACAATTAGAAAGCAAAATTAAATCAATTTGAAAAAAAAAAAAGGTAAGAACTAACTGGAATACATGAACCTGAGTATCAAGTTGGTGGAAAACACTACTAAGAATTATTTCCGATAACTTTGAAACGGTCTTTTTACTGTACATCCCGGAGGGGAGAAGAACAAAAAAAAATAACAAATATCAAATGACTTGTCGGTAAAAATATTGGTAATGTTATCTTAAAATTATATATAACGGGAAAGGTAAATAAGTATTGAAATGTATGACATTAGGAAACAAGATTTTCACTGTAAACGTCATACAGACATCAAATTTTAACAAGACCCTGTAATCTCTAACTTTAAGTGGAAATGGCAGTATAAACTCATGTTTTATTTTTCTTTTCATAAAAAATAAATACAAAAAGTATTCTCCAGCTCTCGTCACTGAAAATGCCTAGAACCACTGAAACCCAGGAGCACTTAGCACCTCTGGGGCCTAGACTGTGTTCTCTACAAACCACTTCCCACTAAGAGAACCAGGGTGTCGCCAAGGAACGTCAGGTTCCCAGGTCCAGGACAAGATGAGCTGGGACGTCTTGTGCCAAAAAGCAAAACGCCATCAGGAATCAGTGGGGTCCCATCGAAATGACACAGGAGCCAATTCGGAGGGGCCCACAAACCCACAGTTCCGGTAGGATCATTTGAACATCCAAAAGGATGATGACTGTGGTGGATTGAAACACATCAAACGTATGGAAGTCAGTGAGATCACAATGATCGTGGCGTGCCAGCTTATTCTGAAAATGGTAAAGATAAGAGCTGAGCATCCGTGCCTTTCCTCTGCAGACGGTCTTTTAGGATGACCAATTTGGGAATAGGGAAAGTTCTTCAGAGAAGAACCAGAGCTGATAAGTGCAGAGGAAATGATAGCATTTGAGAAGCCGCTATTTGCAGCCCCTCAAGGGGTAATGGCTCTGGGTAACGATCCCTGACAGCTGCTGCAATGCTGAGGTGGCAGGCCGATGGGGACTTCACAGTGGAAGAATTAGGCTGACCCCAGTGGAAGCCACTAGTTAATCTCACCATCACGACAAGAGGGACAGCAGCCTGGGCCCCTGAAAGGGATGCAACAGGAATCCAGTTTAGATGACAAAACAGGGGTGGTGGAACGTGTTCAGTGCCGCCCGAGGAAACCCAGCCAGCTCTCGTACATGGAAAATTCTGTAAGATAAATGACCCAGTTTCGTCTATAAACAACATGGGCCAGGAGCGGGGAGGAGAGTGAATGGGAACTGAGCTGTTTGAGAGTCAACAGTGCCAAACGCAACTCGATCCTCATTGGAACAAACCAACTGTAAAAAGACATTTCGGGGATGATGGGAGAAAGCTAAACACAGCCTGGGGATTTTTTTTTTTAAAGTCCTCATCTGTCAGATTTTACACTGAACTGTTTATGGGTTAACTAATATGCTCTGGGATTTCTTTTAAAATACTCTGATCGCCAACCCCCCCCCCCAACACCATGCCCTGCAAAATAAAATGAGGGGGACATTGAGGCAGGTGTGCTGGAGCCCGTGACTGCTGGTTTGGGAGAGCTGACTGTTCACCGCCCATGGATTCTTCGAGCCCGTCGGTAAACCTCGGTAGCTTGAAACGGGCATCGTGAGACTGTTGACGCCACAAACATCAGCAAATGCTGCAAGTCAGGATGCTTTCATTCTGAGAACCGGTTCGTCAGCGCCGGCTGGACAGATGGAAAAGCCAACAAGCGCGCAACTGGTGACAGCATTGGTCATTCTCTCGACTTCTGTTTGTTGAACATTTTCCATAATAAAAAGTTTACAAAGGGCATGTCCTTAGGCCTAGAAATCCCACTTCTAAGAATTTATCCTGGAAAAGTAACTGAAGTACGTCCTGTTCCACTGGCTCCGATCACTTAGCTGCAAAAACACTTATTAAAGCATCCACTTAAAATATTTTTTAATGTAAACAACCTAAATATCGAGAAAGAATTGGTTTTCAGTTTTGCAAGATGAAAGAGTCCTGGAGCTTGGTTGCACAACAGTGGGGACGTACTTAAGGCTACTGAGCTGGACGCTTAGAAATGTTTCCGATGGCAAACTTTATGTTATGTGTATTGTACTGCAATTAAAAATTTTACAGAAAAGGGATCAGTTATGTTATTCAACAGAATGTGGTTAGAAATTAAGTCACAGAAAAAAATTTAACAATTTGGAAAAATAACCATGATGTTAGGTGGAGAAGCGTGTTATGAAGCCACGTGCTCAGCTCGGGCATCTAGCTGAATTTATGGGTGCGTGACCTCACAGGGCCGGCGCCACTCACTGAGCGTGCTACGCTGGGCGCTGAAGAACAAGCTCACGAAACATACACACAGCCCTCGTGTGAGGGTGGAGACCTGTTCTCAGCATCACCTTCTGCGGATGGGGAAACTGAGGCTGGGAGAGGGCGAGGCAGACAGCTTGGATGTCGTCCTGCCCACCCCCAGGCCCAGCCCCTGCCTCTTGCATGCATGCCCCCTGGGGTAGGTATTTTCCCCTTTCGCGCTGTTTTCTCAACATTCTAAACTAGAATGGGTTACTTTTGCAAGGAGGAAGCGATGACGCAGTAAAGCTAGTGGCGTGTGTTGCAGGCTGTTGATGGAGAAGGGGGCGGATGACAGCTGGGACGGTGGTCATCACCGGGGGCATCTTGGCGACTGTGATTCTGCTGTGCATCATCGCCGTACTGTGCTACTGCCGGCTCCAGGTACTCCCGGGGGGCTGGGGGAGGGGAGCCCCCGAGGGTGGCCCTGTGGCGGGAGGGCAGCCCCCCCCAGGGCCCGGGCCCAGGAAGGAGGGAAGAGTCAGGTCTGGAAGAAAGTGCATGGCAGACACCCTGGCCCAGACTCCACCTGAGGGCTCAGTGATGACGGCCACCTGGCTCACCTCCCCCAGGGCTTCCCAAACGCCCTGAGAGGTGAGGCCACTGAGGCTCAGAGTGGGTAAGGGATTTAGCCAATGGCACACAGCTGCCAAGTGGCAAGCAGGGGGGAGCACTTGGGCTATGCTAGTCCACCACCTGTGCCCTCCCCTCCCCACCCATGCTGTAGGGCCCACCGGGGCCCCCACGTCTTCCTGAGAGAGGAAGGGAAACCACACGTGCAGGGCAGGGCCACACAGCCCAGTGCCCATAAACTAGTCTGGGGACACACTGCCTGGGCTGGAACCCCAGCTCTGCCACTTTCTGTGCCTCAGTTCCTCACCTGCAAACTGGAGATGACAATTACACCTGCCTCCCGTTGCCATGGGGATGAAATGAGCGGATCCCTCCTTACAGAGTGTTTAGCAGGGTGGGTGCCTGACCTGGGTGAGCCCCTCATAAGTGGTGGTTAAAGGGACACAGGTGTCTGACCCGGGCACATACCCCCTTTCCCTGCGTGCGGGTCGGGAGAGGTGGGTGGGGAGCCGGAGGTCACCCGCCCTCTGCCCACAGTACTACTGCTGCAAGAAGGACGAGTCCGAGGAGGACGAGGAGGAGCCCGACTTCGCAGTGCACGCGCACCTGCCGCCACTGCACGCCAACCGCAACCTCGTCCTGACCAACGGGCCGGGGCCGGCTCTCTACCCAGCTGCCTCCACCTCCTTCAGCCAGAAGTCCCCGCAGGCCCGCTCCCTCTGCCGCAGCTGCTCCCACTACGAGCCGCCCACCTTCTTCCTGCAGGAGCCCGAGGACGAGGGTGTGCGCAACGGCGGGGAGCGTGTGGCCTACAAGAGCATCAGCCAGGACGACGTGGAGCTGCCGCCCGGGAGCTTTGGGGGCCTGCAGGCGCTCAACCCCAACCGCCTCTCGGCCATGCGGGAGGCCTTCTCACGGAGCCGCAGCATCAGCACTGACGTCTGAGCTGCGCCCCCGCCCGCCCCGACAGGTCCTGAGACCATGGTGGGATCCCCAGGGAGGCCTGCCCAGCTTTTTTCAGGCCCAGATGGGGGCTTGGCCCAGCCTTCCTCGCATCCCTGTCTTCACGGGGCCTATCAGGGAGCTCCGCAACTCACAGCAAGGATAAGGCCCAGTGAACGCAAGCGTGGCTGCTGGGGGTAGGGTCTCTGGGGTTAGGGTCTGGGGGTAGGGTCTCCAGGGGTAGGGGTCTCGGGGGTAGGGGTTGCCGGGGGTGGGGGCTGGAGGGAGGTGCGTGCGATGCAGGCCCCGTGAGCAGTCACGTTCAGGTCGAGGACTGCAGAGCAGAGCGAGGCAGGGCTCTGGAGCGCGGACGCCAGGCTCCCGCGGCTGCCGGTTAGCAAAGGTGCAGTGGAGAGTGGCCCCCATCTCTGCTCCGGGGAGTTGGCCGTTGCTGGCTGGGTGGCCTAGCCGTGTCACTCCCTCCGTGGGTCTCAGCCTACTGCCTGTTCAAGGACGGGGTGGCAGCGGCAACACTAGGTGCCCGTGGCATGAGCCTTCCCTGGCGATTGCAGACTGAGTATTCCGTCCCTCCAGCCAGAGCGGGGGCCTCTGTCTCCCCTCACACTTGCCTCTACCCACCCCCGGCTTCAGGTGCCGGGCAGCTGAGGCACTGGTTGATCTGACCTCCGTGCAGATCCCCCTAGAAGGGGGAGTTCCAGGGGCTGCCAGGCCCTTGGGATTCTCAGCCATGACTGGTTTTTGCTGAAAGAGGGAGGACAAGGACAACCACCTGCTGCTGGAGTGTCCACCTGAGATGCACAGCCCAGTCCTGAGCCAGCCGTGGGAGGACAGACAGAGCCGTGGGCTGGGGGCTAAAAGACCCACTATGTCCCCGTGAGCGGTGGGCCAGGCCTCCAGGGGCCCTTCAAGCTGTGGTTCCCAGGGGAGACAGGCCCGAGCTCTCCCACCGGCCTCCATTTCTCAGGAGGATCAGGGAGCAAGGTCCCAGGCCAGCCCTCCTGTGCTCCGGCTCCGTGTGAAGACCTCGATGGAGCCCACTCTGCACCAAGCTCCCAGTGGCACCAGGGTCTCCCTGGGAACCCACTCTCCAGCTACCTCCATCCAGCTGGGGAAATGATGCCCAATGCAAACCCAGGGGCCAGCCACGGGGAATGCAGCCCCCCCCCGTCGTCAGAGGCAGTATTTCCTCTCTCCGCAACATGGCCCTAAGAGCCCGTGCCCTCCATGCGTCGAGCCCAGGGTAGGTAGTCCCTGTCTGCCCAGAAGACGGACCAAGCTCCCCAGCTAAGCCACTTTCCTGAAAGACAAACCGTGGAGGGTCCCTGAGCCGCGGGCAGCCTGAGCACCTCGCTTTTTGCTCTTACTAGAAAGCACCGAGGAGTTGAGACGTCTGGACCTGGGCGTGAGCGGAGTTAGGGAAGACTGACTATTTTTAGCACCCTCGATTATCTTCTTCCTTTCTCCTCCTGCTTTGGTTGGGACATGCTAATGCATTCACACCCCCCTCCCCAACTCCCTGGGAAGCCCACCCTCCCCTCCCCTGTGGTACCCCACCCTCCCCTCCCCTGTGGTACCCGGTGAGTTTGTCTCTGATGCACTAGCTTGGGGGGTGGGCCCGGGGTGGGGGGTGAGGGACAGGAGGGGTACTTCCTGTGGCTGCTCTGTCCGGTTTCCTGTTTCCTTGCCGGTCTCTGTCCTCCGTGTAGATTCATAGATCAGTTTGAAGTGAAGGAAGCTCGCATCCGTGTGAGTTTGCTCAGCTCCACTGTGGGGACCTGCGGCGAGCTGCCTGCACCCTGGGAGAAGCGAAAGCCAATAAAACGCCTCACCCACACCCCACCCACTGTCTTCAGTCCGCCTGCAATTCCAGGCCAGACCGCTCTCGGGAACTTTCTGGGAGGGGCTGTGTCCCGCCCAGTGCGGCAGATGCCTTTCTTTTCCTGTCCAGCCGCGGGTCAGGGCTCTGCCCAGAGGCACCGGCCACAGCGAGCTCGTTCATTTCCTAGGTGGCTGTCGATCTTCCGAGACGGGGCCCAAGCTCCGAGCCCCTGGAGAGCAGGTTGGGGTGAGGGGCTGAGTGCCCTGAGACGCGTGACTGGTGTCTGTGGGCCTCGGTCTTAGCACCAACACAATGGGTTGATAATGACAGCGACTTCACAGGGCTCTTAGGAAGGTCGAATGAGGCCGTGCTGATAGAGCACAGAGCCTGGCATACAGGAAGCGCACTTTAAGTGTTGGTGGAAAGGAGGATGGGGGAAGAAGGCTATAGGAGAGAGGGAAACGGGGGCGGGGGGGGCGGAGGAGGGAGAAGAGCAGGAGGTGATGACGGGGCACGGTGGTGAGCACATCAGGGAGGCCCCGACTCCTGGGTTGTGGTGACTCACCTCTGCTGGAACCACGCCGGTGACCTCCAGCAAGCCCATCCCACAGGCCCCAGTGAACCTTAGTGTCACGCACCCAATCCCAGCCCCCTTGATGCAGTCCTCAACTCTGTGCGGTGGACCCTGCTCACATCCCACTTCGGGGAGCTGAGGAAGAGCCCAGCAGCCACGTGCCTCCCTGCCACCTGTTCCCAAAGCTGACATTCCCTGTGGCATCCTCGGCCCTGGGGAAGGCTCTCTCTCCCACTGCGCGTGGACACCGTGTCCTGCCTCCGCTGTGGCCGAACCAAGTTGCTTTCGGCATCCTGGACACGCCTGCTCTCTCCCTCGAGCCTCTGTGCGTGCTGTCTCCTCACTATCTGGGAGAGCCACTCCTGCTGCTGGACCAGCCCCAACATCACCTCCCCCAGGAAGCCCTCCTCTGTCCCTGCACCCACAGCTCCAGATTAAGCAGCCCTTCTATGAGGTCCAGAAACGGTAATGGTGGTGACACTTCCTGAGTGCTCTATGTGGGTCCCCCAGGGAGCCTCCCACCCACCTGCCTTATCTCCTCCGTTCTCCCCAGCATGCCCTGAGGGGGTGCTTTTCTCCCGAGGTTCAGGTTATGGAGTTCCCGCCAGGCCCCTCTTGTCCTGCCAGGTCCCACTAGGCACCCCCAGTCCCACTTGGTCAGTGCAAGGTTGACTCAGTTCTCACTCCAGCATCCGAGTCCCAGTGCCCCCCAAACCCCCATCCCTGCAGGCTCCCCTCTCTTTGTTGCCTTCTGTCTGCCGTCCCCTGACTGTCATTTCCTCAGGGAGATGCTGCAGCCCCACCAGGACCCGAGGCCTCAGCAGACCCTCCTGAGCGTGTGAGCTGGATGGCCTCACCCTGGCTCTCAAAGCCCCATGGCCGGCCCGCCCCTCCTTCCAGAGCCACCGAGAGCCCACGATGCCGCCATAAATACGGCCACTTTATTGACATACAGAGGGGTGCTGACAGACGCCGCCACATCCACCGCGTCCCAGTGCACTGAGATGGAGGGCCTCGTCCCTCCCGGGCGTAATGTGCCCTGGGTCCCACCGTGTGTGAGAGCTCCGGACGAGGGGGCCACCGGGATGCTAAGCTGTGAAATGAAAGTTCCTCTGGAAGGAGTGCAGCTGAACCGGATAAGCTTCCCAGGCGACACCTGCATCTCCCTGGCTGCCCCATCCCTCTCTCCTCGGCCCCACAGCCCTGGAGGGAGAGGATGTTCCCTTGTGTGGGGCTGGGTGCAGGCCACCAGCACGTCATCCTCCCGGCTCTGTGATCAGCCTCCCATGGCAGGCAGCTCTGTCCTGGGAGGGCCGATGAGCGCTCAGCGGCTCTCCTTCTGGGGAGAGCAGAGGCTCGGTGTCACATCTTCACAGCCCGGGGCACCCTGCAGGAAGGGAGTCCGTGGGGGGCGCCCCAAAAGCTGCAGTGGCCCCGGGGACGGGGCACTCAGGTCTCTGAGGAGCGGCGGCTGCCAGGCCTAGGAGTGGGGGGGCCTGCAGGAGCGACAGCACGCCTTGCTGTAGTACCAGTGGCCGCAGAGGTTCACCTTGATGGCCAGGGCGCAGTTGGTGCCCGGCTGGTCCTGGCAGCTGTCATCTGAGGAGGGGAGAGGGCAGGGGGTGTAGGGCATCAAGAAGTGGCCACAGAGCCCAAACTTGACACCCAGGACCCCCACCCCACCCCACCCCACCCCATCCTCTCCTCAACTTCATGAGCTGGGTCTGTGCAAGGGCGGGTGTGGACAGAGCGCCTGTGGACAGATGACCCCTACATGCCCATTCCCAGGTGCAGGGGCAACCACCTCCCACCCCCACTGTGGGCATCCACACTCTATTTCTCTGCCACCCCTTCCTGCCCCCAGTCCCCCCCCCCAGGGATGTCACGGATCCTGCCGAGTGGTTTGATCTCTGTGATGGGAAGGGTGATGCCCAGGGGCCAGGATTTGGAGGAGACTCTGATCTCACCCCCAGAGGCCTGAACATCCCTGGGAGGCCCACAGGTGTCCCCTCCACTCACTAGGTCCAAAGCAGAGTTCGTCACCTGCCCCTGGAGCTCTGCCCGGAGCCTGGCACCCTGGTCCGTGTTCCAGGTACCTGAGCCCCAGGCCCTGCTTCAGCCCTCGGCCTGTCTGCCCCTGTGTGCCCAGCACTGGGCTGCTTGGGCCAAGTCCTGCCAGATTCCTGACCCCCACCACACTCGCCCTCCCATCCTCTGAAACCAGATGCTCTTTCCAAAGCACAGGCCTCAGCACGGCTCCTGGGGATCCTGAGCCCCAGCCAGGCCTCACCTGCCGCCTTCCCACCCTCACCTCCCAGCCGGGCTCAGCTGTTCCAAGGGGAACCCTCGCTCCCTGACGTGGCTTGGTCTCTGCAGCCACTAGACCCTCGTGGTCCCCCAGGCTGACACCTGCTCGTCCTTCAGGCCCTGGCTCTGCCCACACCTCCTCAGGAAGCCCCCGCACTGCCCTGTCTCCCCTCCTCACCTGGTGGCTCCGTGGGGCAGGGCTGCAGGTCACAGGCCTGTCTGCCAACGGGCTTCACCAGTGGGTCGCAGCCACGCACGATGTCGGTCCCCTGGTAGCACTTCACGTCTCGCATCCGCACACCCACCCCGCAGGTCTTGGTGCACTGATGGGGGAGAGACGGCATGGCCGAAGCCCCCACCAGCCGGAGGAGGGGGACCCCCACCCATCTCTCCAGGCTGCTCAGGTTCAACTGACATGGGACACGGGGAAGGTGGAGGCAATGAGGGGAGGATGGCGCTGGCCAGCTGTCAGGAGATACTGATGCTCATCCCCACCCGGTGCTGCTCAGCTTCCCCATCCGCACAGTCAGGGGGCCCCTGCTCTCTCCACTGTCCCCTCGGGCAGGTCCTTTGGTTCCAGCTTTCCCGAGTCCCGGGATGCAGAATGCTCAGGACACATGGGGCCACGGCCACGGGAGAGCGCTGCTTTCCCGCTCCAGTCGAAAGCTGTTTGCTGCGGGCCAATTAAACGTATCTCCCGAAGCTCCCCCCCCACCCCCCACCGTGGCTCCCCAGTCCAGATGTTCCCCTTGGAAAACCCCGCTGAGCTACCCAGAACACCAGGGACATCTGCTGACCCCGGTTACCCCGCCGTCCTCCTGCCAAGATGCTGCAGGCGGTGGCTCCCTGTCGTCCCACCTCCCCCCCATGTGGGTGACCCTAGATCACCCAGGCATGTCTGGGACCTGAGCCCGGGGTTTCCTGAGCTGGGGGCGTGGGAGGCCCCAGCCCCGGCCCACGCTCCGGTTCTGTTTGCACAGGCGCAGGGAGAATCAATTAAGACTTAGCAGGCAGGGTGGGTCACGCCCCATGCTCGCTCCCCACTCGGAGGGGGCTGGCCCAGTCTGGAGGCAACAAGAGGCCAGCTCGGCACTGAGCACAGAGGACAACCAGCTTTGGGTGGACGCCCCAAGGAGCCTCTGGCTGTGCCCCCTCTGGAGGGAACACACACCCGGCCAGCCCTGGCACCCAGCCCTCTGCCCCTGGGGAGTGGATGGGACTGCGGGGGGAACCCTTACGAGCCGGCATCCTGGGGAGGGGCAGCCACAGGGGAAGGAGGTGCTGTAGGGACAAGAGGGCAGAGGCCCAAACACCCACTGTCCGGTGCCAGCCACCCTTCCCCACCCACTGTCATCAGGGCAGGACAGGGATGCCCTCCTGCAATGCTGTGCTTTTGGGGGTCCTCCCCTCTTCACAGCTGCCCTCCCTTCTGTAGCTCAGCACCCACACCCAGCAGGCCCTTGTCTCTGCCCCTTCCTTGCCTTCCCACCTGCTGAAGTGATGTGCTTTCCAGGCCTGGAGCCCCGGGCAACCTTCACCCCCTCCAGCCCCACCTGACGCCCTTCCCACCCTCACCTCCCAGCCCGCCGTTCGAGGGAGCGACCTTCGCCCGAGATGCGCCTCCCTCTGCGAAGCCCCTAGAACCTCCCCCCGCTGACGCCTGCTCGTCCTTCACGCCCCATGCCTCCTGGGGAAGCCCCTGCCCCGCCTTCAGCCCCTCTTCTTCCCAGGGGCTCCTTTCTTGGGCAGCACGGAATGAATAAGTGTGTGTGGTCTCACTCTTGAACGCGTGAGTGCCAGAGTGGGAACAGAGGCCCCCTAAGGGCGGGTTTGAGCCCTGACGTCACCCTGTCTCTCTATGAGAAGCCTGGGCCTGGTAGGGGCGGGAGGTCCCAGCCCCTCCGCTCTGAGTCGGGGCTGCACCACGGAGCCCCCAGACTCACCGCATCTCACAGACTCTTAGAATCCTCGCCTTGAACTCTTAAGTTTGGGCATTTGGCACCCACCGTGGCCTCACAGTGACCACGGCCACAGAAGCCTTGGTGTGGGTGCCTGAGGCACTCTGTGACGCCACCCGTGGTGTCCGGGGCTCCCAGTCCCGTGTGACACCCCATGTCATCCCCTTAGTATTCAGAGTGGCCTTCAGGAAACAGAGGCCAGGGGCGCTGGAGAGTCCACTGCCTGGCTACAGCAGCACTGGCACTGGGGACCCCTGTCCCCACCCCTACCCGGTGATGCTCAGAGACCACTCTGGGCCCCTCCACCTGCCCCTCCTGAACGCTATGGTGTCGCTAGGTGGTGAGGGTGGGGACTGGGGGCACGGAGACAGTGAAGAGACGGTGCGAATCAACACAAACTGCCATCTGGACATGACCACCTGCGCTGTAAGAAAGGCTTGGGGGCACTCACAAGCCCCCAGGGACCTGGAATCACACCTGGGGGCCTCCATGGGAGGAGGCAGAAGAGAAAAACAACCAAAGTCAAGTGGACCCGCTTTGCTCTGCCAGAGAACCGGGGTGGGGGGATCTGCCCTCAGCCCCTCCGTGAGATGGCTGCTCCATCTCTGGCAGGTGGCCCACATCCCTTGGGCCCCTGCCCTGTCCCACCAGGTTGGGCTGGGTCAGGGTCTCCCTTCCCTCTGTGGATTCCTCATCCCGCCGGCGACAGCAGACGGACTCTGGCTCCACTGTCAGGGACACCCACCCTCCCAGTGGCTGCAGGACCCGAGCAGGCCAGACATGGCTCTGAACTTCAGTTTCTTCCTCTGTCACATGGGAAGGAGAGCCCCCTCCTCACAGCCCCATTGGGAGGAGGAAAGGAAACCCCTCCCACAGAGAGCTGGGCCCAGGCTGCCCACCCAGGCCTCCAGGTCCAGGAGCCAAGGCTCTGCTCCCAGCTGTAGACAGAGGCGAGCTCTTGGTTCAGTGCACCCAGCACCTGAGGCCGAGGAGCCCACAGAACCGTGTGGTGGTGGGGGGGTGGCCAGGCCTGTGTCAGCAGAGTCATGCCCTTCCTTCCGGCTTCCCTCTGCCCCAGTGCCCATGTCCTGCCTTTCCTCAGCATCCCTAATACTGTATCCCTGCCTTGACTCCAGCTCCCAAGGCCAGGGCCCTGTCTGACTCAGCCCCGCATGCCCCTGATGCCCAGCTGAGGTCCATGTGCCCCGTGTGGGTGCCAGGCCTGTGCTGTCAAACCCATGACTGAAAGGCTACAATGGGAGGCTGGAAGTGACCCGGGCTGAGAAAGGCCCAGGACGAGCACTGCAGGGATCCCGGAAGTGAGATCTCAGAGGGCTTCCTGGAGGAGGGAGCTCTTACACCAGCTGACTCAGTAGACTTGATCTTTCCAGGGACAGAAAGCCCTGGTGGAGGCTGAGGAGGGGGTGTGTGGGCCCTCAGGGCAGGAGGGGAGGTACCAACACAGGACCAGAACTCGGGCCTCGGGGCCCCCTCCAGGGGGCCTCTGGGTGCTCACCTCTGACCACGGGCTGGTGTACCACTTGAAGCAGGGCCTCTCGAAGCACGTGCTCTCCTCGGGGGGCTTCTTGGCCAGCCCGCACTCAGCGCCGTTGCGCGTCTGCGGCTTCCCGTTGGCCAGCTCCATGCACAGGACCAGCCTCTTCTTGACGCCTCGGCCACAGGTGGTGTTGCACTGAGGCCAGGGGACAGACGGGGCCGGGTCAGAGGCCAGAGGCCAGGAGGAGCAGAGCACAGAGCCCACGGCGACTCCGATGAGAATGGCTCGGTCAATAGCAATGGGGTGAAAATGTTTAGATCGAGAGCAAACTGGCTGAGAACTCTGGTCCATAACCATTTGGCCCAAAGTGGATTTGATCAAAGCAATTTAGCAGAAACCATCTGTTCTGAAACAAAATGGTTAATGACAATTTGGCCCCAAATGATGTGGCTAACAGTGATCTGCCTGAAACCAATCTGGTTGAGAACAATTCCCCCGAAACCACAAGCTGGTGACCGTGACGGGTGGCAGGGAAGGCGAGAGGGTCTCGAGAACAGACAGTTGCACAGGACCCGCAGGCCGAAAGCAAGGACAGCTGATCGGCCCTGCCCCCGGTTCTCCACACAGCAGGACGTGGGGACCGGAGGGCGGGGGGGCACACCAACCCTCCATGTATCGTTGAGCATTTGCCTGGTGAGATTCAGTATGTTTTAAGGGGTTTTCCAACCTTCTGGGCTTTTTCTGTTTCAAATTAATTTTTAGTAAATTGTGCCATCATAATTTGCAATTAATTCCTCATTTTCACCAATCTGTCCTTCCGGCCACTTGGCTCTCTCCACCAAATGCTCTCCCAGACAGAGGGAGCCCTGCACCCGGCTCGGGGCACTCACCCGCTCCCAGTCCTGGGCCAGCCAGTGGGCAGGGCAGTTCTTGTCCCCGCAGGGGTGGATGGCCAGAGGCTTGGTCTCCATCTGGCACTGAGACTCGGGCACCACCCGTCCGTCGCTGGTCTTGCAGTACACGTGTCTGATCATGCGGCCTTGCCCGCAGCTGCCACTGCACTGCAGGGGGACGCCTGGGGTCAGAGGCGGGGCCCTCTCCCACGTCCCCCTGAGGTCACTCCCAAGAGACAGGAACGACTCCCCCGGCAGCACGGAGGAGCAGTTGCCACGGTAACCACTTTTTAAATAACATCTTCTGTTCTAATTACAGAAACATTGCATGCTCAATGAAAACACACACAGAGAAAAACACACGTAAACACCCAAAAAAGGTCATCTGTGCACCCAGAACCCAGAGGGGACGCCAGTGAGCAGCTGCGTGTCTCTGCCCGACGGGAGACACAGAGAGGCGGACCCAGAGGTGATAAGAGGGGACCACACTGTAGCCACTTGTTTTGGATAAAGGTCTTGCTTCTTCATAATAACAGAGAAGACAGGCCACATCTTCCTCCACATCCTCGCTCCAGAAAAACGGGGAGACTGAGGCACAGCAAGGTGAAGCACCAGGACCCATTCTCACTGGCTTCACGCCCTGGCCGCCCCTATAAGCCCACACCCAGGGTTCTGCCCTCACCGGCCCCCAGTCGGAGACGGTCCACTGGCGGTCGCAGGGGGGGCCTGTGCAGTCCTTCTCCCCGACGGGCCTGGTGTTGGGGTCACACAGCTTCTCATCCTCTGAGCAGCGGATGTCCCTGGTCACCACGCTGCGCTCCCCGCACTTGGCCGTGCACTGTGAGGAAGCCGGGTGAGGGCAGGGGTCAGGCCTGCCCCAGATGCATGTGGACCGTGAGCACTCCAGCCATGCCCCCTCCCCACCCGACCAGACTCACTCATGCATGCACATACTCACCTCGGACCACTCGGACATCTCCCACTGGGGCCCGCACGCTGGGTTCCGGCATGTCTTGCGCTCCTCTGGCCGCACGGCCTCGGCCGCCTCGCACAGGTCGCTGTACACGGAGCTGTCGAAACCGGGCGACAGCATCTTCCAGCAGCGCACGATGCGGAACTGGTAGCCCTCGCCGCAGGTGCGTGAGCACTCGCTCCAGCTGCTCGTCTCCCACCTGCCTCGGGAGGAGGGACGGCCTTCAGCGACCCTCACCTTCCTTCCCCATGCAAGCCCCCACTGCCCCCCCAGAGAATGTTCCCTGTCCTCCCCCTGTAGTCCAGTCACAACGGGCTAAGCTGGACAGCGGCCCAGAAGCTGGTGAGACCCCACAGTGGAGGCCGCTGCTGAGACCACCCCCAGCTCTCCAGGAAATACCCGAGTCGGGTGGTGGCTGGGTGCCAATGCCTTGTTGGCGCCCGGAGCCTGCGCTGGGCCTGCCTGCCCAGGAAGCCACGCCGGCCCCACCGTGCTCACCTCCAGACCCACTGCCAGCCTCTCTGGGAGCCAGGTCCCGGGGTGTGCCTTTGCTCCCACTGTTCCCTCCTTTGGAGTGCCCTCCCCTCTTGCCACTGCCCTCCCTCTTCCTCCTTAGGACACTTGGGATCACACCCCAGTGTCCCAGAGCCTGAACCCTACCCTGGGGTCTCTGAGGGGAAGGGCAGGTCCCCAGGGCCACACACCTACCTTCTTAGAAAGGAGCAAATGGGCAGGAAGCAGAGCCCCCCACCATGGAGCAGAGGCCCCAGAAGGAGCTGAGCTCCCCCATGGAGCAGAGGCCTCCCTCCCTTAAGCAGAGGCCTCAGAAGGAGCAGAGGCCCCCCTGCATGGAGCAGAGGCCCCCCATCCAGACCAACGCCCCTCCATGGAACAGAGCCCACACACACACCTTGAGCAGAGCTGGGAGGCAAAGCCATCACCATGATACAGAGTTATGTTCAGAATGGGCTCTCAGTCTGCAGGGAAAGGCATTGACTGGGCACCTACTGTGTGCGAGGCACAGTGACAGAGGATTCTGCCAAGTGTGGGAAGTCACAGAGGACTCTGACAGGCGAGGCCAGTACCTCACAAAGCCCCACAGGGCTAACTCCTGCTGCTCCCCTGGGCTGAGGCAAAGCAGAGCCCCAGACCCCACACACAGCCTCCCCAGGGCCCTGGGGGCAGGTACCTGGGCTGGCACTCTCTCCCAGCGCAGAACTCCTGGACGGGCTCCGGACGGGTCAGCGCGTCACAGTAGCTGTCATCCACCTCGATGCCATCATAGCGGACGCACATGGCATAGGTCGACATGACCCCTGGGTTCAGGACAGAGGAAGGGCCCATGAGCCACATGCGAGCACCTTGAAGACCGGCAGGCAGGCTGTGTGACCATGGGCAGGTCACCCAACCTATCAGAGCCCAGCTTCCTGGTTTACATCAGGGATGATGACAGGAACCAGCTCACAGAATTGTGGGCAGAGCTCAGGGAGGACAGATCGGAGGCTCTGAACTGTCTCCCTGCCCGTGTCCCATGGTCCAACCTCCTCTCGGTGCACCTTTAACCCCCCACCCCACCCGCACCCCATCCAGCCCAGGTTGGGCACACAGTTCACAAACCCTGGGCTTTGAATAAACTCAAATTGGCCCTTACAGAGGCACAGAGGCAAACACAGCTAGGTGTCACTAATTTTCACTCATTCAACAACTACCTGTCTATGGGGTTGGGTGGATGGATGGATGGTGGATGGATGGGTGGGTAGATGGATGGTGGATGGTGGATGGATGGATGGATGGATGGGTGGATGGATGGATGGTGGATGGTGGATGGATGAATGGGTGGGTGGGTGGATGGTGGATGGATGGGTGGGTGGATGGGCAGATAGGTGGATAGGTGGGTGGGTAGATGAATGGATGGATGAGTGGGTGGGTGAAAGGGTGGATGGGTGGATAGGGGTGGGAAGTCTAATCTTTCCAGCCCTTTCCTGCCTCCCTAGATGTTATATGAGATCTTCAGACCCTCTCTGCCCTCCTGTGGCATGCCCCAGTCCTTTTCAAATGACCTCTTAAACTTTCTTTAATCATTATTTCGTGTGCTTCCCTTTCTCGCTCCCTAGTCCTCTATAAATCCCATCAGGGGACGTATATAAAGGGACAGCCCTTGCCTAGCATTGTTAATTCCTTGAGCCCACCTCCACCTTTGACTTTTCTTGTCTTCCTCCCCCTGCACCCCTGTGCCTGGCACTGAGCTGACACACAGGCCAAAGTTGCTAAACAGTGGGTGGGTCCCTGCCAAGGAGCCAGGATGACTCAGGGAGAGCTGTCAGCCTTGGTGAAGGCCCGGGCGGGGTTAGGGTTTGTTGTTGTTACTGTTGTGTGTATGCGCATGTGAGAGAGAGGGACCCAGCCTTCCAGAATGATGCAGATAATGGAACCCTCCTTGCGAGGGCTGCCGATCCCCAGGAGAAACTCAATTTCCCCCTAGTGAAGAGCCCCAGCCACCTCGCTCTCCCTCCCCAGTGGCGCATGTCTGAAAGCGGGCGGCTCCTGCCTCTCCAAGCCCCAGCCCTGGATGGAACGAAACAGCCTGGGAAGCAGCCCACACGGGGATTTTTCCTTTTTTCCGTAAAGGACCAGCCAGGCTGCAATCACTGGGTCCTCTCTGCCAGCTCCGGGCTGTGTAGTCTTCAGCCCTCTCTGAGGGGGAGGCTGGCTTCCTGGCCAGCTCTGCTGGGAATGTTCCAGGCCTCAGAGACACGAGCTCTGGGGCCCAGGGCGGTCCAGGGTCGGGGACTTGCAGACCCTCGCCGAGTGCCTGATTGCCCACGCGCTCCTCGTCACTGAGTGGGAACACAACAGGTCCTGATCAGAGAGCCTGGACTTCACTCTCAGCTCAGTTTCGGCCTGCTGGGGCGACGTGAATGTTGTCAGACCCCCCAGGCCTCAGCTTGCTCATCGCCCGAACGGGAGCCTCCTGGAGATGCTGGGGAGTCAAAATGCCGAGTCTCCGGACACCGTCTTGAGGGAGTCAGTCTTGAGCACAGTGCTTTTCAAAGCTTCTCAGACAGGGAGCCTTTCCCTTAAGGGAAAGGGAGCAGGGAGCCCCGCACATGAGACAGATGGGATCTGCTCGCTCCTGCGCGGGAGGGTGAGGCTCGGGGGCCCCTGGCTCCACTCCCCTCCCTTCTGTGCCCTGGAGGTGCGGAGGAATCGTTTCAAATCATTGCTGGAGACAAGCTGAGAGTCCAAACCAATTCACCTGCATTTCTACAGCTCCACAGAGTGTCTTCAAGGAACAGAAAGAAGACCCCTGCTCTGGCTGGAGCTGGAGGTCCTGAGATTGCCACATCATTTAACAGCCTCCACAGGAGTCCCTGGCAAGCCATGGGCAGGGAGGCGGCCCTGCTGTGTGCCGATGACCCGTTGGACGTTTGCACAGACACCACGTGCCACAGAAGGTTTGTATCCCCCACCACCACCCCGGACTGGCCTTGGTGCCCCGTAAAGTTGGATTTTGAGAGTAGCCAGCCAGTGGTGAGCATCAGAGGTGAGCACAGGGTGTGCAAAAGGTGGTGGCAGGGAACCATTCTGCAGGGGTCCGACTCTGCCATTTCTACCCAGTGCCACTTGGGCCCAGCTTGGTGCTTCTGTGGTGACAGGGAACTCGCTCTCCCTCAGGGCCTCTCATTCCATCCCTGGACAGCCTCGTCTGAAGGAGTGCTCTGCCTTTTAGCAGGGCCAAAGTCTGACTTTCTTACTTCCTTCCTTCTTTCTTCCTCCTTTGCACCTTGGGCCACACAGGACAGCTCCAGCCCACCCTGTGCCTGGCCACTCTCGTGGTGTCAAGACATGGTACTGGGTCCTCCCCAGGGACCGTCTTCCACCCTGGGCCAGGCATCAGGCCCCTCAGCACCGACACTGCCTCATGCTGGAGGTGTCTCAAGCAACATCACCTCCCCACGCAGCGATGTGTCAGAGAGGAGAGGAAGATGCTCCCAGCCACATGTTCTGTGGCAATCCCAGCACACAGGGAGTCCTGGATCACTTTGGGACTCTCGATTCAGAACAGGTCACTGCCTGCTGAGACAGGCTCTGGCAAAGCAGACTCCCCAACAGCCCACACCGCGCTCAGCCCCTGCGGGCCCAGCCCTGTGAGGTGGCTCACACGGTTCACCCCCGAGAGCAATGGCTCAGCCGCCCCTGGGCACCATGCAGGCCTCAGCCTGTGTTACGCGGTGGCAGCCGCCACTGTAGCAACAGCGCCCATCTGTTGAGCTCTGGCCCTGACAGCTAATTTCTCATTTCATGCCCACCCCCATGACCACCTGCAGATAGGTGCACGTCCCATTTCACAGGTAGAAAACTGACGCTTGGAGAGACCAAGCAGCTTGCCAAAGGCACATGGTGTGGTCGACCAGAGAGTGCATCTTCAGTGCTCACCACACACCCCACAAAGCTTGCCTTGTGCCCTCCAAGGGGGCAAATTCAGAGTGTCCCATACCCTGCTCAGGGGAGCTCTTGTAGCAGGAGGAGGGGCCCCAGATTCCTGCCCGAGAGGGAGAGCAGTGTGAGCAGAACATAAGAACCGGGGGTCCCTTCAGAGCTGGCAGGACCACCTCCCTCTCCTCCCTTGGGCCCCTCTTCTGAGATGCCAACCAGACCTCTTGCTGCCCAGGGTCCAGTCGGTGGCTTGCCTCATGCTCCTCACTGGTCAGACGCTTTGGATGCTTCCAGTTGCGTGTGGGGTGGGGGTGGGGGTGGCCAGGGCAGAGTGGGGAGCATCCTCCATCGGAGTGGTACCTCCCAGTACATCCAAACCAAAACACGAGGTCCCAAGTACAGACGAGGCCACCCTCAGGGTCTCCCTACAACATTTGCCCCTGGGTCCTGGTGCTGGGTCTGACATCTGAGCTGGTAGCGGCCCCCAGGGGCGGGAACCAGAGCTGGCAGCAGAAGGAGACCCAGCCAGTGTCTCAGTTCAGTGGTGGCCGGCCATGCGGACAGACAGACGTGGGTTCAAATCCTAGCTCAACCCTGACTGAGCACATGTGTCTGTCTGTCAGGCACGACCAAGGGGTCTCTGCTCCACTTCCTCCTCCTCCCCTGACCAGGTCCTAGAATCTGACGGTTCCCTCCGTCTCAGACCGTGTGCGTCGACTTCCCCTGCCTATGTTTGCTGTAAACACAAGTCAAGTCCTCCCCACCTGAGACTTCCTACTTTTAACTGAAAGGATATTTGCTCTGCGAGACATGACACAAATAGCAACAGATGAGGGGACGTTTGGGGGCCTGCAGAACACCCAGGAGGCTGGACTTTACATGGTCCAGCACGTCGTGAACACAAGGACCTCGACTAGCAGTCAGGAAGCACCAGCCAGGCCCCTGGAGGCAGAGTCAGCAGACGCTGCCCGTTGGCAGCCCGTGAGTGGTACCTGTGGTGCAGGTGGCGCTGCAGGGCTCGTGGGACGAGAGCTTCCACCGGTACATGTCTGCCGGACTCACACCTTGCTTGCGCGCCTTGGGCCTGGTCCTGAAAGCGAGCAGCAGAGAAGCAGGTCAGAAGCTTGGGCGCTCACCGCGGGGCGTGTTTTCGGCAGAGGGCGTGTCCTGTCGACGGAGGACGGGGTGCTTCCTGTCACAGCACACCTGTCCCAGGGCCAGCTGAAGCCCCCCCATTGGGGTCAGAGTGCCCACTGCCTGCAGTGGACAGAAGGGGAGGGGGCCCAGGAAGGCACGTGTTGGGAGGGAGCAGACATCTGCATTTTTCCCACCTCCACAACTTAGTCTGCATGCGGCACTGCAGCTGCCGAAGCTCCTTCTGGGGGGCAGGACAGTGAAGAATTTGGGGCTCACCAACATGGTCATTGCTCCCTCCACACACACAGGCTTCCCCGTGTTACCTTCTAGCATAGGCAGGTGGGCTCCTTCTCTCTGCCCCAGCCCTCCTCGGGAAGGGACCTCAGAAGGCACTTAGGGGCTGGGAACATGCCCGAGTTCCCTCCTGCTGCCTCCCTCAGCTGGGATTCAGATTGAATGGGGACACTCGCCATTCAGCCTCCAATTATCAAAACAGAAAGCTTCGCTGCAGACGGGGGCGTGGCTGCGTCCCCTCCAGACGCTCTGCCCAGGGCTGCGAGGGCTGCTGTGCAAGGGGAAAGGCATGCCGGGCCCCCGCCAGCGGCCGGCCAGGATTCTTGGCCGGAACCCGGGCAGCCAAAGCCAAGTATTGTTAGGACTGCTTGCTTCCCTGAACCAGTTGGTGCACCGGGGCCCGGCCTCCAGAGCCGGTGTGCAGGCTGGTTTGACTCAGCGGGGAGGAGGGAGGTGGCACAGGCCTCTGCTCCGGGAGGCAGGCTGTTCGAATGTGGCCCCCAGAGCCGGGGCAGCGGGCGAGCTGCGATGCCCCAGCTGACGGCATCTCTTTCGGGCCTTGACCACCCCCTTCCTCGGTCGCCCGGCTCCGCCTCCCTCCGGGCCTGGGGGTGCTGGCTGCAGACCCCTGGAGCTCACCCTCCCCCAGGGCTTAACTTTGGGCACAGCCACAGGTCCTTTCCTTGGGACCTTCCGTCCCCTCGTGGCCAACCTTAGATGAGGGCTGCGGGGCGCACGTTCTCAAAGGCTTTCCAGCCGATTCTGTGACGGAGACATTGGTTTGGATTCAAGAGGGAGTTTTCGGTTTGTGAGCTCGTGCGCCACGTGGGATTTCACCAGTGGGCGAGAACCGTCCTCGTGTTGACGGTGGCGTGGATGTTGTCCATCACGCTCTGAGAACCAGGAAATAACCGACCCATGGACTTGAAGCAATGAATTTACCGCCGTGACTACATAAACCCAGGGAGGGAGAGCGGGGGACGGGGGACAAAGAAGGAGGCCGGGCGGGTGGTGAGTTGGCAGCTGGTTTCACAGCTATTCAAAGCCTGCTGGGACCCCTCATGTGGTGGCTTCACAACCAGGAGCCCGCCCTGGATTTTCACAAGCTTTGGGGTGTGGAAGGAGAAGGTCTCCCCGCTCCTTAAAAATGAGAGAGAACTTTAACATGGGCCCCAAGACGCTGCCATCTCAAACTACGGCCCCGCAGAGACCTGGGTAAGCACCAGCTCCCGTGAGCAGGGCCTCAGGGGAGGAGGACAGATCCCGAAGGCTCGACTGGAAAACACAGAGCTCTGCTGATTGGGGCGCCACCCCTCCTTTCAACAGCTCTAAATTCCCCCCAAGAACAAAAAGAGATGAAAAGATCCAACCCGTTCCCACCCCCACCCCCCCCCCCCATGGAGAAGCTGCACCATCTTTATCTAATTACACACTCCTCGCGCCAGCAGGCAGCGTGACTCACTCCTGACTCCAGGGAGAGCAGGCCCCGTTCAAAATAACCCTTCAGATTTTCAGCACAAAAGGTATTTCTGGAGGGGCTGCCTACACATCAGTCTGAGCACCAGCCCATATCGCGCACAGCATATGCGACGCTTGAAAAAACGCTGCCTATATTTGCACAACAATGCAACGCCTAACAGGTTCTGTTCTTAGAAGTAGCGCGGGAGAAAAACACCCAGGAAATCGCTGCACCACCAGCCCTTCACCCGCCTCCATCTGCAAGGAAGATAGAGCCCCTCTCAGCCAAGAGAGACAGAACTGCCAGACTGCTGACGGCTGGTGACAGCCACCAGGCACCAGGATGCCAAATCAAGTGTCACTGGGGCCCTCCACCCAGCGGCCTAGTGAGCGCAGGCTGACACAATCCTCTGCCGGCCGGCCGGCCAGGGAGGCTCTGCAATGACTGTGTTTGTTTATAAATGGGCCAGAAAGCCTCTTTGCTTTCCTTCCCCTCCGGGCTGGGAGAGGGACCCTCCGTCTCTGTGCCTCAGACGTTCCCGACATCGGCGTCTGGTGACGGGGCCTCCCTTGATTGTTTGAGTCTGTTCCGAGAAGATGAAAATAACCTTTCCTTTCTGGGCTGCCCCTTTGATTTCGCCGTCTCTCCAGCAGACATGACTTCCTGTGTTTGGACAGCTCACCGAGGGGACGGGCTATTTCGGCCCGGTGGCTTCCCCCGCGGCCTCCCCCAGCCCTTTATCGCAAAAGACCACCTTTGGTCTCTGCTTGGCAGCCTCCTTTGATGGCAGCCTGGTGGGGGAGCCGCCCCCTCTCCTCAAGTGGGGACTTCCGGAGTGTTGACAATCAATTGTATTGATTCCTGCTTCCCCGACAGGTGCTGGAAGCCCAGAAGGCCTATGGGGCAGAGCTGCTGGGCTACAATTAGACTGGGATGGGGCAGGAGAGACTCTTCAAAACATGGCTTAAGGACCCAAAAGCTTGTGCCAACCTGGCCTGGGAATCCTTGAATACCTGAGCTGGGGGCCCTGAGGCCCTCCAACAAGCCCCCCACTTAGGGATGAGGAAACCGAGGCCCAGAGAGGGTCCCGGTGGGCAGAGTTGGGATGGTGACCCAGGTCTCCCCAGCCTCCCTCCTGCGCTTTCCACTGCACCACACAGCCGCTGGCATTTTCCATGGCTTAAGCCAAGTTAAACAGCAGGGCCTCTGTGCCACCCTGATAAATCTGTTCAGAGAGGGACTCTGAGCCTCAGAGAGCTGGCCTTCTTCACCACCTGGGTCGTGGGCCCTGGAAGGGTCCCTCCCCAACTCTGGAGGTCAGTGTCTTACTGACAGTTTCCGTGTACAGAGTCCTCACTAGGTGCTTCACGTATGGGATAGAACTGAATCCTCCGGACAGACCTGGGGCAATGAGAGTCCAGGCGGAAGATGCAGAAACCAGGCTGGGAGACTGAAGTAACCGGCCTGGGCCCCACAGACAAGTGCTGGCTGATTCTGAACGCTGGCCCTTTGCCCCTGAACTCTCGTCTCAGATTCAGTACTTGTACCCCAAAGCAAAGCCTGTCACCCCTCCCGCTGCTGGGTCCCACGCTCCCTGGCGGCCCCACTCCCTACAAGGTTTTGGGCCCCGGGGTCGGGGTGAACAGATGGCCCTGGTCGGCCCTGTAGGAGGAAGGGCAGCCACAGCAGCTCCAGAGCTCTCACTCTCTCCACCTTTGCAAAGAATTCCACCCAGAGACCATTGGAAATGCCCCAGCTGAGCCCCACAAGCCCTAAGGCCCAGGGACGCTCACGTGAGCTGGGGCCTCAGAAAACAGCTTTAGCAAAGGGGGAGTCACCCTCCTATGGGCCTCGCGGCTCTGGCGGGCAGCTTCACTGCACTCGTCCCCTGGGGAAGGGTGAGAGGGTCGCCCCAACCTCGTCACCACGTCCCCTAAGAGTGACCCCAAAGTCTTCCCTCAACCTAGGCTCCCGAGCTCCCGAGGACCCCACCTCTGCATCCTCGGCCCTGGCTGGGGTTCCGTTTAGGTTTGTTGTCTAAAGCCGAGGGTTTGTGTGGGTCCCCAAAAACAAGACGAAACAAACCCCCAAGGGCCCCTTCCTGCCTCCAGTGCCCGCTCACCACCAGTGGCTGCAGAGCCTGGTCCCGTCATTCCAGTCAGCCTCACTGCCCAGGGAGCTTCTGGGGAACAGCACAGGGACCCTTCAGGGTGGGCATCCTCAGCCCAGGGGGCTTGTCACCGGGAATTGGGGCTGGAGGCTCCTGGCCTCAGGGCCCTCCGGGGTCGCCATGACTGCCCAGGCATCACCAGCTATTATCGTCCCCAGTTATTATTGTCCTGGTGTCCCCAGGGGTGGCTGTCCAGGTGTCCCCAGAGGTGACTGTCCAGATGTCTCCAGCTAGGACTGCCCAGGTGTCCCTAGCTGTGACTGCCCAGGTGTCCCCAGCTGTGACTGCCTAGCTGTCCCCAAGTGTGACTGCCCAGGTGTCCCCATGTGTGTCCTTGGTTCTGGGGGCCTGGCCCAGGCAGACCATCACACACCCATCTCAGAGGCAGCTCCAGTCCCCACAGACGGCCTTGTGCCTGATTCCAGGGTCTGGCCCCCAGCTAAGGAACCCACTGGCCCCTTCCCCAGTCTCACGCCTGGCCTAGGATGAAGGTTTGTACTGAGTCACCCCACATTCGGGGAACGGCCTGGAGTGTCCACCTCGTGTTCGTGGCCATGTGTGCAATGACTGTCCAGATTAAGAACCCAGGGACCCCACACCCTCAGGCTCTCCAAGCCCGAGTCCGTCAGTTTCCCTCTCTCAGCCCTAATAATCATCCCTGACACTACAGGTGGCTTGACAAGTCAACGTTTCTAAGCACATGGGATGCTCAGCCCTGCGCTGGGCTCATGCCGGGCACCTCCTCCTCCCCTGCGCCTGGGTCAGACCCACACACGGGCTCTGGCACCCAGGGGCCTAACCTTCAGGAAGGATACACTAAAACCCAGGCCTCTGCTTAGACCCATGGGGCAGGGACAGGAACCCCTGGGCTGGGGCGGATCCCTCTCACTCCCCCTGGCCCTTCCGGTCAGACTCCCATAGCAAGGCCTCACCTACCGGACCCTGCCCCAGCAGCCCCCGGACAGGGCAGGGGAAGCGTGTCCTACCTGGCCTTGTGAGTCCTGTTCCCGGCCGTGGTGGGGAGGCTGGCACTGATGTTGGGAAAGGGGGCCTCAGAGGAGGTGTTGGCCACTCTGTCACTGCTCAGCTCCAGGTACGACCCGTTGAGCAGGTAAGCGCCGGCTCCCTCGTTCTCCTCATAGTCGACATAGAAGGTCTCGGCGGGAGAGCTCCTCGGGGCGCCCTGCGCGAAGATGCTGTTGACAGTCTCGTTGAGGGTGAGCTCCTTGGAGTCGGAGCCTGTACCCAGGAGCTGGCCAGAGATGGCGTTGGCCGAGAGGAGCTCCTGGGAGGCGAAACGGACATCAGCCTCATGGTCATCCTGGTCCCCCGCGAGGGCTGTCCCAGTGGCGTTGCCATCTGCAAGGAAGACAGGTGGCTCAACGTCAAGCGGTCCCTCGAGTGGGGGGCAAGGGCTGCCCTGGGGTGGGGGGGCCCGGACCAGTGGGGCTGAAGCAAAGAGCTGACCCAGGAAGCTCCCAGAGGCAGGTTTCTGCCCAATGGAAGGACACGGATCATCAAGGGGAGGCGTGCAAGCTGGCCTGGACAATCTCTTATGGGGCAGTCTGCTTGACCTCTGCAGTGCATTGAATAGGGTCCCCCTAAAATTGTCCCTTCTGAACCTCAGAATGTAAGCTTATTTGAAAATAGGGTCCTCAACGATGTAATTAGTAAAGGGTCTTAAGATGAGCTCATCTTGGATTAGGGTGGGCCCTACGTCCTTTAAAGAAGAGGAGGGACACACAGACACAGAGGAGAGGCCATGTGAGGATGGAGCAGAGAATGAAGTGATGCTGCCGTAAGCCAAGGAGCGCCTGGAGCCACCAGGAGCTGGGAGATGCAGGAAGGACCCTCCCCTGGAGCCTCTGGAGGGAGTGTGGCCCTGTGACACCTTGATCTTGGACTTCCGGCTTCCAGAACAGGAGAGAACACATTTCTCTTATTCTAACCCCCTCGGTTTGTGGTCCTTTGTTATGGCAGCCCCAGGAAGCAAATATAACCTCCAACATGTCTTCTACTTGGAGATTCGGCGAGTCTTAGAAACGTGCCCTCAAGTGTGTGAGCGGATTCCTCCCAAGTCTGCCCTACTCTCTGCCCCTCAGCAGGAGCGATGGTGCAAACCCACCCCTATGAAGCACTCAAAGCCCGGAGCACGTGGTCTCGGGGCCCCGACTCTGGGTTCACTGCCTACAGCTCCAGCCACAGCTCCTGCCTCTTGCCCTGGAACGTGCCCCACCAGGCTGTCCCTCACTTGTCCTCTCTTCCCCCCACCCCTCTCCCACGGCCTCGCCAGCTAACCCTCACTCATTCCCGAGCCCTCAGGGCAGGGCTTACCCTCCCTGAGAACTCCAGGTCCTCCCCGTGCCCCCTCGGCTGCCCGTTAGTCCCTCCCTGTGCCTCTGCTATGCCTCATATGCTGTCTGCCTGTCTGTCCATCTCCATCGAATGGGCAAGGGCACGAGCTCTGGGATCACACTGTCCTCCAGCTCACCCATGGGGGACTACGTGACGTGGGCAGGTCCCCCCCTCTCTAAGCCTCAGTCTCTCCATCTGTCAAATGGGGATAACGGTATCCACCCCAGAAAGGATGTAAAAGAAGACGTGTGTGAGGGGCCTGCCCCAGGACACCTGCGCGTAGCCGGCGCCTCCACGAAGCTCTTCTGCAGGCTGCGGGGACGGAGGACGCTTTACCCAAGGCCCCTCTCCCTGGGAAGCCCCGGCCCCACCCCGCCCCTCCTCCTGGTTACCTCGGAAGCCCTTGCCCCTGGGGGGCCCCTCGCAGGCCCCGCCGCTGGCCTGCTCGCACACCTCGTTGGTCTCCTGGCCCTTGGGCAGACCCAGCTCCATCCCTGGGCCCAGGTGGCCGAAGAGCCGGTTGTCCAGGCCCAGCCGCTCCGAGGAGGCCTGGCCGTAGAGGGAGCCATTGTGCTGCAGGAAGCCCACCAGGTCAGCCCCGTCCAGCTCCTGGCTCTCGGTGCTCTCCGGGGCAGGCTCAGAGAAGCTGTAGTAGAGGGGCTGGGGGCGGTGGGCGTGTGGCGGCTGCAGCAGCGTGTACTCGAAGGTGATGGAGGGGCTTTTGCCATTCTGGTTCCACACCTGGGGAGGAGAAGAAGTGGGAGCCTGCCCCTTCCTCACTCCAGCCCCGTCCCCATTAGCCCAGAACGGCTGCTGAGACCCATCACCCACAAGCCCCTTTACAACCAAAGCACTCTGGTCCCCGTGCAGGTAGGAGCCTTCCCTGCTGTGGCTCACAGCTGAGTCCCTCCTGGGCACTCACCCTTGATGGAAGAAGGCTGCCTCGCCAAGGCGACCCTCCACCCCAGGGGCAGCCCGCATCTAAAGACTGGCCAACAGGGGCACACCCATGGCGGAGGCAGAGGGAGTGGTCCCCCCGGGGTCCAGGGAGTAGTGGGTGCACTGTGTGTAGAGAATGTTTTAAAAGTAATAAAACCAATTACAATCCAACCTGCATTGTACCACCACCACGTGCCAGGAATCCCAAGTTATAATGGCATACCACCCCCGCCGCCTTCCCTCCAGAGCCCCCGCTGCCAGGAAAGCGGCCCCTGGGGGCCATCCGGCTGCAGAGCTGGCTCTGGGACGGGCTGAGGCCTCTGCTGAGGCTGCATTGCAGCCCAACTTCTGCCCCTGTGAGGCCTGCTTCCCCCTCCCCAGGAGAGGTCTCAGGGTCTCCCCCAGGGACTCCAGCCGAAGTCACCGATGTCAGGAGAAGTCCTAGGAAGTGGACTCTCAAATGGGAGCTTGGAGCAGGATCATTCACCAGCAGGAGCCAGGGGAGCCCACCCTGGCAGTGCGTAGAGCTCTGAGACCCCACAAGTGGCAAACTGGGATGGGCGACCCACAGAAGAACATGCGCCACCCACAGAAGAACATGCGCCAGTGGATGCCGTGTCTCAAGTGTTGGGGAGTTGGCTGGCAGCAGAGTGGGCACTGAGAATGGTAAGGGACTGTGGAGTCCTGTGTGGCAGAGAATGACAGTGAGAGGCTGAGGGAGACATCACCACCTCCTGTCCATTCTAAGGCCAAGCCAGAGGACCTCCTGGTATTACACAAGGACACTCTCGTGTCCTCTGGCCAGGTGGCCGAAAAAGTAGAAAGGTGCCAGAGAACTCGAGGAGGCCGGCTTCCCCATCCTGCCAGGAGCCCGACAAGAGAGGGCCTGAGACACAGGGCACAGGGGTCTGAGCCAACGTGCCGGAAAAATTTGAACTCTCAGATTCCCCCGAATCTTCTGGGCCTGAAAATTGGCTCCTCCCTGTTAAAGCACTTGGCCCCACCTGAGGATGGCACAGAGACTCCTGGCTTCAAGGCCCCTCAGGCCTCCCCCAGGACTTGCCCCCCCTTGTCTCCTGGCCTCTCGACTGAAAGCTCGGGTTAAGTCCCATCCTCACCCAGTCATGGGGCCTTGGGGCTGCTCAGGGGAGAAGGGACAACGCACTGACGGACCTGAAGGACAAGCCCATGGGAATTGGCCGAGCCCGGGAGAGTGCCTGTGGGCCTGGAGGCGAGGGTCAGAGGGCAGGATCACAGACAGCAAAGGACGAACCTGGATGAGGAAGAGGTTCTCCGTGTGGGAGCTCTCTCTCATGACCAGGCACACACAGGAGAACTCTGGGAGAAAGTGCTAACACACCACTAGGATGGCTCTTGGAAACTTGGAGAAACTGAGGGCCAACACTCAGTGAAAGACAAATGCTAGCACTGCTAGCAGATGAGGAAAAGGGATGAGAAGTCTGGAAGATCCACCAGGAAACTCATTTCTGCAGAAGGACTCTGTTCCCCAGAGTGAAAAGAAATGTGACGGGAAGAGGCACGAACATCACTTAAAGGGACTGTGTGGGGAGTCCTCACAGGCCAGGGCTGATGGCAGGAGATGCTATTTCACAACCAGACTCCCCACAATAATCAGAACAAGGTGGGCACAAGTATTATAATAAGCAAGAAGGTTGTCCTGGTAGCCGGGAGGCCTGAGCCACAGAGACTTTTGGCCATGGTTGATTAGAACAAAGGACTCTCAGGGGACAAGTAGATCAGCCGAGAAAAGGTGCTTCTCAGTCTGTAAGATCAAAAGATATCAAGGCTGGGTGATCAGGAAGCGGAGAGCAGCTGTCCCGTGAAAGTCACAATCCCTACCCAATTTCGGGCCAGTTTCCAGACCCAGAATCCACTGAGAGACAGACCAGCCAGGTCCCGGGAACAGGGATCCACAACCAGTTTATATGGTAATGATTCTCCCAGTTCTTCCCCAAAGAGCCCACAGCCATTTACTTGGTTAACTGTTCACCAGAGAAATGGGTAGACGCTCTGGAACCAGGGTGGTCATTGTCAGCCAGGGACCCACAGCATCGTTATTGCCCCTCTGTTACTGTGAGAGCGTGTAGGGGACAAGTAATGGCCCGAGGACAGCCCCAGTCTGTCTCACAGTATGTCCACCGGAGGCCAGGCTCACTCAGTGCCCAAGAGCATAATAGGCAGGTGGCAGAAGCCTCATGTTGGCCCCTTGACCTGGGGAGAGGAGCTACCATAGCGGGGAGAGATGAGTAGATTCCTCTGAAAGAGTGAATCAGAAACACTACTGCGTCCTGGGAGAACACACAGAGACAGGTGCCACTCTCAAAGACCCAAAGGATGCAGTGGTAGTGATCTCATCCTCCATTCGATTCAACAGTCGAATCAACTGTTCTGTTGAAAGAGTTGTTTCAACAGAAGCAAGACAGACCCAGAAGGATGACAGTGAACCACTACAGACTCAGCTGAGCAGGAACTCTGCTCTGCGACGGATGCGGTCTTTCCTAGAACACACCAACATGGCCTCAGGTTGATCACATGTGGCCACGGATCCCGCAAATACGTTCTTTTCCACACCAATGGGGAAGGAGGAGCAGAAGCAGTTTTCATTCACGTGGGATGGACAACAACACACATTTACAGTTTGGACCCAGGGCTGTGCCAACTCTCCCACTGCCCATGATCGTACAGTCCAAAGGAGTCTGGACCATTCTACAGAACAGTACACTGCTCCTCCGTATTGGTGACATCATGTTAGCAGACCAGACGAGCGGGGAGTGGCATGGAGGCCTTGGTAAAGCATACACATTCCAGAGGATCAGAGATTAACTCCTGTGAAGGTTCAGCGCCACTCCACGTCAGAGAAAATTTCAGGGTCCGGCAGTCTAGGGTATACCAGGGTCTCCCTTTGAAAGTAAAGGGCAAATTATTGCATCTCATGCCCTCCATCATGAAGAAGAATTTCGAACACAGCATATCCCACATCCAGGAATGTGGATCCAATCCATATTCTGGGTAACATGAAAAGCTGCCAGCTCTGCGTGGGGTCCTGGGGAGAAAGGGCTCTTTGGCAGGTCCAGGCTGAGGTGAAAGCAGCCTGCCGCTGGAGCCGTGAACCTGGCCAACCCTACAGTAATAGAGACATCTGTGGTGGGGAAAGGTGTCGTGTGGAGTTTCTGGCAAGCCTTGATAGGAACATGATAAGGTAAACCCCTAGGGTTCTGGAGCAAGGTCATGTCACCTGCAACAAATAAATACACATTATTTGAGAAAGAGCTCTGGCATGCCGCCAGACCCTACCAGAGGTAGAACCCTCTGACCACAGGACATCAAGTGACCCACACAGCCAGAGCAGAACATGATAACATGAGTCCTGTCAACTCCACTCAGTGATGCAGTTGGGCAGGCCCAGCAGCGATCCATCATAAGATGGAAGTGTTACATCCAGGAATAGGCACCATCAGGGCCAGAGAACACTGAAAGCTGCACCAACAGGTGACAAACTCCCACCATCCAAGACTCTTACAGCAGCATCTGTCTCAGAGCCCACAGCTACAGCGGCCTGGGCACCCTCATGACGAAATCAGAGAGGAGAGAAATGGCCAAACTTGAGACGGGCCAGCTCAGTAAGGGGGCGCAAGCTGAAAATGGGATCTCGGTCACTAGAGCCCTGTTGAGGGGCAGTCCTGGAAAAGTGCAGTGAAAGAGACCCCTCCCAATAGGCTTCAGGCAGCCATCATCCAATCTGTATGGAAAACACAGTGTCCCAAGGTAAGAATCTGCACTGACTCATGGGCCACGGCTAACGACTTGGCTGGTTGGTCTGGAGCCTAGATGGGAAAGATTTTAAGATTGGGGATGAGGAGGTCTGGAGGAGATAAGTGTGGATGATCAATGGAGTGGATATGAAACATGACGGTCTTCGTGTCCCTTGTTAATGCATGCTGGGGAGCACCCACCATGGGAGGGCATGAAACAACAAGTAATAGAACAGCTTTGCCAGCAGACATAGGCCAGCCTCTCGCCTCAGTCACCCCACTGATGGCACACTGGGGGCATGAATGGAACAGCCACAGTAGCAGGGATAGAAACCATGCATAGGCCCAAGAGATGGGTTCTCACCCCACCAAGGCTGCTCTAGCTACTTCCAAGAGTGGAAGTCCAGCCTCCTGGCATCAACACTGAGCCTGGGGTACGGCACCTTCCCTCGAGGGGACCATCGGCTATATGATGGTGCATTGATTACACCAGACCCCTTCTATCCTGGAAGGGGAAGCGACTAACTTTATTCTGAATAGGAGCTTGACTTTCCTGCCCACAGTGCCTCAGCCAGGCCCAATAGCCAAGGGCTCTGAGAGTATTTATCCCACTGAGACAGGACACCATACAACATTGCATTGGACAAAGGGACCCGCTTTATCGCAAAGGAGATACCTCAGCTGGCACAGGACCATGAGATCCATGGGGCCTACATATGCTGCATCACCCAGAAACTGCCAGCCTGATAGAGTGAAGGCAGCTGAGACCAAGGTGCAGCTTAGAGACAACAGGACCCTGAAGGGCTGGGGTCTCGGGGCACCTTCCCTGAAGCAACGCACGCCCTCAATCTATCACCAGACCGTGGTGCTGTGCTCATTCCCGGTGGGCCTGGGAACCAAGAGGTGGCAGTAGCAGCAGCTGCCAGTCCCAGGGACCCACTTGGGGATTTGGGGGTTCGCGTCCCTGCAACTCTAGGGACTGTCGCTCTAGAGGTCCTGATTCCCGGTGGGGGACACTTCCTCCAGGAGACATCACATGAGCCTCATTAAACTGTAAGCTACGACTGCCACTTGGTCTGCTGGGGCACCTTGTGCTGAGACAGCAGCAGCAGGACGGGGTCACCATCCTGACAGTAGCTGACCCGCTCACCGGGGCAGGCAGGGACGATTTGACCTGGCGGCAGAGAAGATGTCTGGTTCCCTGCTGCTCCACTGGGCATCTCTTGGTACCCCCTGCCCAGTTTTGATGGTAAGTGGACAAGTGAGCAGCCTTGGGTTGAAAAGGGCCTGGAGACTGGCAGCCCAGACCCCCCACGTAAGAGGGCCTGAGATACCTGGCCAGGTAAGCCACCTGGACTAGCAGAGGTGCTAGGCGGGGGTGAGAGGAATCTAGAATGGGTAGCGGAGGAGGGAAATGATGGGATTCAGTGGCAGCCCCCAGACCAGCTGCATTTCACCCCACCAGCCTTCGCGTCAGGCTCCCCAGGAAACAAACCAACCAGAATTCGAGAGGAGCTCTTCCTGACAAGGTAAACTCATTACACAAAGCAAACGGATGCGAGCAGTGCAAGGGATGGACTGGGGTGGAGGCTGTGGGGTGCCCCCAGGCCCCCCCCTTTAGTGAGCTGCCTGGGGGGCTGTGGCTGACAGTTCTCGGCTGAGTCCCTCCCCAGGAATTTCCCTCAGCCAGAGAGCTGCCTCTCCCAACGTCATGCCCCTCCGTGAGGGGCACCCAGGGACGGAGCCAAGCCCCCTGCCTCCACTTGAGATGACTCCAAGGGGTCACTGAAACCCCAGAACTCCCAGTGGGAGCAGCTCAGCATCTCCTTCTGTCCAGCGCTGACCCCTCATTCCATCACAGGTGCTGTTCCTGAGACCACGCCCCCAAATCTTCCCACACATAGACCTGCCTCTCAGAGTCTGTTTCCTGAGGACCATGGCCTACAGCACAGCTCCACTCCGGGGGGTGAAGCCAGGAGGCCAGACTGCCTCAAGGACAGCAGCAAGGGAAGATGTAGAAATACGTGACCCCCATTAGATTCTGGGGTCACCCAGGGAAGCTCTGCAGCCAAGAGGCAGTGTGGGGAGGTGGGGGCAGCAGCCCCAGTTGGAGACCCCTCCAGCACAGCAGTTCAACAGACAACTGGCCCTGGCACCTGACTGAGCTGGGTTTAAGACCACCTGTGCCACTTTCGATTCCGTGCCTGGGCGAGTCACTGATCTCTGTGCCCAGGTGCCTTCGTCTATAAAGTGAGGATGCGATACCCGCCATGGTGGGGTTTGGAAATCAAAACAGCCCAGGGGGGTGGGCTCTGTCCCCACTGTACCCCTCAGCCTCCACAAAAGCTGGTAGGCCTTGAAGAGCAACAGAACTGCCATCTGGACGTCACCTGATCTCGGTGACACGTCCTCTACATTTTTTCAGTGCTGGGGCACCAAGTTGCAATGCACTCGTTTCTAGACACTTGCCATGGGAAAACTCCAGCAAGCTGGGCATGATAGGCCCAAACTCCCTCCTGCCCTCTGCTTGTGCCTGTGCCCTTCCCTAGAAGCCGTGAGCATCCCGGGGGGCAGAGTCCAGGGAGGGCCACAACAGTGCCATGGTCCCTCAACATTGAGGATCCACAGGGTGGGGTGGGGAACCACACGGGGGGCATAAATCCCCAGCTGTGGAGCGGGGAGTGGGTCCCACATCCCTGCAGCCCCATCCAGCTGTCTGTCCTCCCCTCCCCCTGCAGATCCTGGTGACCTGCACAGAACGTCCCACTATGCTCATCCAGGAGGAGCACCAAAGCAGGAATGAAAGAATGAGGGAATGAAGGAATGAATGATTACCAAGTGAGAGGGTGAGAGAGTGGGTGGCTGGGTAAGCAAGGGAATGGAAAAATGAATAAATGAATGAATGAGTGAATGAGTAAATGAGAGTAAGTGATGGAATTAAAATCTGAGTGAATGAATGAATGAGGGCATGAATCAGTGAATGAATGAGTGAACAGATGAGACAACCCCCCAGCTGAGTGGAGACACTGCCACATGCACGCACACTGTGGGGCCATCCCGTGGTGTCGCTGGCCCCAGAGGCCGCCCCTGCCGCCCGAAGCCCGCGGCCCACGCACCATGACGTTCAGGCCCTGGTTGGTGGGCCCCTGCGCCACGATGTACTCGATGCCGGTCTCATAGATGTCCATGGGCCGCCGGTACTTGACCACCGTGCCGGCGATGTTGAAGTTCTTGGGGCTGTCCACCTTGAAGTTGCCGTTGAAGAAGTAGTAGCCGGCTTCATCTGCAAGAGCTGAAAGGGCAAACCGCCGGGTCACGTGCGCTGGACGGGCCGGAGGGAGGACAGAGGGGCCAGCGAGAGCATCCTCACGTGCTCAGGGAGCCATGGCCAGCCCGTCCCCACGACCCTCCCCAAATACTCTGAAGACAGGAAACTCCACATGGCGAGGAGCAGATGCCCTGTCTGTGTCCCGCCTGGGGCCCCGGCCCCTGAGTGCTGAGGAGGTGTGAGCGAACTTTCCTATCAGCCTAAACTAAATAAGGACTCGTCTGGACGACTGCAGATAGCTGGCTCGGGGCCCACTTCGTCCCGTCACTCTGGCTGCCTCTGAAGGGGCTGGGGGCTTCGAGGTGATGACCTGGCATCAGGTCCAAGCGGCCAGGTCTGGATCAGGAGGGTCAGCACCCAGGAAAGACACACACTAGGGGCAGGTGTCAGCAGGTCCAGGCTGGGCCATCCAGATGGCTCTGCTGTGGACTCACCGTGTGACGCTGGGTGAGTAGCCGCCCCCAGCTTCACACCCAGATGATGGGGAGGGGACCTCAGTGCCCCTTCCAGGGTCCACATTGAGCGACACTGCAGCCCTGACCGGGCTAGCCTGGAAGGCAGTCCCAGCAGCCCCAGCGGGCCCTTTCAGACCACTGTGAGCTGACCAGCTCCGTACTCCCCCTGGGAACCATGACATTCTGCTGCCATGCTGGGGTGACCCAGGCACGGCTGAGGGCAGCCAGGGGACATTCCCAGTAGCCTTCTCTCTGAGGCGAGGAGCGGGTGGACACTTGGAACAGAGGCTGTCAGAAGGACGGCCACTCCCAGGGCCTGACTGGAGCCTGATGACGCCCAGACAGAAAGAATGTGCATGCAACCCCCAGCAGCCCGTCTCACGCCGGCCCTGGAGGCTGGAACAACGGCCCAGCGCTGGTGCGACTGTTGGGGGCCGCCGGCCCTCCCGGGGGCTGAGGGTAGAGGGTGAACAACCGCTCTCAGAGCCTTGGGGCCGGGGGATGGGGTGAGGAGGCGGGCTCCACAGCAGGGACAGTGTGTCTTCCAGAGGGTGTCCTTAGAGTCAGTTCCAGGAACTGGCCCCGGGGAGGCAAGAGTTCAGCGTCCAAAGCTCCTGATGCAACGCGAGCAGAGGAGCCGGGCGATTAATTTATTATCAGACAGACGCAACAAGCAGGACGCGTCTGCTGGAAAAATACCCTCGACGAGTCAAAAAATGACGTGAGCAATAGTCCAAGCTGCGCGCGGCGGAGCGTGTGCCGGGGCCGGGTCGTCTCCACCAAGCCTGCAGGTCTGTGCACGGGGTTCAGTCCTGGCCCAGGTCCAAAACTTGCTTCCCGACCGTAAGGACCTCCCTTCCCGCGGCTCCCCCGTGCTCGAGGCCGCCCCTGGTATTTCCAAGCGTCTGCCTCAGCAGCAACTGCTCTGCGGCCAGCTCTGGGAACACCGTGTTTCCTGGCCTCACCGCCCTCCCAGCGGGCGACAGAGCAACCGGCCTGGCAGGGGCCTGGCTCCCGCACTCAGCCGCGGCGCCTGGGGCCTGCCATGTGCAGACCTGCCAGGGTGGAGGCTGGAGCTCAGGGTCCATAGTGCTCGGACCCCCGTGGCCTCAAGGGCTGAGAGCCTGGGCTGAGCTCTCCCTGGAGGACTTTTAGCAAAGGTTGACGCCTCCCAGCGTCCCCCCAGAAGGGTGGCGTCCTCCTACCTGTCTTGGCTCTCGCGCAGCTGCCCTGAGATGCTAGGAGGTCAGCAAGCCACTGGGAGCAGCTTCTTCCCTGGGTCCCCACCTGTCCCGTACAGGGCAGCTCCCAGGTTCAGCACCTACTTGCCTCGGCCAGCAGGGCCTCAGGCCATCTGCTGGGGGTGCAGACAAGGCACACTGCCAGGCCAAGGCTCCAACTACACAGGGACACTTTCTAGAAATTGTCACCAACTTGGGGCCTCACTGTCTCGGCCACTATGCAAATAACTCCAGAACCCTCAAGTTGGAGGACCCCTCCTGTGGTCCAGCTGCCCACCAGAGACCATCTAGTGGCAAGAACATCAACTTGAGAGCCCCTAGACCTGAGTTTGAATCCTCCTGTGCTTCTCGTCACCCCTGGCCTCCGACTGGCCACCTACTTCCTCTCGCCGGACATCGACTTTCTCACCAACTGAGTCTTAGTCTTCGTACCCTGGGGGGCAGGGGTCCCAAACTCAGCACGTCCATCTTTTGCCCGTGCCAGGCTCTCCAGGGACAAGGAACTCACTACCTGATGTCACGACCCGCCATTGTCAAGCAGCTCTGAGTACAATGTCCTTCTGCACATGGGGGTGAGGTCAACATCCCTGTGATCCCCCCATACATGCACATACCCAGCTTGAGTTCTGGCTTCTGGGGCCCATCCATCTCCCACAGGAAGGGATCCAGGGTCAAGTGTCCCTTCTACACCCACACATCTTGCTCCGTGCCTGCAAAACCACGAGCTGCCCAGGCCGCACATACGTACCCAGGACGTCAGCAGACTTCTTCCGCTCCACGATCTGGATGTCTCGGGCACCAGCTGGGATGTGGGTCACCAGAGAGTAACCTGGGGGAGATGAGACGATGGTGAGCAACAGGTCTAGCTGTGGCCACTGGCTCTTGATTGTAAAGGAACCTGGATGGGGGTCACCACCCTCCCGCGCTCCTGGCAGGTGAGGGGCACTGTGTAAGGGCAGCCGCACCCGCATAGCCACACCGCAGCCAAGAGGCCAGTCGGGGATCCTCCGAAACGCTCCGGGCAGTTGGAGGGCTGACCCACCGCCCAGGCAGGGGCCCAGGTTTACCTGACACTCATGGTACCTGTCCTAGCCCCTCCCGAGGGACATCACAGGCCACAGGGAGCTTAAATCTGCCACAGTCAAATGCACTTGGGTCCTACTCTGCCACGTACCACCAGGGTGACCCTGAGCAAGTTGCTGGAGCTCTCGGGCCTCAGTTTCCTCATCTGTACACAGGGATAAAGTTTCCCACTCTAAGTGGTATTGGGAGACTGCATAGCACAGAGCCTGGCCCCGAGAGCATCATCACTTTTAGTATTTTAAAAACCCATCTTGTCACAACATCATGTGATTTTTAAAGGCTTGCCACATTCCAAGATGTGGATGAGAAAGTACAGGGCCCCAGGTCAAGGTCAGCTCAGAGCCTGTCATGGAAGCCCCCAGTCAGGTGGCGGGCAGCCACAGAGACCTCCACGAGGCCCCCAACAAAGGGACCGAGGGTCTTGGGGGCAGGAGTCTGAGGAAGGGAGAAATGCTGCCAGCAGGTGACAGAGAGTGGGCTGGGGACAAAGTTCTAAGACAAGAGTCTCGGGGAGGAGATGAGAGGGGATCTCAGAGACCAGGTTTGCCAGGCTGTTGCTCATGTCACAGGTTCCCGGACGAGAAGCATTAGCGTCCCCGTGCGCCTGGTGCTGGCTGAGCTGCTCCTGCAGGCCAGCACCACCCATCATTCCTCTCTGCTGCCTGCCCACCTTCTCCAGGTCCCTGGAGCCCCTGAGCCCGTCCCTCCCGGCCCACAGCGGCTGGGGATGTTTAGCAAGAGGCTCTTCTAGTGGGAGGGTGGGAGGAGCTCTGATGCACCGCATTGGCCAATGTCCGTGGTGCAACCACTCCTGCTGTGGCCAATTTCAAGCTCCCACGTGCTGTCGCCAGGAGCAGAGGTGGGAGGAGGTGCCCAGTGGTTCACCTGCTGCTATAGCGTTTCCACCGCAGGGATGCAATCATTACAGAGGTGACACCGTTAGGAAGTGATGACTTAATTTAAATATGATTTATTTAAATGTAGGTTTATATTCGTTAATTTTTTAATTAGCAACCAGCTCACAAGATTCCAGAGCCTTTAATAATCATCTCCCACACCCTGCAGGGCCCTCCCACATGCATTTGTCAGGGAAGAGTGTGGTTCAGTGGTTAGGACCACAGATCCAGGAGCTAGGCTGTCTGGGTTCAGACCCAGCTCTGCCACCTCTGGCTGTGCGCCCTCAGACTAGCTTCTTAACCTCTCTCTGCCTGCTTCTGCATCTGTAAAATGGCGACAGGGGTAGGACCTGCCTTCTTGTGGGACATGCCTGACGGGGCTCAGGGCACAATATGCACTCGGTAGAGTGGTCAGTATGTTTGCTGTCAGCCCCCAGGCCCCACACCGAGATTTCCGTGAGGGCACGACCTTGACAATGGGGCCTCACTGCCACCTGCAGCGCCTGGCACGGAGAGAGCCCGAGTGCTGCCCCTGCTGTCCCCGTGCCCTGGGCTCTGGCGCAAGGCCCCCGGGCAGCTACAAAAGGAAGGGAAGAAATGGAGCCACCAGCTCATGCTGCCTCCCACAGCGAGGCCCCCAAAGAAAGCAGCCATGCTCGCCGTGCGTGATGGAGTTCTAGTCTGCGCTCTGCCCAGGGCCCCCATTAAAGACACCCCCCCTTCCTTTACCCTAACCCTCCTCGGTCCAACACGCCCATCCCTGGCTCCCAAGTCCAAGCCCTAACACCAACTCCGAAATTGTCGCTCGTGTTGGGCGGGAGGCAATTCCTGCCTGTTCTGGGACACGGCCCACGGAGGGGTCCATGGTGGCTCTAATGGGGCTGGTTCTAATCCAGACTGGCCCGGCTCACCTTGTGTAGACAATTCCCACTCTGGGCCTCAGTTTCCCCATCTGCTAAGTGGGTTTCAAGCTGCCCGGCCTCCCCTGATCTGGAGGCTATGACAACCCCCTCTATCCGCACCAGCATTCACTGAGCCCAAGAAATGCATTCAGTTCAACGCCAAGTGTCATTATAAGTGACATCTTTCCAAAAGTATAAGGTTCTGTCACCTGCACAGACCCCCTACCCCTACCCCAGCCCCCAAGAGGCCAGATGGGCGAGGCTGGGAGAACCGACTGCCCTGGGAGGGGAGGGGCTGTCCCTGAGCTGAAGCCCACCTGGAGCTGGTGGGAGCCTCTGCTTCCCTTCGGCCCTCCGAAACTCGGCTTTGAGACCTTAGGCCCCAGAATCTGCCTGCCCAGACACGGATCTCATACCAGCTGTGAGGATGGGACTCGTGCCTCAGTTTCCCTCTTGTAAGTGTGGTATTAACACCTCCCTGAAGGCTGCTGCAAAGGTCCAACATGATCACCAAGCCAGGTGCACACTTTGGCCCCAGGTATTCAGTAGGTGCTCAACAGAGAGCTGCTCGTAATTCCTAGCCAAAGGGGGCCTTCCAGAGCACCTGGCCACCTGGGCTGGGCGGAGGCTCTGGTGGCCCAGGAGGGGAGGCTCTCACTCCGTGGCACTCCGCGGGTTGGGGCAGATTGCCGGGCCCGGCCGCTGGGTGGGAGCTCTTACCAAGGTGGGTGTTCCCCTTGCGGTAATTGCCCGTCACATGGGTGCAGCTGCTACCGTCCCCCTGGCAGACGCCGCACTTGTCCAGCGTGTGGGTGGAGAAGAGCACCCCGTCACAGCCGATGGGCTGCAGGAAGGGAGGCGAGAGGGCTGCTGGGAGGGCGCCGAGGCCCCGGGCCGCCACCGCCGCGGGGGCACAGCTGGGCGGTCAGCGCAACGAGACCAGTGGTACTTTTGCTACAATGTTTAACAACCTCACATTTTCCAGACACGCAAACCCCTCGCAGGTCGGTGAGCTTGCAGGATGTGCCGTCGCGGGCAGGGACCATGAGCTGCCGCTGGCCGTCCACGGTGGTGCAGTGCAGGTCACACGGCTTGCTGGAGATGTGGACATAGTCATCTGGGGGGACACAGAGGGTCTCAGGGTGCGGAGGGGGCCGGATTCAGGGACTTCCCCTCTTCCTCCCACTGAGACAACACCCACCCCCCATTGCACTGATGGGGAAACTGAGGCCTGGAGAGTGGAAGGGACTTGCCCGTGATCTCAGTGGCAGAAACGGACCAAGATGTAGGTGGTCTGGCCCAGTCTAGGCTCCAGAGGTTCCAGCCTCTGCCTCTGGGGAGTGGGGGCCATTTCCCCCCCTGCAGGAGGCCTGAACCCATTGATGGCTCTGGGCTGCTGGCCCAGGATGCCCAGCGCTTACCTCGTGAGCGGGAGAGGCCGACTCAGTTACACTGGTGCCTGGACTACCTGTGACCTTTGACCAGTCCCCGCCCTCTGGGCCTCAGTTTCCCCACCTGCCCAGGCACTGGACAAGGATATTCCCTCCCCTTGTCTCCAGGAGGTGACCCCTAGGGTGTGGGTCCTTACAGGATGTGGAAGTGCTGCCCCCGCATCCCGCTCCCCTCCGGGTGTCCCCGGGCCTCAGTACCCGGGTACAGGGGCTTCCACTGGTGCGTCCGCCCGTTGTACACGTGGGAGTTGAAGGAGACACACTGCTCCTCGCGGAAGCTCCTCCCGTCCGGCGGACACTCCTGGGAAGCGAGAAGACGGGGAGGGAGGCTCCAGGAGGAACTCGGCCCGACAAAGGTATTTTTGTCCCGGCTGAGCAGGAAGTGGCTGCAGCCGGGACAGCCGCGCCAGGGCCATGGCCCGTGGGATGGCCTCTCCTCTCTCTCCATCTCGCTCGCCCTCCGGAAGGAGCGAGGACAAGCGGAAGGGCAGCGACCGTCCCTCAAACACCCACGTGGTCTGGCCCTCCTTGTGCTCTGGGCCGGATCTCTTCATCTCCTTGCCACCCGGCCTTCTCCCCAGCCACACGGTGAAGGGGAAGTGACACCGGGCCCTGGCCATGCTCCTGCTGGCTCCCCACTCATGCTGCGTCCTCGGGCAGAGGCCCGGTGCATGTCCACGGCTGTAGCCGCAATGCCTGGAACACAGCACCCTGACTGAAGGTGGACCTGACTTCACAGAAGAGGCGCCACCAGGCAGAGGGAGAGGCCTGTGCAGGGGGGCCCCGCTGGTCATGCTGGTGCCACAATGTGGACTGGGGGGGGATCTCCTTCTGGAGCTCAGGAGAGTCCAGGAGGGCAGCTGACCAATGATGCCAAGATGGGAACTATAGCCACTTGCCTCCCTTCAGCCCCTAACTCCCTGCACCTGTGCACACACGCAGACATGCAGACACCAGGACAGGGCGACACGTGCAGACCCCAGCAGCTTGCTGTCTCTCTGCCCCACGCCCCAGAGTCTGTGTTCAGACTGGCTGTGGCCCCACTGAGAGCTGCCCGGAGGCTGGACCAGAGTAGGCGCCTCCTGTCCAGCCCCGGCCGTGTCAGCGCCTGCTCACGGTTACTCAAGCAGCCACAGAGGCCAAGGGTGCCCTTGCACAGGGACAAGCTCCCGGGGGCTGGAGCTGGGCCGCAGTGGGACTATCTCACAGGTGGGGACAGGGATGCCTGATGACTGTCGGTCTCCCAGCGAGCACCTGGTGCAGGACTTGTGAGCAAAGGGGGCTGCAGCCAGAGACCCTGAACCTTGAGGCCACACTTTAGGCTCCACCAGCAGAAGCGAGTCCTTCTGGTCCCTCCACGTGCCCGAGCACACGGTGGGCACCGCAGATTTGATTTAATGAATGAAGGGGGAGCGCTGAGCCCGGGCCCCTCACCATCCTTCTCTTCAGAGGACGTGAGGGGCAGGCCGAGGACGGAGTATCCGGAGGGCCCAGAGGCCACCAAGAAGACGCCCGAGACCTGCCTAAGGAGGGGCGGGGCCTCACCTGCACGCGGCACAGCTGGTACCGCTTGGACGTGCCCGTGCAGGTCCTGTTCCCGGTGCCCGTGACAGACGTCCTCCTGGCGGGAAGATGCGGGCTCTGAGCCAGGGCCGCGAGCTGCAGGCCCCGCCCGACCCTGCTCCTGCCCTGGATGGCCTCTGGGCTGGCCCCTTGAGGCCGCCCCTGATCCCTCTGGGCAAGGAGTCCTTCCCCCCCACGTCCCCACCAACCCCCCACCACTGCACCAGAGCCCCTCCTTATCTCACACATGTTCAGGTAATGGGGTGCTTCTCAGCCCCTGCCTGGGGGACGGCCAAATCTGAGTCAGCTCTCTATCCCCAGCACGTCGCATGGGGTCTTAGCACAGAGAATTAATAACACTAACAACATTCACCATGTACTCAGCCCTGTGCGACAGTGCATAAACACACGGTCTACTGCCGTCTCAGAATGTCAGTGGGCTCTAGCATGATCTTCACGCCACAGATGAAGAAACTGATGCTCAGAGTAGTTAAGTGACTCGCCCAAGGTCACACAGCCAGGAAATGACAGAGGCGAAATTTGAACCCAGGTCTGTCTGACAGTAACCACTGCACCATATGCTTTTCCATGTTTATTCAACACAGTCTTCAGAAGAGAAGCCAGAGTGGGACTCACCCCTCGCTGAGAGAGCCCTAGAAATGGATGCTGCTTTCTCACAAAAGGGCTGTCCCCAGTGACCCAGAGCAGGATGAACCTTGGGACACCACGGCCCGGGACCCATCAGGAGGCCAATGAAAAGACGAAGTTGTTGACCTGGCCTGTGCTGCCTCAGACTGAAGACCCCTCCCAGGCTGAGACCCCCACCATCACCCGCTGCCCCAGGCAGAAGGCCAGGCTGCCCACCTCCCAGCCCTCCCTTTCCTGTCCAGGCTGCCCCACCTTCACATCAGCCCCTCGGGGCCCTCTGCTCAACCCCATACCTCTGCTGCAGGCAGTGCCGCTCCTGGGACGTCACCCCGGCCCCACAGCTGCGGGAACACGCCGTCCACTTGGTCCACTCCCCCCACCAGTAGGCGGTGGCATCGGTGCCCCCCTCCAGGCTATTGGACGTCGGGCTGTTGTCCTGGGTGAGAGGGCCCACAGAGGTTTGGAAGAAGGCTGGAGCACCGGGCAGGACAGGCCTGCCATCCCCAGGCCCTAGACGGGAGGATACAGCCCCCTGGATGGCCTCTGACTGAGCGGTTCGGCAGCCCGGGCTCAGATCTCCAGGGAGTCTTGGAGGGAACTCCCAGGAGGTCGTGGGCCGTGGGTCCTCTCGATCTTGCCGTCTGGAGACTCCTGGGAGCTCAGGGGAAGGCTGAGGCGGCACCTAACCGTCCTCTTGTCTTTCTCCCGCGAGCCTGGGGCCCGGCCCTGGTTCTGCAGGACACGAGCCCACCTGTCACAGGCCTCACTCCAGGCCTTTACCTGGAAGGGAAGCTCTCGGCCCCCAGCCCCATCCTGCCAAACCTGCAAGGGCTCCAGGGTGCCAGAGGCCCCTGCACAGCGGCTTCTCTGATTGGCTCAGACATGCTGCTGGGAGCTGAGAGGGGATCTGGGAAGGTGTCCCAGGACCCCAAGTCACATGCCCTGCACCTGCCACCTAGCCCCTCCCATGTCAGCCCATCCGGGGTAAGGGCACACTCCCCACTCACCGTGGCCCCAGTGGATGCCGCACTCCCAGCCACCAGTAGCACAGCCAGCAGGGACCAGACCCAGTGTGAAGGCCACTGTCTGCCGTCCATCCTAGGAAGCAAGGCCACTGTCACCACCAGGCCAGGCCCAGCTCCTCTGTCAGCTGCCCAGGGTCCACTGCAGGGAAGAGCCCTGGGGCCCACCCAGCGCTGAGACCCTGAGGTTATCTGGGATCAGTTGGTAGTGGGTGCAGGATGGCCGTGTTGAAAGGGCTCAGTGAGTGATTGGAGATGCCTGCCACGGGCTTGAGATCCAAGGGTGGCGGTGTGTGTGCCACCCCGACCTGCGAGCACATGGGGATGTGCACCATGCTTCGCCTCAGAATACCTGAGCTCCCGGGAGAATGCCTGTGGGGAAAACCAGGGACAGGTGGGGAGGCCGTGGGCCCAGGCTGTGTCCGCTGGATAAAGGAGCCGAGGGCCAGGACTCAGGCCATCACTTGGCCTAGAACTGGCCCAAGCAGGAGCTCCTTGGGGCTTTTACCTGGTCAGTGCTTGCTGACCACGTGGGAGAATGACCCTGCCCGCTGGCCTTGTGGGTGCTGGACGGGTCCAGGGATGCCACTGGCTCTGCCTGACCTCTCCCCTCCCTGGCCACCGCCTCTGCCCTGCCCCTGGGGGGCTGGGCCTGGGGCCCTCAGGGAACTCAGGCTGGTCAGAGCCCAGGTGTCTGTGCCCCTGCCCTCCAGAGAGAAAATGCACAGCTGGTGCCCCCAGAGCATGGCGTTCCGGCAGCCTAGGGCCACAGACAAGTCAGCACCCTGGTCAAATCGAGGGGAGCCGCTAGCCTCCTGGGCCCTCAGCCTCCCCCAACTGATTCCTCTGTGTGGACCCTGCTCCCCAAGAGGGAGAAACAGGGGCCTTCAGTGGGCTCTGTCCAGGGTTTATCTCAGATTCTGAGTGTCACTTGACAGTGAGTCAAAGAAGGGATCTCAGAAACTACCAAGCCTGTCCCCCTATAGCCTGCAACCCAGAGAGGGAAATCAACTTGCCCAAAGCCACACAGCAAGTTGGCTAACCAGCCCCAGACCCCAGAGCAAACCTGACTAATTGCAGGGAAAGAAGGTGTGAGACCTCCCCCACCCCCCACCAGCCCCCACATGGACCCCAGAGCTGCCCCTCTCTCTCCTCCATCAAACCCGCCTGTTTTTGCAGCTCAAGCACCTGCAGATTTTCAGGAGCTACACCAACAACACCCTTGCACCCTAAGAACGTCTCTGCCCGGACAAGACAACGGTACCCCTGGAGTTTGGAGCCCCCGTCTCCCCAGCTGCCTACCTGCCACCTCCCCGCCCAGTCCACTGCCCCTCCCCCACAGGCCTCCATCTGCATCCCCCCCAGCCTCACACAAGCACAGAGCCCCCCTCGGCGATCCCATTGGCTAATTGGTGCCCCCGCTCCTGCCTGCGGCTGAAGACAGGTGCTGAGCTGGCCTCACACTTGGTTTTCATTAAGGCTCCCAGACACCGCTGGCTACAGGCCAGGCCCGGCTCACACGGGATGCATCCCTCCCTGGGGTCCGAAAACAGCCACCGGCCAGGGGGAGAGGCTTGCCCAGCCAAGAAGAACTTCAGGCGCCCGAGGCTGGGAGGTGAGGGGCCACCCTCTCTGCATTCTGAGGGTCCGGACCCCTCCCCAGGAGCCCTCCTCCTGTTACATAACAGCTCCCTGACGGGGCTGGGGGATGCTCTGCCCCCCGCCCCCTTGGGGCTGCACCTCGTGTCCTGAGAGGGCTGCAGGGGGAAGCGGGATGGGTAGAGGTGGCCTACCTGGCCCAGGGTCAGCAGGTTGTCCTTCTGGAGAAAGGGGCCGAGCGGCTGCAGGCAGGCGGCGCCAGGTGCACGAACAGGGAGGCTGGGAGCACAGAGAGCTGTGGGCTCGGCCTCTCTCTGCCTCCTCCTCCCTCTTGCCGGCTCCTCACTTCAAAGAGCACCCACGAGAGGGGGTTCCCAGGGAGGCGCACAGCCCAGTGGCGGCTCCGCGGCGCGGCCGCCTTTATAGCTGTCAGGCAGACAGGGAGGAACTCACACTTCCCACCAGGCTGCTCCCCCGCCCGCCGCCGGCCGGCCTGGCGCACACTTTAACCCGCTCCGCGCCTCTGGAGCCCGGCCAGGCAGGCCCAGCTGCCTGCTGACTGCCGCCGGCAGCGGCCCAGGAGCAACGAGCGGGGAGGCCGCCTTCCCGAGTCCAGAAGTCAGGACCGTGTGTCGGGGTGTCCAGACGGAGCAGCCAGTAGCCTGGGGTCACGGGGGAGGTTGATGGTGGTGACGCCGAGCCCTGGCCCCCGCCTGTCCAATTTCTGCCTCCAGAGGGAAGAAGGGGACCCAGTCTCTGACACTGTCCGGAATGGAGTCTGGGATGTATAAGGTGTCCAGGCCGATAGCTCCATTTTACAGATGGGAGATGCGAGGTCCAGAGGGGAGACTGTGCTCTGAGGTCACCCAGCCAGTCTCCCAAAGCTTCTCCTGAGAAGCAGAGGCCTCTGCAGGAGGAAGGACTGAGGGGGGTCCAGTGAGGGCTCCACCAAGGGCTCCAGGGAAGGGACGGAAGTGCCCATGGCCTGCTGACGAGACAGCCAGAATGGCCGGGGCCGGGGGGAGGCACGGGGAACTCTGTGCAGATGTTCAGCACCAGCTTGGCAGGGCGTAGCGGCCTGGCTGGGCCGGGGCCAGCTGGGCAGCTCCTGGCAGACCAGGCACGGAGCTCCAGGCCTGTGTTGCTGCTGAGTCAGAGCGTGGAGCCGAGCACGGAGCGAGCAGCACAAGCTCCAGCCCCGGGGAACGCAGGCGGACCCCAGAGCGCGGAGTGAGCTGCACCGGAAGCAAGGCCAGGCTCCTGCCCGTTGCAGGCCAGGCTCCCCGAGCCCACCTGCCTGGAACACAGAGACACCTCCAGACAGTGGAGTGGAAGCAGGCTACACTTTGTAAGGTCATGCGAGCCATTTCATCCATCCCCCTGCCTCTGAGCCACAGATGTTGCAGGGCACCTGCAAAACCCTCCTGTTCCATTCCAATCTTCTTGCCAGAAGGGGCCACGGTGAGCTCCCTCAGTTGCCCCCATGACGAGCTGAGAACTGTTCCACCCATGGGCGAGTTCTGCCCTGTGTCTAGCCACCAAGAGGAATGATTGGGGAGGAATAACAGTAGTAGAAACGGCATGCCCACTACCGTGTGTTGAGTTCTTCCTACGCACCAAGCCGTGAGGGCAGCATCTTTGCTATCCCCATTTTACAGATGGAGGAACTGAGGCTCCAAGCCTGTAGTGACACCCAAGATCACATATCTGGTAAACGGCACATCAGGGACCCAGTGCTTTTATTGATCGTATCCTCTCCGTCTGCCCGGTCCTGACGTGGGGTTCATCCTCCCCAGAACCCTCGGGGAGGGAGGTCTTACTCACCTCATTTTCCCCCTGGGGCCCCTGGGATCTTCAGTGGAATCGACTCGAACCCAGGTCCACACTGCCCCCTGGGGTCGGTGTGCTGAAGCGCAGTCATGATGGAACCTGTCACCCAGCACTGTGGCGTGCACACACGTACACACATGCACACACATGCACATACACACATTTGCACGCACACGAATGCACATACACACTCACCAGCCTCTCACAGACACGTGACAGGTAGAGTGATAGCGCTCACTCTGGGAGCCTCTGCCACCATCCCCTCCCCTCCACCCGGGCGCCAGGGCCCTGCACTCCCGGCACAGTCCCCAGCTCTCTCGGCCTTTCTGGCTCCACATCCAGCCAGCACCAGGGTGACTAAGTGTTTCCCTTGGGAGGGACCCCACAGCCAACCCACACAAATACCCCCAGTGCCTTCTCTTAGCTCTGCAGGACGGTGCCTGGGAGACAGCCCTGCCACTCTATGGCTTTGTGACCTCCAGCAGTATGTGACCCAGGGCCTGCCATGCTTCTGCCCCACCCCACCCCCACCCCCAGGAGCCGGCCAGGATGCCTCCGAATGACACCAGTGAGCTCCATCTCCCAACCCACCAGGAGCTGCAACTGCCGCCTGAGCTGCTGGTGGCCTGAGGGTTTTGGGGGGGACACCAGGAGCCAGGGAAGGCGTGAAACAGCAGATAAAAAGTACCTTGATGGGTCAGGAGAGGCCACGGAGGAAAGAGAAAGCTTCGTCCTGCTTTTTGAACAAGGGGTCCCCGTTTTGCACTGCGCTCTGCTAATGACCTAGCGGAGTCGCTGCCTCCTGGCCCCATCCCTCCTGTAATTCAAACTGTGCCCAGGCCCCGTGAAGGGTCACTGAAACGAATGATTCTGAGCATCCCCGTCTTGGTTCCAGCTGTCCGCTCTCTGGAGCTCTTCTTTTGCACCCATCTGCACGTGCTCAGCCGCCAAATGATCCTCCAAAGCCACCTCCTCCAGGAAAGCCCCCAGGGGCCCCAGCACTGTGTTTTGGCCTCTCACGTTGGGCCAGAATGTCTTCCCCGACCTGTAACTGGGACCCCACAGGGCAGGGCCATGTCCTGGATCTCACAGCCAGCCCAGGTGGTCGGGCTAAGCCTGCTGTACAGAAGGCAGCTCTGGCAGGGCCAGAAGAGGTTGGTGTTTTCCCAGCAAACCTCCAGAAGCCAGCTAGGAGGGTCTTCTGCCCACAAGGGCTCACCGATCGGTTTCTCCTCCAGCCCCTCCCTGCCACAGGGCCTGTCACCAAGGACGGGCCGGGTCCTCAGGAGCTCCGTTCTCTCTTTGCCTCACTCTCCCCTCCACAGTCACAGGAGGTGGGTTCAGGGAATGGTAGCACCCCTCGGCCGCGATGGGGAACCAGGTGATGGCTTGGCTGTGCAATGCAGGCAAGCCTGGCTTCCAGTCCCAGACCTGCCCCAAGTTCCTCGGTCCCTGGGGCAGCCACTTTCCTGTGAATAGATGAGGAGGCCCCCCCCTCCAGAGGGTGAGAATCCCCCTGTGTGTTTGCTCTTTATGCGTTTACTGAACGGACACTTGGAGAGTGCTTCCCAGGCCAGCCCCACTCAGAGCTCCGTGGGCCACTCATCAGTGCTCACAGTGACCCAACGAGGCAGGGATGGGGGCTCCATGTTGCAGATGAGGAAACTGAGGCTCACAGGGGCAAAGGGCACACCAAAGCCCCAGGGCTAGGAAGGAGTGGAGCCCCCCCACCTCACTCACCCGACAGGTGTTCAGGAGCAGGGGGTGGCTCAAAGTGCTCATTTTCAGCCAGCGGCTGAAGACAACACCTGAGTGCTGTCACAAGCCAGGTTGCAGATACATACCGACACACACGACTCGTGCACAGAGCCGAGGCCCTGGATGGCGGTCCAGGCCGGGGACCCCAAGGAAGGAGTCAGGGGCATCCAAGCTCAGATCCCCTCCCACCAGGTGCAAGGGAGCCTCCGCGGACCCCTCCATGGAGAGCAAGGGCCACCATGCTCCAGGGTGCCCAGAGCTGTGGGTTGGCGTTCAGCGCCTCGAGGACGTGAATGCGGCAGCTGGCCCAGCTCTCCGGGGCCGGGCAGAGCAGACAGACAGCTGTCCGGGAGGCGGGAGCTGTGTGGCATTCCAGGCACATCAGCACCTCTATAAAACCGCCTGCTCCACGGCTTGCCAGGGGGTGAGGGGAGGGGGCGCAGGCGGTGGGCTCCCTTTCCCCCGCCCCCCACCCCGCCCCTCCCGGGCCTGGCCCCCGCTGAGTCCTATTGGGCCCGGCGCCATCTGCTGGGCAGAGGAGGGATGCTGCCCCGGGCTGGGCGGCCGGTCAGAGTCCGCTCCCTCTGAACGGGCGCCCGTGCCAGCAGCCAGTCTCTGCTCCTCCCTGGGCCTCAGTCTCCTCCCCTGGAAAAGGGGGAGAGCAGAGGCATCTCCCCAGACGCCCGACTGCTGACAGGGCCCAACAGGACAAAGTAGGAAGAGTGCTGAGCACAGAGCCCCACACGTGGCCAGCACTGAGTCCCCATCAGCTGTGTGAGTGCCTTTCAAGACACGCAATGTAGCGGGGGTTTGAAGGGAGACACCGCACCCCGCTGGGGGTCAGGAAAGGCTGAGGGCCACAGTGTGACCAGGGGAGGCAGGCACAGTGAGGGCGTCCTGGCAGAGGAGGGCATGTGGCTGGTGGGGTCTGGTTTGGCCAAAGCATGAGCAGGGGAGGGGTGGAGTGGGGGTGGGGAGGACTGGTGGCCAGCTGACCAATGGAGGTCAGAGGAGGACGGGAAGGACAGGGGGTGCCAGGGCACGTCTCGGCTGGCTCAGAGCCTGCCCAGGTTGACTGGCTCCCAACGAGAGCGGTCCTGGCCCCTCATACCCCTGGGGCAGCAACACCCCAAAGCAGCCAGGCCATCTCTTCCACTCTGCCTCCCCCTCTCCTAGCTCGCCAGGACGATTGCTTCCCCTGCTCCAGGGAAAACCGAGGGTCATTTCAGTCCTGTTCAGAGCTGGACGCCTTCCCCCGAGCCAGCTGGTCTGTCTCCAGGCAGCTAGGTCTCGGACGGCAGCCACACGCAGCCCCCCCCCCCCCATCCTGTACTCGGGCTCGAGGGCAGCTCAGGCCCAGCCTTTCTGCAGAGGGCTGCTCCGGCCGCCCAGGCCCAGTCACCTGTCTCCTCGCTTCAGGGCAGTCCCGCCTCGGCCCCTTCCGCCCTAATCGGTGCAACACGTGTGTGAGTCGGCTCTTGCCTTCCTCCATCCCCACCCCGTCCCCAAGCTACAGCCCTAGCCCTTGAGTTTACAGCTGCAGAGAAAGTGCACACACACTCATGCACCGAACCAACTGTGGAATGTCTTCCTGCTGCTGAGCGGATTTACAGCTCCAGAGAGCTCCCTCCTCGCACCTGACGGCTAATCGCATTTCCTCAACACACGTGTTCTGCTCCTCCCAGATGCTGGGGCCGGGGGCTGGAGCTGAGCAGGAGCGGAGGGGCGGAGAGGCTGCACGGCCAGTCGGGCCCCCCGGGGGTTGCCTGCCTCTTACCCAGAGCCGCCCACACAGCAGGATCTGGTTTTCCCATTTGGAGAGGGACAGGCTCCTCGGTGCCAGACTGAAACGTGCAGCGGCCCTGCCTCCTCAGACTTTCATTCATTCTGTTAACAGAGTCATTCATTCAGCCAGTGTTTGCTGAACACACCCCGCGGCAGGCTCAGGCCCAGCGCAGGAGCACCTCAGCGTGCCCCGGAGGTCGGCGGGCAGTCAGCGGGGGGAGCCTTTCCGCAGGCCCGTGCTGTTTAAGCAGCAACGGGAGTGAGCCCAGCCCGGCGTTGACCAGAACAGAAAAGGAGGCAGCATGTTCTTGCAGGGCAGGTGGGGAGCCCAGGAGGAGAGGCAGCGTCTGGGAGAATGGAGGAGACAAGGTGGGCGTAGATGGCCCGTGGTCTCCTCGGGAGCCTGGACTTCACCCTGAGGGCTGTGGGTGCCTTGAAGGTGCTTAGTCAGAAGAATGGCGTGGCCAGATGTGTCACTGCAAACAGTGGAAATGGGCTCCGGCCAACTTAAGACAAAAAAGAGATTTCTGGAAAAGTACAACGGAGCTTCCAGGTGGAAAGGAAGGTGGGTCAGCCAGGCCTCAGAAGGCCAGAACCAGCCAGCAGCCTCTCTTCGAGGTGCTGAGAGGCATCAGCACCCCTGGGTCTCACACCTGCTGTCCCCATACTCTGGATTCCAAATCCCGGGAGAAGAAAAGTGTGGCGTATCCATCAATGGAATACCCCCTGCCCAGCGACCAAAGGAACCAGCCGCCCGACACAACGTGGACAAATCTCGGGGCCTTTCCGCTATTGAAGCGAAAGAAACAGCACCCAAAAGAATGCAGGATTCCTTTGTATGGAGTTCCAGAAAAGGCAAAGTCAGGGATGTGGCAGAAGTCAGAACAGTGGCTGCCTCTGCTGGGGGACTCCCTACGAGGGGCACAAGGGAACATCCTGGAATGATGAGGATGCTGAGGTGGTCACACAGATGCACTTGCCAAAACTCATCACACTGTACTTTAAAATTTGTGCATTTTGTCATACATGAATTACATCATGATGAAAAAATAAAACGGAAGTAAAGACTGTTCTTTTCGCTGACAACAAATCAATCAGTCACTCAATTAATCAAGCCATCAGTTCAGGGAGAGTCTGCGTGGGTAGCTCGCACACCCCCATCATTCCTTGGCCAGAGGATAAGGGGGCACCCTGCCAGACAGTTTCCCCAAGACCTCTTGCAACAAGGGAAGGTAATTTCCCGAAGGCCAGCCAAGGAATGCTGAGAAGGCAAGCACCAGCCTTGTGTTGGGAGCACTAACAGAGATCCTCCTGCTCTGTTCCCTTCTGGTGTGAAACAATGTAACCAAGTAGAAAAGAAGGTTAGTTTCATTAGTCTAGTCACCAAGGAAACCATATGGGGCTAAAGCTGGCAAATGAGAGGCACATGTGGGCTGGTAACTTACCTACAAGGTCCTTTTAGTGACTAGCATTGGCTAATTTTTGCCACTCATGGACACGTGACTCAAGCAGCAGAGTCCACTGGTCTCATTCTGGGCTCCTGAGCACCCTGGGGAGACAGCCAGGCTGAAAGTGGCTAGAAGTTGGGGATTATACTCACAGGGACTTTTCTCCGTGGTTGCTGCCTCAGAGAAGTATGGTCTCCTTGAATCAACAACTCTGGCCTCTCAAAAAAAAATCAGAGACAAGTGCTGGTCATGTGGTGCATCAGCTGTTGGGCCCTCTCCATATGCTGCTCAACATATGCGCTCATAGCCCTGCCTCCCTTCGGGGCATTTAAACCCCAGCTGCCATTGGAACCCCCGCTGAAGAGAGCAGGCCTTCTCCCTTTCGTTTTCCCTGCCCAGGGGACCCAGGAGGTCTGCACCCGCCTCTCCTCCCCAGCCACTGCCTTCCTCCCCAGCCCATGGGGACGCTCATGGCCAAACTGCTCCTGCCCACCCTCAGCAGCCTAGCCTTCCTCCCCACTGTCAGCATCGCTGCCAAAAGGCGGTTCCACATGGAGGCCATGGTCTACCTGTTCACCATGTTCTTTGTGGCGGTAAGTCTGGGGCGTGGCGGGAAGGCGCACACCGGGCGCTCTCCCAGAAACAGAGGAGAGGGGCCCTCTTGCCACCACTCTCCTGCATTGGGTGATGAAGAAAAGTGATTTCGGGGTGAAAGAAATAGCCCAGAGGCCAGGAGGAAGGGTTGGAGGTCCCCTCTTCCTCTGGCCCTTGCTTCCCCATCTGTGCCAGGAAGTCATTCTGGGGTTAGTGTGCGTGAGACCGAGCTCATAGTGGGCCAGGGATAGTCAGTTGAGGACACGCCCTTCTAAAGTGCCACTTTTCTTGCCACTGGCTGACCACCAAAGGCCACCGGTATCTCCAGCTTCCCCTCCCCCATCCCCCACCACTCTCCCAGCTAGACGCATAGGGCAGCTCAGCAGGGTGGAACGGGGCAAGCCAGGCCCAGGAGGGGGTTGGTGGGATTTAGGGAATGTGTAGGGCCCAGTTAAATCTGATTCCAGAATTCTGGAGCTGGCCTCAATTCAGGAGGTCCTGCTCACGTTTTCTTGTCTCTCCTTCTTGGAGCCTAGGTCTCGTCTCTGTCTCCGGCTCCTTCTCTCTCTTTCTATTTATATGTCTGGATGACTGTCCCTTGGCTCTCTCTCTTTGTCCCTCTCTCTCGGTCTCTCTGGGTCTCATTCCCTCTCTGTGTCTCTGTTGGTTCTTTCTGCATCTGTCTTTTTCTTCTTTCTCTGTATCTGTGTCTGCTTCTCTCTTGATCTTTGGAACTAGATCCCCGTGGAATTTGCTCTCTTTCTAAATCTCTTGGTCTCTCCCTCTCTAACCTTAACCCCCTGACCCTCCGTGTCACTCCGTCTCCATCTATCCATCCCTCTAGCTTCTGTCTGTCTATCTACCTACCTATCTATCTAATCAATCATCTATCTACCTACCTAGTCATCCCTCCATCTACCATCCATCTATGTCACAGTGCCTTCCTGCCTCCCTGTCTCTGCATCCCTCTTGCCCCCCGACCCACCCTCACTGCTGGACTCCCAAAGTGGCCCTACTCTCTTTCTCGATCATCTTCCATCAAACTCATCCTTCCTTTAAGCTTCTCACAGGGATGAGAAGCACCCACTGGGGAGGTGAGCATTCCCCCATACCCCTCACGTGGCAGTACCAGACATAGGAAAAATCACATACCTCCTGCCCCGGGCCAGCCCCGTTCCCTGGCAGCAGGGCCTCGGGAGCGAGCGTCAGGATGCATGGGGCAGCCCTGGTTGGTGAGATCTGTAAGCATACATGTATTGCAGACTCGTGTCCATGTGTCCCACCTGCATCCGGGCTGGCCAAGCCCAAGCTTGCCTGCGATCGGAAAAGCCGCATGTCGCGTGGGCTGGCACTCCCGTAGGCAGCAGGGACCTGGGGCAGGCTGGATCCTTTGAGGAACTGGATTCCCCGGGGCTTCAGTCTCCATCTCTGGGTGGGAGACATCTTAGCCACAATGGTGCTGGCCGCGAGCCCCTGTCCAGGCTGGGCACTAGCCGGGGACTCTACAAACACTGTCTTATTTAGTGTTTTCAGCTCCCCATGAGCCTGGCATTGTGATTCCCATTTGATGGATGAGGAAACTGAGTCACATGCGTCACTGTAGGCCCCAGACACACTCTGGGGCTCCTGGCTCACTCAATGCGTTGTGTCGAAGGTCATTTCATCGTGGGACCCTTGATGGGGAAGGCCAGGAAGTCTGCTTGACAGATGAGAAACGAGGCCCAGAGCGGACATGCAACTTCCCTGTGGGTACAACACTTCAGGGCCGGGGAGAGGAGCCAGGGGTCTTGTCCCCCAAGCCCACGTTAGGCTCAGCCCAGGAAACCACAGACACCACCAAGCCACCCCTCCCTGCCGGGGCTGGGCTGGTCCCACAGCTGCCTCTGCGCCCGGCCTCAGAGGCCCACCCAGCCCTGCCCCGCCCTGCCCAGAGTGGCAGGGGCAGCTGCCTGCTCTGACAAATGTCCTCCGGCCTCAAAGCCACACCCCTCCCCTTTGTCCCAGAGCCCCCAGAGGCACCATCACAACTTCTGCCTCCCACATGCCTTCTGTGTTCCCACCAGGGCCCTCCTGTGACAACTGCTGTTTCTGTGCCAGACACCGTGCTATGTGCTCTGTCACATGGAGTCCCCCGGCCCACCCCACAGAGCGAGTGTTCTCGTCCTCACTTGACAGAGGTTCCAGGCGGTCCCCTGCTTGCCTGAGCTCACAAGGCAGGACCTGTTAGGTTGGCCTCCAGAGGCTGTGCTCGCTCCTGCCAGCCCCCCAGCTGTACCCCACCCCGGCCAGCACCCTCGCCGGGCCAGGTCTGCCCCCTGCATTGGAAGACGGAGGCAGGCCTCGCAGGCACAGAGGCCAGGTGCCAACGCCGCTCTGCCCCAACTCCTCGGCAGGTGGTGTTCCTCAGAATCTCACCTTCCTCCCCACTGTCCAACAGAGATGACCTGAGGACCTGGTGGGAGAAGCCCCTCCTGGACCAGCTCTCCTTCAAACAGCTCCACACCCTGCCTCCTTGACCCTGCATTCACGCGGCAAAGAGTTATTGAGCACCGACTGTGAGACAGCTCTACTCTGCGAGCTGGGGTCACAGCCAGGACCAGACAGAGATTATTGCTGCTTTTGGTGGGGGCAGGGCACAGACAGCGCCCGGCACCTCAGAGGGATTAAGTCTGTAATCACACATGGTGATCTGTGCTACAAAGGAGAGCTGTGGGGTGCAGAGACAGCAGATGGCGGGGCTCAAGTGGGGGTGAGGGAGACATAAGTTCTAGAAGGAGCCAGAGGCAGGAGAAGAACATCTGTGTCGTTCATAGGGCCTGGCTCAGCCTGCCAGAGCTGTAGGGAGCAAGTGTCCTCCTCTCTCCTCTATCTCACAGAGGTTTGAGTACCTTGATCAGGCCCCACCTGAAGCTTCTCTTTCTCGAGCTAAACATATCCACAGTATCCACCATGTCCACCACCTGGTTGCTCTCTTCTAGCTTCTTCTTTGCCATTTTCACTTCAAAGCCTGCAGCATCCAAAGCTAGTTCCCTAGGTGGGTCTGACCAGAACAGACAGAAGCAAGGTCATGTCTTCCCTGGTTCTGGACGCTGTACCTCTATGAATGCCTCCTGGGTGCACCTTGGCTTTAGGTCACGTACAGTTGTAACCAGTAGGAGCTCTAAATGGATCCCAACTTGCTGGACTTGCCAGGTGACCCCAGGCTCGGGTTCCCCCGGCAGCGGCCCTGGCGCCTCCAGCTGCGGGCTGCTCTCCCGCCCACCTCCTCCCCCTGCTGAGCCGGGCTCACCAAGAGGCGATTGTGCGGGTTCCCAAGCTTGTTTATGCCTGTTGAACTTGTCAAAATAATTACGTCATGGAATTAAATATTACTTAAGATGACGAAATGTGTGAGCGAAAGGAGGGAGTTGTTGCTTTCTGTAAGAAATGAGTTGACTGCTTTGAAAATACAGGCATTTTGCTTTAAAAATTGAAATTAAACTGGGTATCCTGGAGCCAAGGGTGGAAGAGTGGGGGAGAAACGGGTGAACCTCGGACGGCGCACAGCACGGCCTGGGGCCTGCCATCCTCCCGCGCTTTAGAGAAACAGGAAGTAAACGCTGGTGTTTCTCAAAGTGTGTTCCCAAGAACCTCTTAAAAATGCACATCTCCCACCCCAGCCCAGAGCCACTGGGTCAACGACTCTCAGGGTGGACTCAGTAACCTGAGTCTGCATGAGCCCCCAGGGTTCTGAGGCCCAGTGGTCATAGGGGCAGACTGTGGCAGAGAAGGCCCCATGGCCCCTTAAGAGCAACTGGCACCCAAAGAGAAGGCTCTGACCTGGCAGCCTACAGCTGGCAAATGAGGCAAGGACGAGGCTTCAGGAAGCCCAGGCGTGGAGAGAATGCGTCCATCACATTTTTGGGTTCCCCACCTCTCAGGCTTGGTCTGAGTGACTCCCAGCCTTCATCTACAAGACCCAATGAGGGGAGTAGTCTGCAGTGTCCCCTTTGTTCAGATGGGGAAACTGAGGCATGGAGCCACTAAGTGACTTGCCCCAGGCCTCGCAGCTAGCGAGCGGCCAGGCTGGCCAGGGGCGTGGCTCCAGCGCTCTCCTATCTACCTGCTGACCGCCTGTGGGTCCTCGGCAGCTCTACCACGCCTGCGACGGGCCCGGCCTGGCGGTGCTCTGCTTCATGAGGCACGACCTACTGGAGTACTTCAGCGTCTATGGCACGGCACTGAGCATGTGGGTCTCGCTGATGGGTGAGTGGCCGCCCCCAGGAGCTCAGCCCTGCAGGCATGCACCCACCCGCCCCAGGAGAAGCCGAGCCACTGACTCTGCACCTCCCACCTCCTCTGAGGACCTCCTCCCCTCTCCCAGGGTTCAGAGTTGAGCCTAATCTAAGCAAAAGAGTACGTAGTTCTTGGATGTCCTGATTCCCATTTTTTGTATCCTTTTTACACTGCACGTTTAATGACGGCTTGCTATGACGATTTTCCCAGCAGAGACATACAGAGGGAACTGTGGGCGTGCCCTGCCCTCTCTCTTTCCCTGGAGAGCGACTGCTGACAGTTCAGAGTGTGCCCCCCGGGCCCTTTCTTCAGGCTTATACCAACATTCACACATAATTTTTTTTTTTTTTGAGGAAAGTTAGCCTTGAGCTAACATCCACTGCCAATCCTCGTCTTTTTTGCTGAGGAAGACTGGCCCTGAGCTAACATCCGTGCCCATCTTCCTCTGCTTTATATGTGGAACACCTGTCACAGCATGGCTTGATAAGCGGTGCGTAGGTCCACGCCTGGGATCCAAACTGGCAAACCCCAGGCCTCCAAAGCAGAACGTGGGAACCTAACCACTGCACCACCGGGCCAGCCCCCACCCCTCCTCTGACTTTTCAGCCCAGGTTTTTGTGATGATGAGATCACTTAAAGGCATCTTAGTCGGCCACTTTGTTTCACTTGCCCTTGTCTCATGGCAACGTCAGGACACACTGTCCCCCTCACACGGGGCTTGCTGTGCTTTGCCCAGGCCCCGCTGAGGACCCAGATCTGTCTCACTTCCCGTTGGTGTGCCTTCGTGTCTTTGTCCCAGTGGTCCTGTGGAGCGGTCCTTCCTTGTCCCTCGCATGCTGATGGCTGTTTGAGGCAGCCCCCTGCTGGAGGAGCCAGGCTGCCCCGTCCCTGGGAGAGGAGCAGCCCGCCTTCTCTTTAAAGCCAGCTGGAACTCAGACCTCTCCGTGACCGGGCAGGGCCTTGGGGTCCCGCTGGCTAAGGGGCCGCCACACCTGGGCCCCTGGGGGATGCTTCCTGGGGGTAACAGTGGCCAGGACGGGCAGGAGACGCCACTCACCTCTCCCGGTTTCTCTCCCGGGCCCGCAGCGCTAGCCGATTTCGACGAACCCAAGAGGTCGACTTTTGTGATGTTCGGCGTCCTGACCATCGCCGTGCGGATCTACCATGACCGCTGGGGCTACGGGGTGTACTCCGGCCCCATCGGCACAGCCGTCCTCATCATCGCTGCAAAGTGGGTGCGTACCGTGCAAGCCTCGACGGTCGGGGCAGCCCTCCCCTGACTGTGACTCCAATTGCTTCCCGCCTCGTGTGTGGCCAGGCTGAACAAGGCTTCAGCTAAAACACATAGAAAATGACCACTGGCAGCCCCAGCCAGGCACACCCAGTTTATATCCTGTTTGTACCCACTAGCTGTGCTGCTAATCCAGGTTACTGAACCTCTGCGCCTGTTTCCATAGCTCTGAAGTGGGTAATACAATACCAGTCCAGGATCTGTGCCCTAGGACTGGCCCAAAGATTAATTAAGATAATGCCTCTTAAGTCCTGGCACAGAACATGGCTACTAATGTGCTCAACAAATAGGAGATATTTTATTTTTACTATTATTATTGTTATTGTTGTTATTATTGGAGAGAATGGCTGCTTTAGAGATGCAGTATCAGCTGGGAATGGCCTGGGTTAATCTGGGAAGACTTCCTGGAGGGGGTGAACCTTGAATTTAGTTCTAATGGGGAGGGAGGATGTGGCGTGAGGTGGATGGGAAGATGGAACTGCTCGTGAGCACTGAAGCAGCCTGAGCAGAGGTTTCCAACCCTGATGGTCCTTTGCTGGCTGCTCAGGGACCTGGAATCCACGAGGCCCTGTACGTGTGGTCCCCAGGCCTCCCTGCACCCTCTGTCACACTGAAGCCCTCCTGACTGCAAGGACCGAAACCCACTCAGACCGGCCCAAGCGAAAGAGGGGTGCTGCAGCAGGATGGAGCCAGGGGTGTTTCCTGGGACCCCAGAGCAGGGAAGGGACCGGGCCTGGCAGGGACCAGAACAGAGACGTGGAAAGCAAGGGACAGTTCTCAGGGAAGAGTGATCCGGCTGGGCAGGTGGTCTGGAAGGCACCCACCAACCCATTTTAGAGGCTCAGGAGGGAAAATAAAGTTCTGGTGGTGAGCTTACAAAACACACTCCACTCCTCTCTACACCCAGGGAATAGAGGATTTACTTTGCCATTTGGTTAATGAAGAAACTAAGGCTCAGAGAGGTCAGCAACTTAACAAGAAGTCACAGCAGGACAGCGCCGGGTCAGGCCTCGACTTTTCAAGCAAGATGAGGACAGGAGCCTCTTTTTCACTCCAGCTGGGGAAAGCGAAGCTGCCCCGGACTCACCCGGGAGGCCCCTCAGAGCCGCCCGGGAGAGGAGAGGAAGTGTGTGGGTCTGTCTCGTTGTCTTGTCTGGACCCCGGAAGGCCCCCGTTAATTAACACGCTGGAATGCATAAACACAGGGTGCGCTCCGGTCCTGATAACTCGCTCCTCCCGGCAGGAAGTGGGACGGAGGCTCCTTGCTCTGCCCAAGGCCGCTCCTCCTGCAGATCTTGGCCACGTCTGGAGCTGGGCTGGATTTTAATTAGCCAGAGTAGCAGTCGCTCACTGACGTCCCCATGAAGCACCACGGGGCCTTCCACGGCCCTCAGGCTGTGCATCCGGCCACAGGGACCAAGAGGGCTGCCTGGCTCCCTACATCTGGGGTTCAAATTGTGTTTTCTAGACCATTTAACATGGAGTTTATTTTGGATTTTCAAGGGCAGTTGTTTCCTGGAATGAGGGTGGATTTTTCTCCCGGAGGCTCTTCCCTCCTCGAGACAGGGCTGGGACGGGCAACCCCCAGGGAGAGAGGTGGATGAGGGGGCTACGGGGCAGGGTCAGGCCACCTGGGGCAGGAGTCTCCTTCCAAAAGTGCAGGATTGGCCAGAGGAGGGCTTCCGGGCAGCAGCCACCACGCCCAGGGTCACACTGGCCGTACCACACACCACCAGCACTGTCGCCAGTCCTGACTCCTCATCAGCAGTGGCAAATGCCAGAAAACTGAAAAATGGACCTCATTTCATCCTTCCTTCGGTGGCCAAACCTGCTCTGCCCAGCACGAGGCTGTCCCTGGTCTTCGTGGGCTCCCCCTGGGTGGCTTGTGCAATTAGGGGGGCTGCCCCAGCCGGAGGGCTTCTGCCGTGCGTACATCGCGCGTGGGACTGTTGACCTTGCTGAGCCCGACCGCCCTGCGCTCTGAAACCCCTCAGCCCTGAGAGTTCGCGTTCTCGGGATGTGGACCCGCATGGACTTCATCCTTTTGTGCACATGAACCCAGTTTTTTTTACACATAAATACCTCCTTGAACCTGACTCTAAGCATCAGTATCTGAGACATCACAGCTCAGCAGGCTGGTCAGGTGTGTCTGGTAAACACCAGGATGAGCGCATTACCTATCAAATTGACTAACGGAGCCCACAGACCGCCACGCGGGCATCCCGTGGGCCACTCCAGTGGGCGGGTGCGGCTCTCCAACGCTCCTTTGCTGTAAATAATCACCATGTCCAGTCTCTCTGGGGCTCCCCTCTGCCTGGGAGAGGACACATGGCCTCGTGACATCCCAAAGAGGCGGGCAGGGGCAGGATGTCCTCACGGGGCAGACTGGCTCAAGGGGTCTCCAGCCCCGTCACCCAGGCTGGGGTCTCTCTTGGGTCCTGCAGCCTCAAAGCCAGGCATGTCGGAGCATCTCCCCGAGCCCCATCTCCCGCCTGCGGATGACCGGGGTGCCAGTGCCCAGGGCCAGCTGGAGCCAGCTCAGGGTGGCCATTCCCGAGGCTGTGACCTCAGAGCTGTCCCGTCAACACTCTCCCCACAGCTGCAGCAGATGAAGGAGAAGAAGGGTCTGTACCCCGACAGGAGCGTCTACACCCAGCAGATCGGCCCTGGGCTCTGCTTCGGCGCTCTGGCCCTCATGCTGCACTTCTTCTTTGAGGTACCAGGTCCAGGGGGCGGGGAAGCAGCCTGTCCACAAGGGCCCACTTCAGCCCCAGCCTGTTCATCTGAGGGTGACAGGACGCCCTCTCGGGGGGGCTCCAGCAGCATCACACTCCTATGGGTGTCAGGGTGCCTCCCTCCAATCACCGTGTGGTCCATCCCAGCGCCCCCGGCATCGCTGCCTGTGTGGAGCTGGGGGGATACAGAGAGCTTGCATCTGAGATGAGGTGCACAACCTGAGGGGCCTGGGGCTGGAACCCGCACCTGGAGGAGGGAGGAAGGGAGGGAAGGAGGAGGGAGAGGAGCAGGGAGAGGATGGAGGAAGTCGGGGAGGGGGGAGGGAGCGGAGGAGGGAGGAAGGGAAGGAGTGAGGAGAAAGGGAGGAGGGATGGGGAGGGAGGGAGGTAGGCATGGAGGAAGGAGCTCCAGCCTCATCGTCAAAGCCCCAGTGAGTGGCGTAGACTTTCGATGCTCTAAGTACTCCGTGGCGGGAAGGGCCCCTGCAGGCTGGGCAGTGAGGGGAGGCTTCTTGGAGGAGGCACTTGGCCAGATTCCTGAGGACAAGTCGGGGTGCCGGGAGGTGGCCCACGGAACTGGCAAGTGCCTTGGCATGCCAGGCACGCAGCAGAAGAAGACAGCAGCGGGGGCGGTGGGGGGAAGGGCTTGCTGGGAGAGGAGAGGAGAGGAGCTTGGAGAGGAGGGGAGGGGGCTGAGGCCGCAGACCAATCCCCCCCCTGCAGGATTGGGATTACACCTACGTCCACAGCTTCTACCACTGTGCCCTGGCCATGTCCTTCATCCTGCTGCTGCCCAAGGTCAACAAGAAGGCCGGAAGTGCGGGGCCCCCGGCCAAGCTGGACTGCTCCACACTCTGTTGTGCTTGTATCTGACTCTGCAGACCCTGCCCCCTCCAAGCCCCGGGCCCCCCACACCCCATGCCTGCCGAGAGCCCTCAGGTCCTACCCCACCTGGAGCACCCAGGAGAAACGTTCCTGCTCAGACCTCGAGAGGTCCCCAGGGACTTGGGGAGCACCTCCCTGAGTGCTCCCTGAGAACCCGCTTATTAGACTTTTCCCGGATGCTAAGCTGGAAAGAAGAGAACCTTCTCCCCTCTCCTGGGCCATGGCCATGACAGATCTGTGTGTCCACAGAACCCGGGAGCCAGCGTCCGTCCTCACCCAAAAGTCCCAGCCCCTTCCCAGCCACAGAGGGGTCTGCCTATAGCCTGGTCCCGTGTCCACCCTAGGCCATCTGTGTTCTCCTGGAAACTGCTATCCCCACTCCTGTCCCAGGCCCTCAGGCTCTGAGCGCACCCATTTAGGGAGCCAGGCCAGCAGGGCCAGCTCTGTGCCTGGCCCAGGACTGCCTCCCTCTTGGCCGTCGCTTCCTGGATTCAGCCGGTCCCTGAATCAAGCTGTTTCAATAACAAGAGCCAATAAGAAACTCCTCCATTTGTTGACCTTACTTTGTGCTCAAACACTTTACACTTGTCATGTCATCTAATTCTTAAAACAAAGCGCAGTCATTCGCATTCTGCAGACCGAACTGAGGCTCAGGGTAGATCACTTGTTCAAGGCCCAGAGCTGGTGGATGCACAGCTAGGCTACAGCCACTGTCTACCAGTCCCAGGGCCACGCTGGGCCTCCTCGCTCTGGAGCTGACGGTGCACAAGGCGTGAGTGCCCACGTCGGTGCTTTGAGCCCTCTGCCTGGCTCCAGCCCTGCCCGCAGCTCCTCAGCCCCAGAAGGTGGGTCTGGAGCAGGGCCTCGAGCAGAGGCCATGGACCTGGGAAGGTGGGTCTGGAGCGAGGCCTAAAGCAGAGGCCATGGACCTGGGAAGCTGGGGCTGGTGCAGGGCCTGGGGCAGAGGCCGCAGGCCCACAAGCTAGGCTCCTGGGCGGTGCTGCAGGAGGTCAGCCTGTCCCCGTCCAGAGCCTGTCTGCTCTGGGCCCCGGGGGGTGGCGGGAGCAGGCCTCCCAGACATCACCTCACAAACCCGAGCCTCCCCCGCAGCCCAGCCCAGCCCGGCTTCCGGAATGATCCGGCACATCTGTCAGGCAGGAAGTTACCTACACCTGTCTGGGCCTGTTTGTGTTTCCATACCCTGCAGTGACCCACGACCATGCCCACTGCATGGGGTGGCCCGTTATTTGTCCTAAAGTCACCCCGTGCATGCTTCAGGGGCTGGGAGAGGGCTGGCTCCAGCACCCAGGGCTGGGGACAACGTGGACCCTTGGCCAGGCCTTCCCCCGTCTGTCGGCCCCGCTGATTGCCCAGAGGTCCTGAGTCTCGGGGCCTGGACATCCCACATCCTCACCCTGGCTCGGCCTCTTTCTGTCCCCACAGCCTGTAGAAGACAGAGCAGCCCACTGGGCTCTTCACACGGGTGGGCGCTCAGGGTCCTCGCCAAGCCCTGGGGGCGGGAGCGCGTCACCGCTCCGCTTTCCAGATGAGGAAGCGGAGGCTCCGTAGCTTCAGGGCCATCCTCCCAGCGTGTCCCCATCGTAGGGTGAGGGGCACAGATGCAGAGGGGCCTCTCCCCAACCCAGCTCTGTGCCCTGGCGGAGGGGAAGGCCAAGTATGTCCTCCACTGGATGCCAGTCTGGTTGATGGGGCGCAAGCACAGACATGCACGCGTGCACATGCAGGGACACACACGTGCTCACATATGCGCACACACACCACGTGTACACGCACGCACCATGAAGAGACGAGGCCTCCTGGAACCAGTGTCTTCCCTTCTGGCCCCGTCACCCATCTCCACAAGAGGAGACTCATAAGTCTCGACACCAGGCAGTAAGGAGAGGGGCAGACTCAGGGAACCACTCGGGGTGGCCTGGTGGAGGCATCACTCCAGAAATAGGCATCTGCAAGGTGGCTGGCCCCCACCCACCCCCTCCCCCATCCCCTCCCTCTACCCATCCCCTCCCTCCACCCATCTCCTCCCCCGCCCCTCCTTCCACCCATCCCCTCCCCCATCGCCCCCCCACACAGCAAGCACGCCCCCCTCCCAGCTCTGCGGCAGCCCATGGAAAATTGGAGGCCGCGGGATGCTCCTGAGCAGGGAGGAGGTGAGGGGCCTGCCAAACGCATAAGGGCGGCACTAACAGGCTCCTTACTGTGGCCACACTGATTTATGAGGCTGTCTGGGAGCCCCGCCAAGTCTGTAAGTCATGGACAATTAGGAGGCGCGCTCCAGCCCTCAGCCCCGTCCACCTCTTGGCTCCAGGGCCAGCTCCCCGTCCCAAGCAGGACCAGCCGCCACAGGGACCCCTTGGAGGGCCCCAGGGTGTCGGTCTTGAACCCACTGTGCAGATGAGGACACTGAGGGCCAGGACGTCTTGGACGTTGGCCACTGAGTTGGTGGCAGTGCCAGGGGTCTTGCCTGTCATCTCAGCAGCATCTTCCTCTGGCTCAAAAGCCCACTTTGACATCTTGGGAGCTCTACCCAAGGACCAGGAGGGGAGTGCCCAGGAAGGGGACCGAAAGGGAGTAGGCCGCTCAGAACAGCCAGCCGGATACCTCAAGACTGACAAGGAAGAGGTGTCATGGCCTTCATACCAAACACCTCCGAATCCCAGTATCATCGAGCCCCGGAGTCTTCATGCCCCTGGAATCTGGGAGTCATGGTACCTGGTGCCAGGAAGAGCTTCCAAGGCTGTGCACCATGCCTCGGGCTCCGACAGGACACCCGCCCACCCAGCCCTGATGGAGTTCTAGGGAACCATGAGTCCTGAGATGTCCTGTGCGTGCCTGGAACATAGTCCCAGATGTTCCTAGAAGTCCGAGACCAGCGCTGTGCAACAGAACTTGCTTTGAGGAAGGAGATGCTCGGTCGTCCCGTACGGCCCTGCTCACCACACGTGGCCCCGAGCATCTGAAATGTGGTTGGTGCAATGGAGGAGCTCAACCTTTAAATGTCAGTTGATTTTAATTAATTTACCCACATATGTAAGGTTGCAGATAAGAGACAGGGTGCCCAGTTACATTTGAATTTCAGATAAACCATGGACCGTTGATTCACCTACGTATGTCTCATGCAGCATTTGGGACACCCTTGCGTGAGACATACTTACCCTAAGAAATGATTCACTGCTCATCTGAGGCTCGGCTTTGAGCGGGCCCCCTGTGTTTTATCAGGAAGTCCTGCCCCTGTGCTGGCAGCTCCTGCATGAGACGGCACATCTATAAGAAACAAGCGATGGGCAGCTCCCTCGACATATAGGGTTGGGGATCCTGGGTTAAACCAAATGACACAGGTGGAGGGGCTTCGGGGTCCCAGACACAGGGACAGGATGGGGTCCTCCCTCTGCTGGATTCCTCCTGAACCTGGGGTGGGGGGCACAGGAACTGAAATAAGCTCCTTGGGCCTGGGCCGGCCTTCCAGACCCTGGAGGGTAAGGAGCAGAAGCAGCTGATGCCGTCTGCCTGACCACCCGCGCACCCCGCGCCCAGGCGCACGCCCCTCCCCACACACTCTCCCGGAGCCCAGCGCGGGGGAGGGCGCCACACACCTCCAGCAGCCCAAACGGAGAAGTATTATAAACATTTACAACAACGTAGACAAAACAGTCTATTGTAGCAGCCCCCCACCCCCGCCCCCGGAGCCGGGTGAGGTTGGCACGGCGCAGGGAGCGCGTGGGTCCCCGCCAGGACGCCCTCTGTTTGCGCAGCCGAGGTGGTTTCGTCTAAGGGCAGTCTGCGTGCTGTGGCCTTTGTCGTGTCTGCTACTGAAATTTCCTGTCTCTGTTATTCTCTTCTCCAGTAAGACCATCTGAAACCCAAAACTTTTATTGCCCCTTTTAAAAAGGTTTTCCAGCTCCCATCTCCCTCCCCTGCTGTCCCGCTCTGGGGCTGCGACTGCAGTGCAGTCAGGAGCAGCCGCTGCCGCAGGACCTCACCAGGCTCGGCCGCAGCGTCTTGGCGGGAGGACCTGAGGGAGGAGGGCCAGGTATGTGGGCAAGACCGATTCTGCAGAGTCGGCAAGACGCCCCGGGGCGTACAATCTCGGCTCGCTGGTTAGCTGGTTAGCTGGTTAACAAAGCTAGCTGAGCAACATGGTTAGCGGCCACACAGGGCACCACCAGGCCACCAGGGGACCTGCTGCCATCCTGCTCCCCCACCCCCACCCCCGGCTCACTGCGCTGCGGCCCGGCTCTTCCCATCCCTGCACCTGATGTCCTCACCTCTGACCCAGAGCAGCAGCCTCGCCCCGCCGGCCACTCAGGCCTGTTCAGGTGACCTGAGTCAGAGGCTGGCTGGACTGAAAAGTTCTCGGGAAAGTAAAAAAGGCAGAAAGAGGAGGCCGGAGGGCAGGGGCGTCGGGGGCAAAGGCAAGGAAACAAACCAGCCTGGGTCCAGCTCTTTCTCTACGGCCGCAGGCAAGCTCCTTGCCTTCTCCCAGGTCTCTCGGCCTCGGTTTCCCCATTTGTCATAGTGCCTACTTACATGAGTGTTGCCAAGATTAAATGAGATAACTAAATACAAAGCACTTAGCACCATATGGCTTTATTTTTTTTATGGCATCGTTATTATTTTCATTATCAGTGGTTGTGGGCAAGCAAGGGGGTCCCTAGAATGTAGAGGGGTCCTTACTGTCAGGGGACATTCACCCCAGTGATGGAACCAAATACCCCCATTTGCCAAGGAAATAAAATGCTTCAAACCAAGTGTTTATTATGGATTAAGGAAGTAGACAAGGAAGGCTGCCTAGAAGAGGCAGGCTTGAAACTGAAACTGGAAAAGCAACGTGGACCGAACCATGTGAGCCTGCAGATGCCTGGCTCTTGGGCCTCATCTGTGATGGCTTCCCAGCTCCATGGTCCTGAGTCTGACCATCCCCCTGTGCCCTGAACCTCCCCAGGGCTCCTGCTTGCTTCCAGTCGGAGCCTCAAGAAAGCCACAGCTGCTCCGATGGAGAGAACGCCACCAACAGCTGGACTGTCCTTGCTTCCATCACTGGCATGTGTTCCAGGACAGGAGAGAGATGGGCTACGCCTGGTGTGTGTCTGTCCGTGCTCACGGCCGCCAGAGGCGAGAGCTGGCCGTGCTGGGCCTTTCTCCTGCCCGCAGCGGACTTGGTGGGGGCAGGCTCACGGCTCCTTGAGGAACCCACACTCCACAGAGGACTAGGCGGTGACCTCAGAAGCCTTAGCCTTGACTCCTTGCTGACCTGTCCACCAGGAGAGGATGGAGGGGCCCATGCTCTGGGAAAATAACTGGCTCGGGATTGCCCACTCCCAGGGGCCTCGCGACCTTGGACGACCTTCAGCTCCCAACACCTCCACAAGCAGGGACTGCTCTTCATCCTGCTGGGGCCATCCAATGGGACAATGGGGTCACAGCAACCTCCCCTCTGCAGACAACCTGTCTGGCTCAGGAAGGCCGGTCGAGGTACACGGTACACCCCCGTCACGCACACACGGGCGCCGTATCGTTAAGCTGCCATCTTGCCCCGAGTGAGCAGGAGCATGAACTCCACGTCACCCACCCACATGTACTGTGGAGAAACGGAGGGACGACAGCTCCATCCTGCCCTCAGGGGAGCCCCTCTGGTGAGGGAGACAGAGCTCCTCCAGGAGGCAGCCAGCAGATGCCCCAAGTTCAGGGTCAGGCTGAGTGGGCCTAGCTCTCTGGCGCAGGTCGCAGCGGAGGAAGAGGCCTGCCCGGCCTGGAGCTGAGCATCCAGCCCCATTACTTTCTTCCCTTCCCTTCCGAGAAGCTGGGCCTCTCATGCCTTCACTGGGGTTTGTTTTCCTAACAGCTCGGCTAACGGGAGCCTGCTGGCCGAGGGCCCCCGCTGGAGCCAGGCTATCGGGTAGCTGTGGCCACATCTGGAAGACGTTTGGCAGAGCCCCGGCCCCCCGCGCCGCGGCAGCGGGCCTCAAAGCCGCAGCTGATAAGCGCCTGCTGCCGGCTTGGGCTCCGGGAAGCTGCCGGCCTCAGACCAACAGCCCCGACTTCCAGGGCCGGGAGGGGAGGGGCCGACGGAACGGGGCGTTCTCTGGCCTCAGGCCTCCAGCCAGTTCCAGAAATCACATAATGGCAGAACCCAGGATGTCAGCACAAAAGGCCACCTCAGAGGCAGCGAGGGCTGGCTTGTCCCTCCTGCAGACGCCTGCTCTTCTCCGCTGGCCCATGTCCCACGATTTCTTGTCTTCTCCACCATGTCAGACTTGACGGCTTGGAAGCGGCTCTCACACCTGCCGCCCCTTCCTCATCCTAGTGTGTGTTGTCCATCTCACCTGTCCCCATTCCGTAGGCTGGAAAACTGAGGATGAACGAAGTGTCGGTGTGCCTGAGACTCACACTGATAGAGCCGAGACTTGACCTCATTTGGCTTGGGGATTCGCAGTCCTGCGTGCTGTCCGCCGCCCCTCACAGCCTCCCTTGTCCTGCTACCTGATGGCACATCTTCCCAGTGGACCATCCGCTGGGCGCTGCACCCTTCTCTGAGTGCTCGGGGGCTGGGCTGTTGTGTTCATTGCTCCAGCTGTGCAGTGGTGGCCTCCCCACGGCACGGGAACTCTGGGCAGCCCCCACCTGGTGCGTGACCCATCGTGCACGCAGAACTGGCCAATAAACCAGGGCCTGAATCAGAAAAGGAGTGATGGAGGAGAGGAGCAGATGGAATGAAAGGCCAACCACTCGCTGTCATTGTGCCTTCTGGACACTTCCATGCACTGCTTGGCGGCTACTGCCTCTTAAGCCTCTCGGTCACCCTCTGAGACGGGCTCCGTGATGGCCCTCGTTCTGATTTCCATGATGAGGTCTTCTTCCTTAATTTGCAGATAGGGGATTTTTCAAGCCATTTGATCATTGTTCTTGTTATGGATTTCTAACTGGCTCTGGGGTCAGTTGTGAGACGCCAATGCTTTGAAATGGGCTAAAATTCGCTTTACGACCCAGGATATGGTGGGTTTTCCTGACCGCCCTGTGGGAGCCTGCAAAGGGTGCTTCCTCTTCCCATTCTGTGTGAGTCCCTAAATCGAGCTTGTTGGGAGAGTTGCTTAAATTTTCTAGATCCTTACTAAGCAGTTGCTGTCAATTACAGAGAGGTGGGGAATAAATTTCCCACTTTAAAACACAGGATGCTGGAACAAATGAATGTCCACCTGTGAAAACTGAGCCTCAATCCCTGCCTTCACACTGGGCTCCAAGATTAACTCGGAAAAACCAGAAAGCTTCTAGCACAGAAAACCTTCATGACCTTGGGTTAGGTGAAGATTTCACCGAAAGTGTAATCCATCAAAGAGAAAAACTGATAAGCTAGACTTCATCAAAATTTAAAACGTTTGCCCCTCAAAAGACATATTAAGAAAATTTTAAAAGACAAGAAAGAAACTGGGAGGAAATATTTGCAAAACGAATACGTGACAGAGGATTTGTATCCCAAATGCATAAATAAACTTTCAAAACTCAATGATAAGAGGGGCCGGCCCCGTGACCGAGTGGTTAAGTTCGCGTGCTCTGGTTAAGTTCAGCGGCCCAGGGTTTCACGGGTTCGGATCCTGGGTATGGACATGGCACCGCTCATCAGGCCATGCTGAGGCGGCGTCCCACATGCCACAACTAGAAGGACCCACAACTGAAATATAAAACTATGTAGTGGGGGGATTTGGGGAGAAAAAGCAAAAAAAAAAAAAACAACTCAATGGTAAGAAAATAAACAACTCACGAAAAGATGGGCAAAAGATTTCAACAGACACTTTACCAAAGATTTACAAATGTCCAGTTAGCACGTGAAAAGATGCTCCACAGCACTGGTCATCAGGGAAATGCGGATCAGACAACAATGAGCTCCTCCCTCACAGCCACTAGGAGGCTTGCTCGAGAAGACAAAATTGCACATAAGTAGAATCCTGCAGTTTCTAGAAGAGGTAACACTCTGGAGACAGTAACAGATCGGTGGCTGCCTAGGACTCGGGGTATATGGGTGGATTTATGGTGTGCAAATTACTCATCTAGAAATCTCTTTAAAAAAAATCTCCCACTCTGATAGTGAGTTGTTATTTCTCCTTGTAGTTCTGCCAAATTTTGCTTTATATATCTTGAGGTCCTGTTAATAGGTACATTTAAGTTAAGAACAGTTAGATATTTAACGGGAAGCCAATATATCAGACACTTTTATCACTAAGCAATGAACTATTTCTAGTAATGCTTTTTGACTTAAAGCATATTTTTCTGATGCAAATATTGTCTTTCCAACTTTCTCTGGCTTAGGATTTACATAAACTCTTCCTTTCTATCTTTTTGCATCTTCATGCTTTAGATATGATTCTTATAAATACAAGCTGGATTTTGTCCTTTTTATCTGGCCTGAAATCATTGTCTTTTAACTGCAACATTCTATTCGTTTCTGGATATGCAATTGTTAATATATTTGGACTCATTTCTTACCATCTCATTTTGTCTTTTCCATTTATTCTTCCTTTTCTATGTTTCTTTTTCTCTCCTTTCTCACCTTCTTTTGGATTATTGAGTTTTTTCATTCTACGTTCCTCTCTATCGGTTTAGAATTTATACCCTCTATTTCTATTCTTTTAGTGGCTGCGTATCAAAGTCTATACTAAATTAATGCTTTGTCTTCCTCTTGAACATCACAAGGATTTAGAACTTTTAAATTCCAATTATTCTCCTCCTACCTTTAAGGCCATTACTACCTTGTATTTTTGCTCTGTCTTCATTTAAATCCCACGTGACGTGTTTATAACAGTTTGCCCACATGTATAACAATCTCCTTGACTTTCATCCCCTCTTATACCCCACTGTTCCATCTGGGCTTATTTTCCTTCTGCCTCAAATACGTCCTTAAAACTTCAAGTGCAAACGCTTTGTGAGACATTTCCTCAATTTTTATTTGCCTAGAACTGTCTTTATGCTGTAACTTCTAGGTTGACAGTCATTTGCTCCCATTGTTGCTACTGTAAAGGAAACTCTCAGCGTCGTTGTTGTTGAAAGGAATCTCTATTTTCTCTCTGGCTCTTTCTCAAGTCTTCTTTTGGTCTTTGGTGTTCTGCATTTTTACTCTGAGGTGACTGGGTGTGGATTACTTTTCATCTTGCTTCAGAGTCATTGGGCTTCTTGTATTTGTGGATGGCTGACTTTTATTGGATCTAGAAGGTTTCAGCTTCTACCCTCTTCAAGACCTGTCTCTATTCTCTCTTCATTTTCTTCATTTTCTGGAACTCCAATTAGCAATATGTTTTCCTCCTCACTCTATTATCCATGCTTTTCTACCTTTCCCATGTCTTTATCTCTTAGTAGTGCAATTTTCCGTATTTCTTTTGCCTTATCCTTCAGTTCATTAACTCTCTCTTTAGTCTTGTCTAAGCCATTGTTAAACCATCCTTTGGTTTTTAATTTCAGGTATCATGCTTTTTATTTCTAGGAATAGGTTTGTTCTTTATTGACATATTCAAGTTCCTTTTGTTTCTTCTATAAAACACACCCATTTTATCTTCTGGGCCTGATACTTCTAACATCTGAATTTTTTGCCGATCTGATTCTACTGCCTGTTGTTTCTGTCAGCTTTTGCTCATACTGCCTTGTTTCCTTGTGCATTTAGTGAATTTTTACTCTGAACTGCTCCTTGGCTGCGGAACTTTGTGAAAGTTTTCTGAGGCCCAAGAGAAAGGCAGATTCCTTTAGAAGCATTTCTGTTTGCATCTGCCACACGGCCGGGGCACTCCCAGTCTGGGGATCTGTCAACTAACATCCCTGGTTTGAGCTCTGGGGAGAATTGAGGGAGAGTGAATTCCGGCTGCACACACACGAGGGCCAGCTTGTGATTATGAATCCTTATATCCGTTCCTCTTTGCCTCAGCACCCAGGCTTGAGATAAGCAGTATGGATGCAATTCCTGGAGGACACAGGATTTTCTGGCTTACCTTGATGGTGAGGTGGGGCCCTGAGAATCCTGGATTCACAGAGGCGGTCTTTCCTTGGACCCTTGACACGGCCAGGCTCTGCGCTTCGTCTTCTGTCCCCTAGCCCCAGAGGAGCCAAAAAGGATGCTCCAGTTTACCTATGAGAACAGAAAAGCTTCAGTTCTTCAAAGTCAAAAAGAGAAGACAAAGAGTTCTTTGACCGCTGCAACCAGTAAACACCAGAGGCAGCTTCAGTCCATCCCGGCCTGCTGGTGACAGCTAGCTTCAGACAGCCAGTCAGCGGGAGTCCCACTCCAGGAGCTGCACTCCCTCCCTGAAGGTCACCCAGTGCCTAAACTCTCCCTCTGGAAGTCCTCCGGGGCCTGACGCCACACCTGCTGGAACTCTGCGCCAGGACAGCAGTTTGCTCAAAATTACGCCTCTCCCTGGCTTAAGAGACCATAAAGTCAGCTTTTTGTTTCAGATGTGGCACAGCGGCCTCATCCCCCACACCTCAAAGCAAAGCCAGCTTGAAGGTCCCATGTTCCTCTCCGGGCACCCTCTTTTCCCCATGCTGGCCTGAGGATTCTGCACCTTCTAGCCAGGTCAGGAAGGCATTCGAGATGGACATCTTGCATTCTATCCAGGATCTGGAGCTGCTTTTAGTGACAGCGTTTGTACAGGTTCTTAACAGATCATGCTTATAGGAACAGAAATCTTTTACCCTTATTTTACAGATGGGGAAACTGAGGCACGGGGACATTAAAATAACTGACTAAAGTTCACACGGCCAGTAAATCACAGACTCAAACTTCAGAACCCAGACAGCCAGGCTCCAGAGTCTATGCCCTTAACCTCTGCCGTTCTCAACAAATGAGTCAGTGATTGGTGAATTCATTCATTCCTTCATCAGCTATTTACTGAGCTTCTTGCCAATGCCCAGCACTGTTGAGGCACTGGAGATATGGCAGTGAACGTGACAGATGACATCACTGCCCTCAGAGAGCTTACACTCCAGTGGGAGCTGGCACAGGAGTGAGTAGAGAATGTCTACAGGACCCTCCTGCACAGTGGCTCTGGCAGGAACCAGCAGCCAGGGCTGATGGTGGCAGTCAGAAGCTCTGTCTCCCGAGGCACCTGTGCCCACACTGGCCATTTAGGCTGGATCTCAAGGCTTGGACCCCTCCTGTAAGTGCCCATGCCCCTGGGAGGGGGCTGCAGGAGGTCGCCCACTAAATCCACAGGGACCCCGAGGCACAGAGAAGCACCGAGAAGGCACGGCCGAGTCGACATTTGAACACAAAACTATGGTCCCCCTCCACCCACTGACGGCAAATGCTCCAGTAAGGACTCAGAATTCTGGATTCAGAGAGGGCAAAGGTCACAGTGGCAGGCTGGCTTCTCTCTGCCGGACCCTGGCGGTCACGATGAGGGAGTTACAAGCTGTTCTCCTGGAAACGGGCATAGCCAATGTAGCTGGGAGGCCTCAGGAATCAATGCTGTCCTCACAACTCTGCAAACTCTGCAAGCCAAGCAGGTCTTGGCCTCTGTCCTGTCACCCCGAGGGTCATGGGTCCCCAAAAGAGCCCCGACACCTGTGTCCCTTGGTCAGCAGAGCGGCTGGGGAGGGGGTGGACTTTCCGGATGAGGTCTTTTGGGGAACAGCTGGGCACAGCTGCGTCCTGAGGACACTGCCTCAGCCCCTCCTGGAACACAGGGTCAGCCGCCATTCCCAGCGCCGGCCCGGCTCCAGGAGGCCAGGCCAGGGGACGACGTGTCCTGGGGCTCGGCTGGCCCCCGTCCCAGCCTGACAAAGCATCCCCCGCCTCCAGCCCTGCGGTGGGAGGGCATCTCCAGCCCCAAGCAGAGGAATGTGGAAGCTGCTCCTCCCGAGGCCTTCCCGAGCCAGGTGCCTTCTGTCGGGGAGGGCAGTGTGCTGGCCTCGCGGAGTGGCTGGGGGGACAGCTGGAGAGGGCGTTGCAGCTTCTGGAACCCGGCACTGTGACTCTCATCGACCTGCTCAGGAGCCGTCACAGACATCTGAGGTCTTGGTGAAGCCTGGCCCCAGAACCCTGCACACGGGCCACTGCAGCTGACACTTCCCTCGGTTAAGAGACGCTGCTCTCCCAGCCCCCACCCAGCCGGACGCTGGCGGCCATGCCACCCTTCACCCTCAGGTTGCATCCCAGCTTCGGAACTTCCCGTGGCATCGTGCCACCTGCCGTGTGAAGCCTGCACACCTCTGAGCGGGCCAGCTTCACCTGCTCTCATTTCATTTCCTACGAGGTCGCAAACCCCACCCCCGGCACATACTTCATGCCCTGTACATGTACGTGTGTATGAGAGTGTGTGCGCATACACGCACGCGTGTGCGTGGGTGGGTGTGCGAATGGATGAACGTGTATGCACATATACCCCACTCTTCCCTAGACCCCTTTGTGTGCGTCTCTGCTCCCTGCCTCTTAAAATCTTACTCATCCTCCAAGACCTGGTCTTCCATAGCCCCCCAAAGCCCTTCCAAACTGTCCCTTCCATGAAGCCCTCCCTCCGCTTAGCACTCGTGGCTGAGGGCCGTCTTGCAGCCACCTGTGCGTCTCCCTGCTGTGCGCTGACTCGGTCTCCTCTCCGATTCCCCAGCCCTGCACTCAGCTGCCACCCCGTCAGTGTGTGATGGATAGAGCTTTCTGGTGTTTCTATTAATTTTTAGTTGACTTTTTACCACATCAGCAAACACACAGTCAACAATTCCAGTTTTGTTCAAAGCAACCAACGAACTTTTTCCAGAAATGCGCCCAGTCATCCATGTGTGTTGAGAAAAACTCTAACGGGCAGATGAACAGAAAGAAGTCCACCCAGACTGGCTGAAATTGTGGGCGTGTTTCTCTGCAGACGCTTACACAGGGCTACGGAGCGTCAGCTCATTCAACTCTGGGACGACCGTGGGTGGCAGGCACCATGATGGTCCCACCTTACCGCTAAGGGAGCAGAAGTGCCGAGAGGTCAGACACATGCCCAAGGTCAAGGTCACTGGGCAGGACTTGGATGCCGGCAGTGAGCTACAGGGCCCATGGTCTTGCCACTGTGCTCTCCTGTGCACACCAATATCCAGCCCTCAGCAGAACCAAACGCTCCTTCGCAACCTCCCTGTCTCACCTTGCAGCCTCCTTCAAACACCTTCCTAGCTCAGGGGCACTGTGTTCTCTCTCAGGTCTGTCACACCCCAGACCACAGGTCAGCCCCAGCCGAGACGGGGCAGACGGGAGCTCCAGGAGGGGGCCCTGTTCGGGAGGGCTGCAGCCCAGTCTGTGGCCCGGGCCCCAGGAACGCTTCCCCAAGGCCAGGCCAGCTGCTCCACCCCCCGCCGGCTGGCGGAGTCAAGGATTTCAGCTCCCGACGGAGGAAAGGCCAAGTCTGCTGCAGCTCAGCTTCCCAGAGGCCAGGGGCCTGTTCCAGGTCGTGGAGTCTGCAGTTCAGGCCAGCCAGCCTCGGGGGGAGTGCTGGGGGGCCCTGAGCAGTTGAGGGTGCTGTCCTTGACCTTATGCAGAAACCGCAGAGAGTTCTCACCCTGTGAAACCTCCTTCTGCCCTCCCGAAGCGGAGGTAAGTAGACCTGGAGCTTGAGGCACTCCGGGCAGATCGGAGAAAGCCTGGTCCCTCAACAGTGGCTGCCTGGGCTTCTCAGACACCAGACAGCCTCCCCCCGCTGCAAGCCTGCTGGGGACCAGGGCACACCCTCCAGCCCCTGAGGGGCTCCCAGCCATCATCTGGGAGCTGCCCAGAGACAGGTGTGGGGCCCACTCCACCCAGATCTGGGGGGGCCTTCACATGAGCCCCTCATTCCAAGTGCATCTGGGAGTGTTTTCAAAGTCAGGGCGTCTCTGAACAAAGACTGCCCACCTGGCCTTTCAGAGGCCCCGCACAGAGAGTTCTCTACTCAGCTGCCTTCTGTCTGGACTTTGAAGCAAGACGGAGGGAAAGTAGCCAGGGCTGGAGCGGGCAGTCTGGGGAAGGGGCCCACTTCTCAGCAATAGCAAAAGGCCCCGTGGGCACTCAACTTTTGTTCTAATAAATCGGAGTCTGCGGAAAGAGAAGACAATGAGGCAGGAGAGGGCACCCCCCCACCCCCACCCCGGGGAGAGCTCAGCGTGTGGCTCTGTGCTCCACGGACGCGGACAGCAGAAGATGGGCCTCTGCGAGCTCCCACACTCATGAGCTCCCGCCTTGCCCACAGAGGCCCGCGCAGCCCGCCAGGCACAGGGGCTCAGGCTCACGGGCCCGTGGGGCCCCAGGCATAAGGTCCTGGGGCTGCATGCACACACCAGCCCCTGCGCTTTGCAGCTTCTTGCTAGGCAGGGCCTGTGCAACAGATAATACGAGGTGGCGCAAGATAGTTGTCCCAACAGAGTGCAGGTGAAGGGGGACTCATGGGCTCAGGGCACAGAGAAAGCCAGGGAGGCGTCTTCACACTGAGGCCTTTGCTGTTGGCTCCCAAGAGCGTCACGTCAACAGTCAGGGAGGGGGCTACGGGGCAATAATCCAAGGACCTTTCCCGGACCCACCCCGTAACCGCTGCTCATCGGAGCCTCACGGCCCTGGCCCATGAAATGCCCCCAGGCCACCCCACCCCTCACCCCCCGCCCCTCCACCAGGCCGAAGCACGAGTGACTCTGGGTGGAATGCGTCCTGCCGCTGCCCTCATGCAGTGGGCACATGTCTTCTGCCTGGCTCACATGTTCATATGGCCACCACTCACACAGGGCCCCAGAAGATGGTGGCTGGGAGCCCATGAGCTGAAACAGAGAAAAGCCAGGCAGCCACGGCATGCAGGCTGCCCACCTGAGGGACTCAGGGCAAGCCCGGGCCTGGAGGCTTCCGGCTGCCTAGGGCTCCGTGTCCCAGCCACGGGGCGGCATCCCGAGGCTCTCAGCCCACCATGAACCCTGCCCACAGCCAGGCCTGCGCCTGGGGAAAAGGATGCAGGAATATTCCAGACAGACGGAGGCCCTGACCCTGAAAGCCAGCAGCCCCTCCCCCCAGGCTGCTCCCAGGACGTCCAAATCCTCCTCTCATCCAAGCCCACTGGCCAGTCCCCTCAAGGACAGCAGGGACTGGCATCCATCCTCCAGGCCGGAGAAAGCAGACCCCGCTCCTTATCTGCCAGGAGACAGCTGCTCAGAAGAGCCACTTCCTCTGGCAGCTAATCTGTCGGCTCCGAGTCCTCCCCACAGTCGTTCCAAAAAGGATGGCCGAGCCCCCGTGTCTCCGTGGCCTCTGGGGTCACGGAGCTGCTGTGGGCCGAGCTCCTCAGACGGACATCCTGCATTCTTCTCAGATGAAACCTTCGAAGGTCGGGGAGGGTGAGGGCAGGCACCCCATCTGCCCCTTTCCTGAAATCACAGCCGTCATGCCAAACGCATGTGGGCCGTCCAGGGTGACAGCACCGGCGGCAAGCCAGGCCCAGGCCGTGTAGACACAGGGATATAAGACACAGCCCTGGGCATGCATACAGCATCTCCAAGTGTCACCCCACACCCAGGCCAGGCCTGAAGGTCCCAGGCTGGGCTCCTCCCGCCTCCCAGCCTCACTGCTTCCCCTTGACACCCTGCTCAGTCTCATGCGCCAGCCATGCCTCCCAATGACACCCATCCCAATGCCAAGCCACTTTCCACCCTGGGGCCTCCAGAATGACTTCACCCCTCCCCGGAACCCCCGCCACCCGGCTGGCCCTGTGCGTGCGTGTGCTTGCATTTGGCTCAGCTGTGCTCCGCTGCCAGGAGGCATGCTTGGTCCCCGCTCCAGGCTGGGTCTGACTCTTGTCCTGCGTGCCACGGGAGCCTATGCACATGTCCCCCCTGCCCCTGCCCGCCGGGCAGCCCCAGACCGGGAGCTCCCTCAGGGCAGGGCTGGTCCCCATCCCAGTGCTGGCCCAGAGATGGGCACCAACAACAGGAGAAGCATTCGCCCAACCAGTGGATGCGGTAACGAAGCACACCCAGAACCAAGTCAGCCTGTCAAACAGGAAGTGGGTCACTTTATTAAAGCGTGTATGTGCACATACATAGACATGCCTACAAGCACACACCACACACGCACACACATGCTCAAGTGCACAGCATGTGAAAGTATGCACATGCGAGGCCTGCCCAGTGGCACAGAGGTTAAGTTTGCACACTCAGCTTCGGCAGCCCGGGGTTCGCCCGTTCGGATCCCGGGTGTAGACCTACACACTGCTTGTCAAGCCATGCTGTGGCAGGCGTCCCACATATGAAGTGGAGGAAGATGGGCATAGATGTTAGCTCAGGGCCAGTCTTCCTCAGCAAAAAGAGGAGGATTGGCAGATGTTAGCTCAGGGCTAATCTTCCCAAAAACAAAAAATTATGCACATGAACCTATGGGACACATACGTGCACAGGCATGCACATATATGTGCACGTGTGTATGTCTGTACACTTGTGTGTGTGGAGTGGGCTTGGCCTCCCGGACAACCGCAGGGCATGGGCAAGGCCCCAGCGAGCCAGTGTTCTGCACCAAGGAGAAAAGCTGATGACACGGCTGTGTGAAGGACAGGGAGCCCCTGTGCCCGAGGAGGTGCTGCCCAGGATGTGAGATAACTGAGGTCCTGAGGCATGGGGATCTCCAAATCCCTCTCCCCAGAGACTCTCATCCCCACCCTCCCTTCCGGAAACTCCCCTGGGGCAGCCTTTGAGGGGAGCAGAGTGGTGGACGGTCTGAAGCTCTCTCACCCCCCAGACAGTAGCCCAGCCCCTGGTGTCCTCCTGGAGCAGGATAAGGAGCCACCCCGGGTCAGGGCAGCTGAGCTCCTCAGACCTGTGGCCTGCGGCTGTTGCAGGCCTGACCCCCTTCTCACTGCCCTCTGCTTGTGGCCAGTGGATGCTCCCGAGGGCCGCGGAAGGAACAGAGGGTGGCCTGGGCCCTGGACGGAGCCCACCAGGCAGATCCAGCCTGCCCAGTGTGAGCACAAATGCTGAGCCCCAGAACTGTCCCTGTCTGCAGACTCAGGCGATCCCGTGGTCTCTCCCAGGCCAGCGTTGTGGTTCCCGGCAGAGATGCTGGAGTGAAAGGGCCAGGGTGCAAATTCCAGAGCCACGACAACACAGACACTGAAAAGGAGATGGCCAGACCTGGTGTGGTTCCCAGTTCCTCCGAGCACAGCCCCCATGGTAAGAGGGAGAGCCCTGGGGCAGACCCTGCCGGTTCCTTGTGGCCTCCACAGCCCCCAGCCCTGCCCTCCACAGAACAGGGCGAACCTTTCTCCACTAGAGAAGTGGCAGCCCACAAACAAGGAGCGGAGCCGAGCACAGGCCCCATTCAGCCACTTCCCACGAGTGGAGCGTCGGCAGGTTCAAGATAGTGCTGAGCCTCAGTTTCCTCTTCTGTGAAATGGGAGCGAATAACCCCACTGCGTTACGGGATAGAGAGGAGAGATGACCAGTGTGCGGGCACAGACCGCGCTCTGGAAGCACCACCAAACGACAGCTATAAATAAACAGCCCTCACTTGTCCCATCTCTCCTCCATCTTGCCAGGAACCCCAAAAGTCTATTCTAGGGGACCCAGCCACAGCTGGTCTCCAAGCCCCCATGTCCCACCCCCCGAGGTGCCCTTGGGTCCCCCAGTGGAACATTTTTGACATATTCTAAACTGTCAGCAAAACAAGGCGAAAATTCAGTAATTGCTTTTGGCTGGGAGTCCACAGGCCAGCACAGGGGCCAAAAATAACCAAGGGGAGGTTTCCTGGGCCACCTGCAGCCCCGGGGGGCTCGGCGGGGCTCTGTCTGAGCATGAGGCTAGAGGGGTCTCAGCCTGACCCCGCCGCTGGCCGGCCAGGACAAAAAGGGGAGACTGGAGGGGTGAGGGGCAATGGTCAGGACAGAGCGAGACGGTTGCTCACACGCTGTGAGCCAGGAAGTGTCCGGCCATCCGAAAAAATGTAATGTCATACTTGAGCAAGAGAAGCAGCTGTCGGGCCACTTAGCGGCCCACAAATAGTTGGCTGAGGCCCGGGAGAAAGTGTTGGCTGAGGCCGTGAAGGCAGAAACGCCAGGCTGGCCGGCTGGGCGGGGCCTCTGCTGGCCAGGTGGGGTTCGCTCCCAGCCCCGCCCTCCCCCTGCCGTCTCCCCCAGGCCTGCCTGTCCCAACAGCACAGGAGGGGCTGTGAACCTCAGGGTGGCAGAACCAGGTCACTGAGCATCTGGCTGGGATGGAGACCTGGGTCTGACCCTTTCCTGGCACAAAGGCACGAAGGAATAAAGAACTCACTTCACCCAGTCGGATCAGCCGAGTCACATCCCAGGCAGCCGCCTCCTCTCCTCTGAGCCTCAGATCCTGGTGCAAAAGAGGGCTGCAAGCAGACGGTAGAGGTAACGAGCACCCGTCCGGGACGTCGGGCACTGGGTCAGGGTCCCGCCTGGGAGTGCCGTGCAGCCCTCCACACAGCCTCCCCATCACAAATGAGGACGCAGAGGCTCATGGCGTGGGGGGTTGCCAAGCTTGCAGGGCAAGGACGCAACTCCAGGTGGTCTGGCTTCCCTGCTGTGCGGGCAGGGGCCACAGCTGTGTCCCTAGGAGGGACTGACAGCCAGTGAGGGGACAGGGCGGCCTCACCCTGCCCTTTTCCTGTTTCCACTTCATGCCCCAAGCAGGAAGGACCTGACACATGTGGGTGGGCTGAAGGTCCCCAGGAGCGTCCACTAGGGGATGTCCAGCCAGGTCTTGGATGTGAAGGAGGAGAGAGCGGTCCTGTCAGGGCCAGGCTCTCAGGACTGGCTGCCCCACCTTATGAAGAAGGATGCTGTCCCCTCTGCCCACCTGCCCACCTGCCGCCTGTGCAGGCTCCCGGTCCCACCTCGTTGGGCTGTGGAGGCAGGGCCCCGCAGCCCCACACTCCCGTCTCTGCACAGCCCCAACTCAGGATCTCATCCTCGCCTTACAGAGGGCACCGGGTGGGAGCCGGGTGGGGACAGGTGTGGGCCCCATGGTTCCAGGTTGCACCTGGTCTCAGATGAGTGGCCTACTCCCTGTGACCTAGAGCTGCCTCTCAACAGGAGGTCAGTCCAGGCTGTCCCCCACCCCTCCCCCTCATCCTTCTCCTCTGAGCGGACAGCCGGCCTCTCACGAGAGGCAGCCATGGCCAGCAGGGCTCTGACTGTCTCGAGAGCCACCTGCGTGTGTGCCTCTGAGGACAAGTCCCTGGTGCCCTCTCAGAGTGCAGAGGGAGGAGGGCGCACACCCACATGCCAGCCCCTACAGGCTCCAGACCCCAGAATCCCCAGGTGAAGAGGGGGTTGATGCTCTGTCCCTGTTAGGAGTGTGTGAGGCTGCAACACACAGAAAACCAGCTCTAGGACATCAGCCAAGAACTGTGTCCTGCTTCATCCCCGCCCGCCATCCTCAGCCTGGGCTCTCACCTCCTGTTTGCAAGACGGCTGCTGCACCCCCATGCAACACACCTGATTTCAGGCAGGAAGAAGAGGGTAGGACCCTAAACCTCTCTAACCAGGAAGCGCGGCTCTTTCTGGACCCTCTTGTCTATACCTCCTGGCCAAAAATTACTCACAAGGCCACCGAGCTGCGAGGGCAGCTGGAGGGTCTGTGCTCTCAGTTAGGACACTGCCACCTCAGAGAAAATCAAGGCCCTTTCAGGAAGGAAGCAGAAAGGAATGGAGACAGCAGTGTCGCCCCACTGCCTCAGCAGACTGACGAGAAAGGAGACTCAGGCTGCATAGCTCTCCCAAGGAAACACCCTGGAGAGTGCCAGGGACGTTGCCTCCAGGGCCACCTGTCTCCTGCACCTGCTCTCATCAACAACAGCAAAGCCCTCCTCCCAGAGGAGGGACTCGCCTCGCTCTGCAGGGGCCGATTCAGCTTGCCTTGAAACACTCACCAGCCCACAACCAGGCTGGTGGGAAAGACGCCAGTTCCACTCCATCCCCAGCCTCCACACGGAGTAAACACCTGAGTATACACACACACATGCTCGTGCACACACACACACATACACGTACACACCTACATGCACACACGTACATGCATGTACACACGTTCACATGTTTGTGATACACATGTATTTGCACATGCATGCAAGTGCACGTGTGCATAAACACATGCACGCACAAACGTGTCTGTGTGTACATAAACACACCTGCATGTGTGTGCACGTGTGTTATGTGCATGTACACATGCGTGCACATGTTCTCGACACGTGGGGGTGTGTGCATGCATGTACGCCCATGAATGTATATGCACGTATGCATACATATACACAGGTGCACAGGCAGGTGTACACACATACACACACTCACACACACACTAGCAAGCTGCCTGCTCCCAGCAACTCTTTGCCAACCAGCTCAAGGAAGAGCCCCCCCACCCCCCCCAGGACTCTCTGGCTCACCCACCCCAGTCCCCAGGCCCATCCTGTCACCTTTTGTGACCTCTAACCCTCCAGAGCACACATTTCCTACCCTCAGGCATCTGGCTGCCCCAGCACCCCTGCAAGAGCGGGGAGGAGAGGTGGGAGTCAAAGCAGGAAAAACCCCAAGGCGGAACCACAATGTTTATAAAGAGGGTCACTGAATTATACGGAACAATATTTGCCTTGCGGGTGCAGTCCTTCCTGGATGGGCTACGCACAGATGCCTACACTGGCCTCGGACACGAGAACCAAGGGCTGGACTGGACATGAGGAGTTGGCCCGCTGGACCGCATCGGAAGCCACACGGCCTTTGCATGGGCACAGGTCAGAAATGCAAACTGGCAGAGCCAGCACACACACTGCCCTGCCTGCCAGTCTCTCGCTCTCCCTGGGCCAGCGGGCAGGGTCAAGGCCTCAGGCGAGGTCCAGGGTGGCTGCTCCTCCCTGCCCGGCTCCCAGGGGCATGCTCCTCGCCTTACCCGGGCTCCCCTGAACACATACACACACACGCACATACACACACCCAGCTGGAAGTCTGAGATCTGTGGCCTCATGCTGTGAGGGAAGGAGCGAAGGATTCTGCTCTGGCCCTGGCAGCCTCTGAGAGGGCATGAGGAGCATGGGGCTTGGAATCCCCAAAGGCCACCAGCCCAGCCCTGCCCAGTCTGTGCCTGGGTTACAAAGGCCCCTCCCTGACCCCAGAGGTTGGGTCTCAGGGTCTCCCTCTGACAAGATGAGTGGGGGTGGGGGGTAAAAGTGGAGAGGTGGAGAGAGCTGGGGGGCAGCAAAGATGGGGGGCACCTGGTGTCCTGCCCACAGCCTCTCCCCCCACAACAGGGAGGGAATGTGGCAGAGGGAACAGAGAGGAGAGCCCCTCAGGGGCCCCCGCTCCCTGGGCAGAAGGCCAGAGGTGGTGGGGCCACACTTGGCTGCCTGCCTCCCCCCTCTCTCCCCCCAGCCTTGATCTTTCTGGATTCTGCCCAACAGGGAAGGTGCTCAGAGAAGGAATGGGGAGAGAAGGGGGACGGGGAGAGAGTAGAGGCAGACGGGAGGGAGGGAGAGAGGGAGTGAGGAGGACAGAACAGCCTTATCTCTGCTCTTCCTGCAGCAGCGGGAGCTCAGCTGGGGAGGAGGGCTCCTGTGGTCCACCCCTGCGTCCAGCCATGCTGGTGAGAGGTCAGAAAAGCCACTGAGCAGCTGCCCAAGCTCCCCGGGGTCCACTCATGTGTTTCGCCACAGCGTCTGGCACAGGGAGGGGTCCTGGAGACTCCAGTCCCAACTTGAAGGTCTCCACGCCCTTCCTACCCTCCAGAAATGCATGTCTTCCTTTGTCAAGGTCCGAGTGGGAAGGTTCCAACGACCGACCCGGACAGTGACTACCTGCCCCCAGCACCAGCGGTCCTCGCCCAGCCCTGCCGCCTCCTTGCTGATGATTTCCTTTGTAAGATTACAGATACAGAAATGGAGGGAAAGAAGATAAATACAAAATGGTAAAAGAGGTTCTCTCTGGGTGATGGGATTTGCGCTTGTCCACAATCTCAAAATATTCCACTTTAAATAATAAGACATCTTCACCCTCTGCGGTGACGGGAAGCCCAAGGAACCCCACAGTAGATGGTGCAATTCTGACTTCAGCCACCAGGGGACAGCCAAGACCAGCGCATCCCGCCTCTCAGCGGCCTCAGCCACAGGATGCGGGGCTTCCTCCAAGGGTTTTCTGGGTCCCAGGAGAAGGGAGAGGGGCAGGCACAAAGGGACAGTGTCTCTACGGAGGTGACCACAAAGTGCCTACCCACGGGTCGGCCCTCCCAACAAAATCCAGAAGCAGATATTGCCATCTTCATTTGATGACTGGGGAAACCGAGGCCCAGAATGGAGAAGGGCCTTGTCCACTGTTACACAGCCCAGAATGGCAGAGCCTGGGCTGAAACTCTCATTTCCCCATGCTTTGACTCATTCCACAGATACCCAGGGGTCACCTGGCTTTATTTGTGACACTCAGAATGGTGGTGCAAAAATGGGGACCCAGACCCGGCCGTGCAGCAAACCAGGATGAGAGGGGCTGGAGCCCAGTCTTCCTGAGCACTGTCAGCTGCCCGAGCCTTTTAGTCTAGCATCCGTGGCCGTCCCCAGGTGTGAGGCTCCAGCAGTAGCATTCTCCAGCAGAGTCCAGGGCTCATCTGGTTTCCTGCCCTCTGGTGGGGGGTCTGGGGACATCCTGGGGTCCCGCCGGGGCTGCTGGGCCTCAGGGTCTGGCCCAGGATGTGGCTGGGAGGCCCCCATCCCTGGCTCTACTCCCTCTGTGCCTCTCCTGAGCCTGTCCAGGCCCAGCCCAGCGTTACCCCATCCCCAGCCCCAGAACCCTCCTTAGCAAGAGTCTTGGAGGGGCCTGTTCCACTCCAGCCAGGCTGAGAGCAGGAGGAACAGCAAGATGAGGGCTGCAGCCAGGGTCACGGAGGGCACCAGGTCCAAGTCCTCAGGGTCAAGGATGGCATCGCCAGGGGCATGGTGGGGGTCAGTAGTGGCACCGGACAGCTGGGTGTCAGAGACCTTCTCCCCTGGGGACCCTGGCCGGCCCATCTGTGGGAGGGAGGAGGTGAGGGACAGGTCTTCCTCTGGGAAGGGCCACACTGCCCACCCTCTGCCTGTCCGTCCCATCTCTCTCCCACCGGAGGCCCTCCAGACACAGCAGGAGCAAGGGGCCAGGAGGTGCCCCACAGATGACCCTGGGCAGTGACTCCCTGAGCCTCAGTTTTCTGCTCTGTAAAACAAGGATGCCGACGGCCACGGAGGGAGATTGGAACTGGATGAGACAGCACCTGGACTGCTTGCACTCCCTGTCACCTCCTTACCTCCCCCCTTGAGACAACTGGGGCTGGGAAGTCAGGTTCAACCCCACTGAAACCTTTGCCCCTGTGCCAGGGTGACTGGAATGCAGCTCAGCCAGTTTCCAGGGAACCTGGATGCCAGCAGACAGGGAGCTGTGTCAAGCTGCAGGAGGGGCTGCATCAAGGCTGCCAGCTGCCCTCTGCCCACACAGTGCCTGGGAGGTGGGCACCAGGTTACATCCATCTTACAGATGAGTGAGGCTCAGAGAAGGAAGTGGGTTCCCAAGCACTCCCAGAGGTTAGCAGAGGGGGTCTTGGCAGCCTGAGACCCTGTCCTCAGGCCTCCCCCCTGCACAGGGGCAGAGTTTGGACCAAGTCATTTGTTAAGCTCCAAAGCCCCAGACTGACCAGGGATGGAGACAATCTAGGAGTAGGGGTGGTCTCTGCCTAGCCCACCCCCCAACCCTGGCAGTTCGGTAGGACATTACCTTCCAGCCGTGGGGCTCCCACGTTGCAGGAGGGGCCTGCGCAGAGTTGCCACAGACCCCAAGGACAAGCACCTGTGAGCAGCAGCCTGCGTCGGTCAACTAAAGCCTTCCTCTGAAGACAACTCCCCACCCCTCAGGCCTCCCCCGGGGAGGGGCTTGAGCTCAAGGGTGAGGAAGGGAGGGACCCAGCCTTCACATGGGTGTGTTCCAGGGCAAAGAAGGGAAGCTGCTCTTCCAGGCCCAGCAGAGCCAGGCACCCACACACCCAGACCCGTGCTTTCTGCTGCCTCCCAGCTGAAACTTCCAGCTGGGGGGGGGCTCTGGGAGGCTCGAGAAGAGGAGGGCTCTGAATTCAAGTTAGCAAGGGGCTTCCTGGCACCCGCTGTGTGCCTATGCTGTGCCAGGCACAGGGTGGGCAGAGGAGGGCAGGAGAGTCCCGCTTCTCCCCCAGAGGCCAGGTCCTGGAGCAGGTCCCTGCACGTGCACCGTTTGTGAAAGAGACATAAGCTGGACTGAACCTCACACCCTCTGGAGCAGTTGCATCAGAATGCTCTGCTCTACTGCTCTCCCGGGGCTCAAACTCCTCACACTGATTGTTGACTAAACTCCTCCACTAATGTCACCTAGACTCTTTATTTCAGGCGACAAATTGGTGACCACAAAGGGACCCAGAGAGATCACCCAAGACTGCCTGGAGCATCAAGAGGACCTGGCACCATGGCACCAGCAGGACCCTTTGTGCCCAACCGGCTCTCCAGAGCTCCAGCCGCTGCTCAGTAAGTCTTTCCTGGGTCTCAGATCCTCCAATTAATGGTTGAAGGTCCCTGAGTTTATTCAATAATTGTTTTAAAAGGATCCTTACAGGGGCCGGCCCTGTGACTGAGTGGTTAAGTTCACATGCTCCACTTCAGTGGCCCAGGGTTTCATGGGTTTGGATCCTGGGTGTGGACATGGCACCGCTCATCAAACCATGCTGAGGTGGCGTCCCACATGCCACAGCTAGAAGGATCCACAACTAGAATATGCAACATGTACTAGGGGCTTTGGGGAGAAGAAGAAGAAGGAAAGAAAAGATTGGCAACAGATGTTAGTTCAGGTGCCAATCTTTAAAAAAAAAAAAAAAGAAACAAACAAACAAAATCTTTAGTAAAAGTCTTTAGCTATCTGAGCAAATGAACTTAGTTCATCTGCCAGAAAAACAATTTATTTTTATTTTATTTATTTATTTTGTTAAAGATTGGCCCTGAGCTAACACCTGTTGCCAATCTTTTTTTCTTCTTCTTCCCAACACCCCCCAGCACATAGTTGTATACTCTAGTTGCAGGTCCCTCTGGTTGTGCCATGTGGGACGCCACCTCAGCATGGCCTGACGAGCAGTGCCATGTCCACACCCAGGATCCAAACCAGTGAAACATTGGGCCACCAAAGCACAGTGCGTGAACTTAACCACTCGACCATGGGGCGGGCCCAGAAAAAAAATTTAGATCCAACTATTCTTTTGAGTTTTGTACCTGAGATGTGGCTAAAATTTTGAAGATCTCTGTGTCTGTCTCGATGTTTCTGTATTATAAGTCACTCTCTATATTTGTCTGCTTCCAGATGAATAATTTCTAAAAGAGCTCTATTTAATTGTCTTGAAGTAAGTGCTGATATAAATTATTTCTAAATGTAATACAAACTAACCCAAATGTCTTCCAAGTTAATGTGATATAAAATAAATTTTGAGGGGCCAGCCCCGTGGTCAAATGGTTAAAATTCCTTGTGCTCTGCTTCAGTGGCCCAGGTTCACAGGTTCAGATCCTGGGTGCTGACCTATGCCATACAGCCATACTATGGAGGCATCCCACATATAAAGTAGAGGAAGACTGGCACAGACGTTAGCTCAGGGCTAATCTTCCTCAAGCAAAAAAAAAAGAAAAACAGAGGAGGTTTAGCAATGGATATTAGCTCAGGGCAAATCTTCCTCACAAAAAATAAAAAAAGAAACAAACAAACTTTGGTAAATGAGAGCTTAAGTTTGTTGGTTTGATTGAGATCAATGTTTTCAGAGTTATCAGCATTGGATATGATACAGACATGTTTTCTCTGTCACAAAATTTGTCAGCAAAGATATTAACTTAGAGTAATAACTGATTTTGTCTAATGTCTCAGGAATTTTTTTGTAGGCAATCTAAATATAATTATTGGGAACATGTAAACTAAATAGATATAAAAGTTTTTGGATGAACTTTTTAACAATAACTAGGTGTTATGGTGTGTATACTTAAAATACCTTCAAAACCTTTTGATAAACTGAAACTTCAGAGTTTTGCTAAATTAAGTTAAATGATAATTTGTTGAGTATTTCTCATTTCCACATTATATAAAATATGAAAAATTAATTACTAGGTGTAGATTTGTCTGTCTCTGGCTTCTTATCTCAGAGAAACTGGAATATGCTTAGGTGTATTGATAAATATGTTTTGTGCCATGGTGGGGAATTTCCTAAGTATGGAAAAGCACATGTTTCTAGAAAGTCTGTATACAAGAAAACTAAGGTGTACATTTTCAGTAAAGAATATATAAAGAATGTAAATATTTCTGTTTGTTTTCTTAAGAAAGATACATTTGTCCCAAAGTACTAGGAAAGAAAAAAAAAAGGAAAGAAGGCATGGGACAAATTCTGAATGTAAAAAGCAAGTGACAGAAGGTTTGTGGAAGTGAAACCCTGAGGAAAGAGTTTCGTGCACGGTCAAGTTGGCTAAGATTAAAATGAATTCAATTAAATAAATGAGTTTCAATATCAAGGGTAATCTGGTGCAAAATTATAATTTGGCTTTCTCTTGAAAGGATGATCTTGAAATTTTGGTCTGCTCTTGATAAAGAGGTTATAATAGATTTTTCTTGGGGCCGGCGCGGTGGCACGGCGGTTAAGTTAGCATATTCCGCTTCTCAGCAGCCCAGGGTTCGCTGGTTCAGATCCCGAGTGCAGACATGGCACCGCTTGTCAAGCCGTGCTGTGGCAGGTGTCCCACATATAAAGTAGAGGAAGATGGGCACAGATGTTAGCTCTGGGCCAGTCTTCCTCAGAAAAAAGAGGAGTATTGGCAGATGTTACCTCAGGGCTAAAAGTCTTCGGGGGGGAAAAAAAAGAAACCTTTAGGTTATCTTGCATAAATGTTATTAATATAATAATAAAATGTTATATATAATAGTATTTATAACATAATAATAAAAATTATATAACATTCCTAAAATTCTGATCTTCCCTAGTTATCACTTGTAATTCTAGTTATTATCTTAAAATGTTATATATCACAGAAATAACCAAGTTCCTTTGTCAATTGCCATTTTTAAGTCTTTTGTCTTTACAGACCTTTACTGTTTTACTCTGACGCTTTCACAAACATGTTTCACCTTCAGAGAGTTTCATGGAAAGGACTCTGACACTTACTCTAAAATATAGGTCTCTGATAAACTTTCAGATTATAAAACTAAACTAAGTAAAAAAATTACAGAACCATAACAGAAAAACTGATGAGTTCGTAAACTGCTAACAAAAACAATTGAGAGGCCGGCCCCGTGGCCCAGTGGTTAAGCTCACGAGCTGTGCTTGGGTGGCCCAGGGTTTCGCCAGTTTGAATCCTGGGTGCAGACATGGCACCGCTCATCAGGCCACACTGAGGTGGCATCCCACATGCCACGACTAGAAGGACCCACAACTAAAAATACACAACTGTGTACCAGGGGGCTTTGGGAGAAAAAGGAAAAATAAAATCTTTAAAAAAAAAAAACAAACAAACAATTGAGTGGATTTGTTTTAGAACCGACTAGATACGCAGGAACTAGGAGCCTAACTCTTCGCTCATTGGTCAACCTTTCATATATATATATGTTACTTAAATCTGACCAGTCTGGTTTGATGAAATGACACCAGAAGCAGAAAAAGCCATAAACAGCTTAAAGTCCATCTTGGCTCAGCCCCCAGCTTTAGGCCACCCTAATTTCACCTTGCCATCTTCTCTCTTTGTACATGAAGATAAAGGGAATGCTTAGGTGTATGAACTCAAGGACACGATGATCAACATCCACCTGTAAGGGACTAGAGGCAGCAATCCCACTCTGCAGCAGGACTGCACGGAGCGCGAGGGCTGATTCGGCAAGAGCTCTCTTGTGCAAGGCTACTGGAGAAATGGTGAGGGGTCTCCTTAACTGTTTATCCTCCTCACTCGGTTGAAGCTTCGTTAAACTCTCATCACACTCAACATTATTCAGTGAGTTGACTAACTTCCTATGAAATTGCTTTGTTTTCTCCTAATATGATTTTGCTGAGGAGTAACAGGTTAAGTCCCACCACTTTGCTCACAGATGATGCCAAATCTATGAATTTTTTTTTTTTTAAGGAAGATAAGCCTTGAGCTAACTGCTGCCAATCCTCCTCTTTTTGCTGAGGAAGACTGGCCCTGAGCTAACATCCGTGCCCACCTGCCTTCACTTTTTTTATATATGTGGGATGCCTGCCACAGCATGGCTTGCCAAGCAATGCCACGTCGGCACCCAGGATCCGAAGCAGCGAACCCCGGGCTGCAGAAGTGGAATGTGCACACTTTAACCGCTGAGCCATTGGGCTGGCCCACAAATCTATGAAATTTTGTCGTGACTACATAAAATGAACTCACCAGCTTTTGACCCCTAGGGATGATTTACATGAAAGTCCTATAACTAATGTTGGCCTTATGTTATTCACAGATGGCTCATCCTTGCGAGGACCTACTTGGAAATATCAAGCCAGACATGCTGAGGGTCTGATACTGGCTCAGCGCAAGGTTAACATAACAGAAGCCAAACTGTAGAAAAGAAACCATATTGTAACTTTGAGTGACCTCTGATTAACTAGCCCAGACATGCTCTGTAGATTTTACGGCCCCTCCCAGCTGCTTTAAGTTGATAACTTTGTTCTTTTGAGTTCCTTAGGAATGATGACCCCTGGGCAGATGGTCTGTGCTGATAGCCATCATCAGTGACAACTGAAAGATCAGGGTCTTGGGGCATTGCTCCAGTCTCTAATGCATACCCAGTAAAAGGAAAGACTATCAGGAACTAAGACCAGATGTCTGCCCCCCACCCCCACCCCAGACCAGCTGCCTCCCCCACCCGGAGATCAGCCCCCTATTAACTGGTCTGTAGTCATTGTTCTGTGAGACGCTTCTTTCGGACGTGAGTCAGCCATCTTCTCTCTTGCTAGCAAGCTGTAATAAAACCCTTTCTCTCCTACCACCTTGCCTCTGGACTATTGGCATGTCTTGTGGTGAGCTGAGGACCGCCCTTGGGGAGTGACAGGTCCTCCAGTCTCCATCTTGAGAGTGCTCCCTTGCCTGATGCTCATCCAGAGCAACAGGTGCAGCTTGTCATTTGGCTACAGGAAACTGCAAATATTTTGACTGACACTAGCTACGCATTTGGAATAGCCCATGATTTGGGGATGCTCTAAAAACAAAGGTTTTTTGATCTCTACTCAACAAACAACATATTAAAAACAGGAAAAAGTTGGCTGCTTTGTTAAAAAAGCCGTTTTACTCCCTAAGGAATTGGCAATAATAAAAGTACAAGGTCACTTGAAGGAGGACATTTTGGAAACCAAAAAAAAAAGTTAGCAGATCAGGCAGCTAAGGAGGTCGCCTCACAAATGGTGAGTCCACACACTTTGACATGTCCCTGGTCCCTCTCTAACTTAACTGAAGCTTTGTTTGATTTTCAGAGAACAGCCACAGAAAAAGAAAAACAATTATAGATCCAAAAGTGTGGTGGCAGGGGGGAGATTGTGATTTTCACGGGAAGCCGTGGAAGGGACCAAGTCAATGCCCAGTGCTTCCTTTGGAAGCTCCACCTCTGTTTCTACAGCATATGCCTGATCTCATTGCACCCCAGAGAAAATGATCTCTCGGGGAAAACAATACTTTTGGAAACCATCTTCTGCTATAGCACAGAAGATGTATTCTAAATGTTTAGCCTGCCTTTGACAAATAAAAATGGCAAGCAATAGGATATATTGGAGAATATGAGGAAGCCATTTGGTGTAAACCTAATTCGGCCTGACCTTGTCTTTCCAAAAGGGCCTGACCGAGGCCAGCCATTGAGCACGCATTGCATATCTGCTTTAAAACATTTCCTATGGCAAGAACAAATGGCCTTAAGATAAAGGTGCAACTTCCCCCCACATTGGCATTTCCTTAGGGATAAGCATCTTTCCTTAGGCTGGGAACTGATTGCTGTGCTCACCTTTGACCACCAAGCTCACCTGTGACCACCCAGCTCGAGACAACAGATCTGCCACCCTGCTGTGTTCACCGAGACAGCAGACCTACCTGCTGTTTCCATCAATGGCTGTGCCGACAGAGCAGTCTCGCGACTATTGTAAAAGGGACATTTCAATCCTATGTGAAACATCCTGTTTGGGGGTATATAACCACTCTGTGCACCCCACTTCTTCGGTGCCCTTTCTTCCTTCGGGAAGAAAGGCCCCGGGCCATGGTCCTCACATTTTAGCTCAGAATAAACTCTCCCAAATTTTCATTTATAGATTGGTTATGGATTATTTTCATCAACATTTCTTGGCATAGTCACAGCAGGATTTCAGAGAAACCCACCGGAGACCACCTGGAATCTACACTGAACTGGCATTTGGTACCAATAAGGGCCCATTGAGCCCCCTAGATCACTGCATTCTTCAGGTGACCCTGGTGAGTTCTCCTGAAACCCAGACCTCCTTATTTTAAGTTGACGGTCCAAGAGTTTATATGAGCTGGGTAAGGTCTTAAGACTAGGTGTCTTAAGGGGTACGGGTACATACCCTAGGTAAGAGGAACCTAGGAGGAATTTGTTAGGCCAGAGGGAGCCTTGAGGGAAGTTCCTAGGCCAAGAGGAACCTAGAGGAACTTGGGAGTGAATGGGGAAGGCTGACATTTTTAATTTGGCTTTAAATTGGAAAGAATTGTGTTTATAAAGTCTGAACAAACTGCTTGTTAGAGAAATGAGAGACTGAACGTGTTCAGCTCTGAAGAAAAGGGACACTTGCTCCTCCTGGCCTTTACCAAAAGGCGTCCTTAGGTGACTAAGGACCTCAGCGGGAGTGTCAGAGGATCAATCCTCACGACGTGCAGCGGTCCCATAGGGAACTCCACTCTCATTCACAGTAATTAATTACAGGCTTGTCAGGAGACGTGCACATAAGGGCTGGTCACCTGACGCTCCAAGCACCCACAGTGGTTTTAGATTGCTGGAGGAAAAACCGAGCCATAAGAACGTAAGAGAGTGTTTATGACCTTTCTATAGGGAGTAACACTCACAAGCAGCACACTTTCTGACCCATTACACTGTCCTTAGAAGTTGTTTGGACTTTATAACAAAACAAAATTAAAAGAGAAGTGGGAAATCGAGCTTCTAAAACAGCCCAATCAGTTCCTTTCCTCCGGACTCTGGTTGGCTTCATGCTGTGATTGCAATTGCTTAACAAAGGGGGACCCCAAGCCAGATTGCAAAAGCCCAAAGAAAGAAAGAAAGATAGAAAAAGGAGGAAAAAAAACTGGGAAAACAAGTTTTTCCACCGCGGTCTGCTGTGAGAACACCTAACTCAGAAACGTCAGGAAAATCTTTGTTGTCTGTGTCTGTCTGTCTGTCTGTGTGTGTCTATGTATGTGTGCCACTTTACCTCCGGATGGTACAGTTTCTAAAGAGCTCTATTCCATTGACTTAAAGTAAGAGCTTACAAAAAGCTTTTTCTAAATAGAACTAACCCAAATGTCTTTCAGGTTAACATGATATAGATTAATCTTCGGTTAATGAAAGTTTAAGTTGCTGGTTTGATTGAAAAGGCATGTCCTCAAAAGTTGTTGGTATTTGAATATGATGCAGGCATGCAGCCTGGGTTTACTAGTCAAATAAGCTCACATTGTGTGTTAGGAATTCCTCAGCAAAATAATAGCTTTAAATGATGACCAGTTTTGTCTAATGTCTCATGAGGTTTTCGTGAGTAAACTGAACATAATTATTGGAAACAAATGATTTAAATAGATAAAAGTGGGTAAAATAACTTTTATGGTCTGTTTACTTGGGGGAAAAAAACAGCTTCCAAATTCTTTTTGGTAACAATCTTGAATTTTCCAAGTTAAGTTAAATGAAAAAATCTGAGTATCTGGGTCATTTTTGGATTGGATAGAACACTGAAACATTATTGCTAAGCGTATCTGAATTATCTACTTTTGGCTTTTTATTGCAGAGATGCTAAAGGTCTTCGGGTGTTTTACTGTAAAGTGACATGTTTCTAGAAATTATGAAAAGTGTTTAGAATGCTGATATAAAAGACAATTCATAATTGCTCACCTTTTTAGTGTTTACTACAGCCTGTTAAAGAGTTCTAATATACGTAATTAAAGCTACTAGAAATTAATAAGGAAAATGTATTTATACTCAAGGAAAGTAAGGTGTAAGTTCTCAGTAAAGAAGGTATAAAAAGAATGGAAAAATTTTGTTTGATTGGTTAAGAAAGATAAATTTGTCCTAAAGTACTAGAAAAAAAGAAAAAGGACATGGGACGAATTCTGAATGCAAAAGAAAGTTATAGAAATTCTGAAAAGAGTTTTGTACATAGTCAAGTTGGTTAAGATTAAAATGAATCTAATTAAGTAAATGGGTTTTAATATGAAAAAGTAAACTGGTACAAAAATTAGAATTTGGCTTTGTCTCTTAGAAGGATAATTTTCTTAAACTCTTAGTCTGCTCTTGATAAAGAAGTTATAAAAGGTTTTTCCTTCTGAGTAAGTTTACAGAAGATCTATGTTTTGTTAAGGTAATTTCCTAGGTGCAAAAAGATAGCAATCTCTCTATTAAGGTTTTTTTGGCTGTTGTCACTTTGATTAAACACTATGAAGCATGATTTCAGTGACCCTTGTTTTGCAATGACAGCATCAGCAATCTCTTGATCTTGTTTAAGTAAGTGTTTTAAAATCTTGATATTTTTGACAAGCTTCTCCCTCAAAAAAAATAGTCAAGTCCTAAATAAAGGTTTTCCTTTTGACCTGGATGAAGGAAGAGAATTTCTCTGAGGATTTTCAGAGGGCCCCTGGGGTTTCTCAAAGAAATGTGTTCTCTCTTCCTATAAAGGAGGGACACTAATTAGGCTTGTGTGACATGTTAAATTGCATGAGAAGCATTGTCAAGTGAATGATGATAACCTTGGGTTATATGGTGTAGGTAAATATTATTCACTATTTTAACCCTGCTACCTTGCTTCCAACATCACAGGGGGAGAAGACCACGACTGCATTCTATTGTTTAATTTGGTTTACAAATGAGTCTTACTTAAATGATAAGTGAGGATGTTATCAAGCTGGATATGCTGTCCAGCCTCAAGAATGCCTGCTACTTTCTGTTAACTCTGCTAATCCAGTAAAAAGACTTCCTTCTACAGGCTTAAGAAATCGCCACAGAAGAAAATATATATATATACATAAAGGTTGCAACAAAAGGGAAAAACAATACTTTTGGACACTTTCTCCCAGTGGGTCATGTAGCCTCTACTTCTTATGCTATATGCCCAAAGTATAATCCAGAGAAGCCACTTCATGAGTCACAAGGCCGCTTTCCCTTGCTATGGCTGTAGGTAAATTATTATTGAAAAGAATAAATTCCTGTCTGGGGAATTCCTACCGAGTTACATAGTGACTGGGGAACTCACTTCACTGTATAACTAATTGAATCTATTTGTGATGTTTGGCAAATATCGCAGCATTTCCACTGCGCTTACCATCTTCAATCCTCAGGATTGGTAAAAAGAACTAACGGCACAACCCAAACTTAATTGGCAAGCTTTCAGAAGCATTTACTCTCTCACGGCCAAAAACTCTTGTGCTCGTGCTCCTTAATCTTAGATCTATACTTTTTGTGAACAGCGGCTGTCTCCTTTTGAAATAAT